TCTAGAGGAACTCCACCTTCAGCAGAGCAACTCGAGGAATGCTCCGTGTACCACAAATCGTCTCGAGATGAGAGCTGATTCCATGGCTTAGGCTCAAGACGTATGGCCACTTTCCAGAATCACATCAGGAGGAGGCTTCTCTCAGCAACAGGTATATGGGAGGGACCCCGAGTTTGCTGCCTCAAGGGGAATATACAGCAAGAAGCCCTAACTTGAAAGGAGGCCGTATTTCCTTGCAGTGGCTTGAATACAGGCTCGTCTTTCATCTCACAACATGAAGGGATGTCTGAATCCCCTGTGGAGACCTTAGAGAAAGCCCTAGGTACCTGCCTCATTTTGAAGGAATGCCTCACATCCCGCAGACACCTCGAGAGGCACGCGGAGTTCATTGCTTCAAAAGGTGACGATGCCTGACTCCTCTTGAATAGTGATAGGAATCCCAAAATCCCTGTGGCTACTGGAAAGGGACCTTCGCTGCCCTGCCTCACATCGAGAAGCGTCCCTTTTGCCCTGCCAAGCCTCGAAGAGATTCCTGAGGTGTCCCTCTTTACTAGACAGGAGTCCAGACGTCACTGAAGAAACTCGTCTTTTGAAGGGCCATCCATGCCGTAAGTCGAGAACATACCCCAGGTCCCCGCCGCAACTCGAGAAAAACCATGAGACTTCCCCCTAGAGGCGAGATGAGGCCCCATTCCCCTGCAGTGCATGCAGAGCTATTCCGTGATCCCATTCAAACAAGTCAGGAGCTTCGACTTGCTTAATGGATCTCGAGACAGTCCCCAAGAACACTGTCACCAGTCTAGACGGACCCTGAGGTCACCCCAGCAACGCAAAGCACCTCCATGTGCCCCAAGTCAACTCGAGATGAGGCCCGATTCCCCTGCATTGACTCCAGAGCCATACCCCGTTCCCCATTCAACACGACCGGTGGCTCGACTTCCTTCAGGCAACTCCAGAGATGCCCCGAGAACACTGTCCCAGGTCTAGAGGAACTCCACCTTCAGCACAGCAACTCGAGGAATGCTGCGTGTACCACAAATCGTCTCGAGATGAGAGCTGATTCCATGGCTTAGGCTCAAGACGTATGCCAACTTTCCAGAAGCACCTCAGGAGGAGGCTTCTCTCAGCAATAGGTATATGGGAGGGAACCCCAGTATGCTGCCTCAAGGGGAATATACAGCGAGAATCCCTAACTTGAGAGGAGGCCGGATTTCCTTGCAGGGGCTTGAATACAGGCTCGCCTTTCATCTCACAACATGAAGAAATGTCTGAATCACCTGTGGAGAACTTAGAGAAAGCCCTAGGTCCCTGACTCATTTTGACGGAATGCCTCACATCCCGGTGACATCTCGAGAGGCACGCGGAGTTCATTGCTTCAAAAGGTGACGATACCTGAGTCCTCTTGAAAACTGATAGGAATCCCAAAATCCCTGTGGCTACTGGAAAGGGTCCTTGGGTGCCCTGCCTCACCTCGAGAAGCGTCCCTTTTGCCCTGCCAAGCCTCGAAGAGATTCATGAGGTGAACCTCGTTACTAGACAGGAGTCCTGACGTCACTGAAGAAACTCGTGTTTTGAAGGGCCATCCCCGCCGTAAGTCGAGAACATACCCCAGGTCCCAGCCGCAACTCAAGAAAAAAAATGAGACTTCCCCCTAGAGGCGAGAAGAGGCCCCATTCCCCTGCAGTGCATGCAGAGCTATTCCGTGATCCCATTCAAACAAGTCAGGAGCTTCGACTTGCTTAATGGATCTCGAGACAGTCCCCAAGAACACTGTCACCAGTCTAGACGGACCCTGAGGTCACCCCAGCAACGCAAAGCAGCACCATGTGCCCCAAATCAACTCGAGATGAGGCCCGATTCCCCTGCATTGACTCCAGGGCCATTCCCCGTTCCCCATTCAACACGACCGGTGGCTCGACTTCCTTCAGGGAACTCCAGAGATGCCCCGAGAACACTGTCCCAAGTCTAGAGGAACTCCAACTTCAGCACAGCAACTCGAGGAATGCTACGTGTACCACAAATCATCTCGAGATGAGAGCTGATTCCCTGGCTTAGGCTCAAGACGTATGTCAACTTTCCAGAAGCACCTCAGGAGGAGGCTTCTCTCAGCAATAGGTATGTGGGAGGGACCCCGAGGTTGCTGCCTCAAGGGGAATATACAGCGAGAAGCCCTAACTTGAAAGGAGGCCGGATTTCCTTGCAGTGGCTAGAATACAGGCTCATCTTTGATCTCAAAACCTGAAGGGATGTCTGAATCCCCTGTGGAGACCTTAGAGAAAGCCCTATGTCCCTGCCTCATTTTGACGGAATGCCTCACATCGCGCTGACACTTCGAGAGGCACGTGGAGTTCATTGCTTCAAAAGGTGACGATGCCTGACTACTCTTGAATACTGACAGGAATCCCAAAATCCCTGTGGCTACTGGAAAGGGTCCTTGGGTGCCCTGCCTCACCTCGAGAAGCGTCCGTTTTGCCCTGCCAAGCCTCGAAAGATTGCTGAGGTGTCAATCGTTACTAGACAGGAGTCCTGACGTCACTGAAGAAACTCGTGTTTTGAAGGGCCATCCCCGCCGTAAGTCGAGAACATACCCCAGGTCCCGGCCACAACTCGAGAAAAACCATGAGACTTCCCCCTAGAGGCGAGATGAGGCCCCATTCCCCTGCAGTGCATGCAGAGCTATTCCGTGATCCCATTCAAACAAGTCAGGAGCTTCGACTTGCTTAATGGATCTCGAGACAGTCCCCAAGAACTCTGTCACCAGTCTAGACGGACCCTGAGGTCACCCCAGCAACGCAAAGCACCTCCATGTGCCCCAAATCAACTCGAGATGAGGCCCGATTCCCCTGCATTGACTCCAGAGCCATTCCCCGTTCCCCATTCAACACGACCGGTGGCTCGACTTCCTTCAGGCAACTCCAAAGATGCCCCGAGAACACTGTCCCAGGTCTAGAGGAACTCCACCTTCAGCACAGCAACTCGAGGAAAGCTCCATGTACCACACATCGTCTCCAGATGAGAGCTGATTCCCTGGCTTAGGCTCAAGACGTATGCCAACTTTCCAGAAGCACCTCAGGAGGAGGCTTCTCTCAGCAACAGGTATGTGAGAGGGACCCCGAGTTTGCTGCCTCAAGAGGAATATACAGCAAGAAGCCCTAACTTGAAAGGAGGCCAGATTTCCTTGCAGTGGCTTGAATACAGGCTCGTCTTTCATCTCACAACATGAAGGGATGTCTGAATCCCCTGTGGAGACCTTAGAGAAAGCCCTAGGACCCTGCCTCATTTTGACGGAATGCCTAACATCCCGCAGACACCTCGAGAGGCACGCGGAGTTCATTGCTTCAAAAGGTGACGATGCCTGACTCCTCTTGAATACTGATAGGAATCGCAAAATAACTCTGGTTACTGGAAAGGGTCCTTGGGTGCCCTGCCTCACCTCGAGAAGCATCCCTTTTGCCCTGCCAAGCCTCGAAGAGATTCCTGATGTGTCCCTCGTTACTAGACAGGAGTCCTGACGTCACTGAAGAAACTCGTGTTTTGAAGGGCCATCCCCGCCGTAAGTCGAGAACATACCCCAGGTTCCAACCGCAACTCGAGAAAAACCATGAGACTTCCCCCTAGAGGCGAGATGAGGCCCCATTCCCCTGCAGTGCATGCAGAGCTATTCCGTGATCCCATTCAAACAAGTCAGGAGCTTCGACTTGCTTAATGGATATCGAGACAGTCCCCAAGAACACTGTCACCAGTCTAGACGGACCCTGAGGTCACCCCAGCAACGCAAAGCACCTCCATGTGCCCCAAGTCAACTCGAGATGAGGCCCGATTCCCCTGCATTGACTCCAGGGCCATTCCCCGTTCCCCATTCAACACGACCGGTGGCTCGACTTCCTTCAGGCAACTCCAGAGATGCCCCGAGAACACTGTCCCAGGTCTAGAGGAACTCCACCTTCAGCAGAGCAACTCGAGGAATGCTCCGTGTACCCCAAATCATCTCGAGATGAGAGCTGATTCCATGGCTTAGGCTCAAGACGTATGGCCACTTTCCAGAATCACATCAGGAGGAGGCTTCTCTCAGCAACAGGTATGTGGGAGGGACCCCGAGTTTGCTGCCTCAAGGGGAATATACAGCAAGAAGCCCTAACTTGAAAGGAGTCCGTATTTCCTTGCAGTGGCTTGAATACAGGCTCGTCTTTCATCTCACAACATGAAGGGATGTCTGAATCCCCTGTGGAGACCTTAGAGAAAGCCCTAGGTCCCTGCCTCATTTTGAAGGAATGCCTCACATCCCGCAGACACCTCGAGAGGCACGCGGAGTTCATTGCTTCAAAAGGTGACGATGCCTGACTCCTCTTGAATAGTGATAGGAATCCCAAAATCCCTGTGGCTACTGGAAAGGGACCTTCGCTGCCCTGCCTCACATCGAGAAGCGTCCCTTTTGCCCTGCCAAGCCTCGAAGAGATTCCTGAGGTGTCCCTCGTTACTAGACAGGAGTCCTGATGTCACTGAAGAAACTCGTCTTTTGAAGGGCCATCCATGCCGTAAGTCGAGAACATACCCCAGGTCCCCGCCGCAACTCGAGAAAAACCATGAGACTTCCCCCTAGAGGCGAGATGAGGCCCCATTCCCCTGCAGTGCATGCAGAGCTATTCCGTGATCCCATTCAAACAAGTCAGGAGCTTCGACTTGCTTAATGGATCTCGAGACAGTCCCCAAGAACACTGTCACCAGTCTAGACGGACCCTGAGGTCACCCTAGCAACGCAAAGCAGCACCATGTGCCCCAAATCAACTCGAGATGAGGCCCGATTCCCCTGCATTGACTCCAGGGCCATTCCCCTTTCCCCATTCAACACGACCGGTGGCTCGACTTCATTCAGGCAACTCCAGAGATGCCCCGAGAACACTGTCCCAAGTCTAGAGGAACTCCAACTACAGCACAGCAACTCGAGGAATGCTCCGTGTACCCCAAATCATCTCGAGATGAGAGCTGATTCCCTGGCTTAGGCTCAAGACGTATGCCAACTTTCCAGAAGCACCTCAGGAGGAGGCTTCTCTCAGCAATAGGTATGTGGGAGGGACCCCGTGGTTGCTGCCTCAAGGGGAATATACAGCGAGAAGCCCTAACTTGAAAGGAGGCCGGATTTCCTTGCAGTGGTTTGAATACAGGCTCGTCTTTCATCTCACAACATGAAGGGATGTCTGAATCCCCTGTGGAGACCTTAGAGAAAGCCCTAGGTACCTGCCTCATTTTGACGGAATTCCTCACATCCCGCAGACACCTCGAGAGGCACGCGGAGTTCATTGCTTCAAAAGGTGACGATGCCTGATTCCTCTTGAATACTGATAGGAATCGCAAAATAACTCTGGCTACTGGAAAGGTTCCTTGGGTGCCCTGCCTCACCTCGAGAAGCGTCCCTTTTGCCCTGCCAAGCCTCGAAGAGATTCCTGAGGTGTCCCTCGTTACTAGACAGGAGTCCTGACGTCACTGAAGAAACTCGTGTTTTGAAGAGCCATCCCCGCCGTAAGTCGAGAACATACCTCAGGTCCCCGCCGCAACTCGAGAAAAACCATGAGACTTCCCCTTAGAGGCGAGATGAGGCCCCATTCCCCTGCAGTGCATTCAGAGCTATTCCGTGATCCCATTCAAACAAGTCAGGAGCTTCGACTTGCTTAATGCATCTCGAGACAGTCCCCAAGAGCACTGTCACCAGTCTAGACGGAACCTGAGGTCACCCCAGCAACGCAAAACAGCTCCATGTGCCACAAGTCAACTCGAGATGAGGCCCGATTCCCCTGCATTGACTCCAGAGCCATTCATCGTTCCCCATTCAACACGACCGGTCGCTTGACTTCCTTCAGGCAACGGCAGAGATGCCCCGAGAACACTGTCCCAAGTCTAGAGGAACTCCAACTTCAGCACAGCAACACGAGGAATGCTCCGTGTACCCCAAAACATCTCGAGATGAGAGCTGATTCGTGGCTTAGGCTCAAGACATATGCCAACTTTCCAGAAGACATCAGGAGGAGGCTTCTCTCAGTAATAGGTATATGGGAGGTACCCCGAGTATGCTGCCTCAAGGGGAATATACAGCGAGAATCCCTAACTTGAGAGGAGGCCGGATTTCCTTGCAGGGGCTTGAATACAGGCTCGCCTTTCATCTCACAACATGAAGAAATGTCTGAATCACCTGTGGAGAACTTAGAGAAAGCCCTAGGTCCCTGACTCATTTTGACGGAATGCCTCACATCCCGGTGACATCTCGAGAGGCACGCGGAGTTCATTGCTTCAAAAGGTGACGATGCCTGAGTCCTCTTGAAAACTGATAGGAATCCCAAAATCCCTGTGGCTACTGGAAAGGGTCCTTGGGTGCCCTGCCTCACCTCGAGAAGCGTCCCTTTTGCCCTGCCAAGCCTCGAAGAGATTCATGAGGTGTCCCTCGTTACTAGACAGGAGTCCTGACGTCACTGAAGAAACTCGTGTTTTGAAGGGCCATCCCCGCCGTAAGACGAGAACATACCTCAGGTCCCCGCCGCAACTCGAGAAAAACCATGAGACTTCCCCTTAGAGGCGAGATGAGGCCCCATTCCCCTGCAGTGCATTCAGAGCTATTCCGTGATCCCATTCAAACAAGTCAGGAGCTTCGACTTGCTTAATGCATCTCGAGACAGTCCCCAAGAGCACTGTCACCAGTCTAGACGGAACCTGAGGTCACCCCAGCAACGCAAAACAGCTCCATGTGCCACAAGTCAACTCGAGATGAGGCCCGATTCCCCTGCATTGACTCCAGAGCCATTCATCGTTCCCCATTCAACACGACCAGTCGCTTGACTTCCTTCAGGCAATGGCAGAGATGCCCCGAGAACACTGTCCCAAGTCTAGAGGAACTCCAACTTCAGCACAGCAACTCGAGGAATGCTCCGTGTACCCCAAAACATCTCGAGATGAGAGCTGATTCGTGGCTTAGGCTCAAGACCTATGCCAACATTCCAGAAGACATCAGGAGGAGGCTTCTCTCAGTAATAGGTATATGGGAGGTACCCCGAGTAAGCTGCCTCAAGGGGAATATACAGCGAGAATCCCTAACTTGAGAGGAGGCCCGATTTCCTTGCAGGGGCTTGAATACAGGCTCGCCTTTCATCTCACAACATGAAGAAATGTCTGAATCACCTGTGGAGAACTTAGAGAAAGCCCTAGGTCCCTGACTCATTTTGACGGAATGCCTCACATCCCGGTGACATCTCGAGAGGCACGCGGAGTTCATTGCTTCAAAAGGTGACGATGCCTGAGTCCTCTTGAAAACTGATAGGAATCCCAAAATCCCTGTGGCTACTGGAAAGGGTCCTTGGGTGCCCTGCCTCACCTCGAGAAGCGTCCCTTTTGCCCTGCCAAGCCTCGAAGAGATTCATGAGGTGTCCCTCGTTACTAGACAGGAGTCCTGACGTCACTGAAGAAACTCGTGTTTTGAAGGGCCATCCCCGCCGTAAGTCGAGAACATACCCCAGGTCCCAGCCGAAACTCAAGAAAAAAAATGAGACTCCCCCTAGAGGCCAGATGAGGCCCCATTCCCCTGCAGTGCATGCAGAGCTATTCCGTGATCCCATTCAAACAAGTCAGGAGCTTCGACTTGCTTAATGGATCTCGAGACAGTCCCCAAGAACACTGTCACCAGTCTAGACGGACCCTGAGGTCACCCCAGCAACGCAAAGCAGCACCATGTGCCCCAAATCAACTCGAGATGAGGCCCGATTCCCCTGCATTGACTCCAGGGCCATTCCCCGTTCCCCATTCAACACGACTTGTGGCTCGATTTCCTTCAGGGAACTCCAGAGATGCCCCGAGAACACTGTCCCAAGTCTAGAAGAACTCCAACTTCAGCACAGCAACTCGAGGAATGCTCCGTGTACCCCAAATCATCTCGAGATGAGAGCTGATTCCCTGGCTTAGGCTCAAGATGTATGCCAACTTTCCAGAAGCACCTCAGGAGGAGGCTTCTCTCAGCAATCGGTATGTGGGAGGGACCCCGAGGTTGCTGCCTCAAGGGGAATATACAGCGAGAATCCCTAACGTGAAAGGAGGCCGGATTTCCTTGCAGTGGTTAGAATACAGGCTCATCTTTGATTTCAAAACCTGAAGGAATGTCTGAATCCCCTGTGGAGACCTTAGAGAAAGCCCTATGTCCCTGCCTCATTTTGACGGAATGCCTCACATCGCGCTGACACCTTGAGAGGCACGTGGAGTTCATTGCTTCAAAAGGTGACGATGCCTGACTCCTCTTGAATACTGATAGGAATCCCAAAATAGCTGTGGCTACTGGAAAGGGTCCTTGGGTGCCCTGCCTCACCTCGAGAAGCGTCCCTTTTGCCCTGCCAAGCCTCGAAAAGATTCCTGAGGTGTCCCTCGTTACTAGACAGGAGTCCTGACCTCACTGAAGAAACTCGTGTTTTGAAGGGCCATCCCCGCCGTAAGTCGAGAACATACCCCAGGTCCCCGCCGCAACTCGAGAAAAACCATGAGACTTCCCCCTAGAGGCGAGATGAGGCCCCATTCCCATGCAGTGCATGCAGAGCTATTCCGTGATCCCATTCAAACAAGTCAGGAGCTTCGACTTGCTTAATGGATCTCGAGACAGTCCCCAAGAACTCTGTCACCAGTCTAGACGGACCTTGAGGTCACCCCAGCAACGCAAAGCACCTCCATGTGCCCCAAGTCAACTCGAGATGAGGCCCGATTCCCCTGCATTGACTCCAGAGCCATTCCCCATTCCCCATTCAACACGACCGGTTGCTCGACTTCCTTCAGGGAACTCCAAAGATGCCCCGAGAACACTGTCCCAGGTCTAGAGGAACACCACCTTCAGCACAGCAACTCGAGGAATGCTCCGTGTACCACAAATCGTCTCGAGATGAGAGCTGATTCCCTGGCTTAGGCTCAAGACGTATGCCAACTTTCCAGAAGCACCTCAGGAGGAGGCTTCTCTCAGCAACAGGTATGTGAGAGGGACCCCGAGTTTGCTGCCTCAAGGGGAATATACCGCGAGAAGCCCTAACTTGAAAGGAGGCCGGATTTCCTTGCAGTGGCTTGAATACAGGCTCGTCTATCATCTCACAACATGAAGGGATGTCTGAATCCCCTGTGGAGACCTTAGAGAAAGCCCTAGGTCCCTGCCTCATTTTGACGGAATGCCTCACATCCCGCTGACACCTCGAGAGGCACGCGGAGTTCATTGCTTCAAAAGGTGACGATGCCTGACTCCTCTTGAATACTGATAGGAATCGCAAAATAACTCTGGCTACTGGAAAGGTTCCTTGGGTGCCCTGCCTCACCTCGAGAAGCGTCCCTTTTGCCCTGCCAAGCCTCGAAGAGATTCCTGAGGTGTCCCTCGTTACTAGACAGGAGTCCTGACGTCACTGAAGAAACTCGTGTTTTGAAGGGCCATCCCCGCCGTAAGTCGAGAACATACCTCAGGTCCCCGCCGCAACTCGAGAAAAACCATGAGACTTCCCCTTAGAGGCGTGATGAGGCCCCATTCCCCTGCAGTGCATTCAGAGCTATTCCGTGATCCCATTCAAACAAGTCAGGAGCTTCGACTTGCTTAATGCATCTCGAGACAGTCCCCAAGAGCACTGTCACCAGTCTAGACGGAACCTGAGGTCACCCCAGCAACGCAAAACAGCTCCATGTGCCACAAGTCAACTCGAGATGAGGCCCGATTCCCCTGCATTGACTCCAGAGCCATTCATCGTTCCCCATTCAACACGACCGGTCGCTTGACTTCCTTCAGGCAACGGCAGAGATGCCCCGAGAACACTGTCCCAAGTCTAGAGGAACTCCAACTTCAGCACAGCAACTCGAGGAATGCTCCGTGTACCCCAAAACATCTCGAGATGAGAGCTGATTCGTGGCTTAGGCTCAAGACCTATGCCAACTTTCCAGAAGACATCAGGAGGAGGCTTCTCTCAGTAATAGGTATATGGGAGGTACCCCGAGTATGCTGCCTCAAGGGGAATATACAGCGAGAATCCCTAACTTGAGAGGAGGCCCGATTTCCTTGCAGGGGCTTGAATACAGGCTCGCCTTTCATCTCACAACATGAAGAAATGTCTGAATCACCTGTGGAGAACTTAGAGAAAGCCCTAGGTCCCTGACTCATTTTGACGGAATGCCTCACATCCCGGTGACATCTCGAGAGGCACGCGGAGTTCATTGCTTCAAAAGGTGACGATGCCTGAGTCCTCTTGAAAACTGATAGGAATCCCAAAATCCCTGTGGCTACTGGAAAGGGTCCTTGGGTGCCCTGCCTCACCTCGAGAAGCGTCCCTTTTGCCCTGCCAAGCCTCGAAGAGATTCCTGAGGTGTCCCTCGTTACTAGACAGGAGTCCTGACGTCACTGAAGAAACTCGTGTTTTGAAGGGCCATCCCCGCCGTAAGTCGAGAACATAACTCAGGTCCCCGCCGCAACTCGAGAAAAACCATGAGACTTCCCCTTAGAGGCGAGATGAGGCCCCATTCCCCTGCAGTGCATTCAGAGCTATTCCGTGATCCCATTCAAACAAGTCAGGAGCTTCGACTTGCTTAATGCATCTCGAGACAGTCCCCAAGAGCACTGTCACCAGTCTAGACGGAACCTGAGGTCACCCCAGCAACGCAAAACAGCTCCATGTGCCACAAGTCAACTCGAGATGAGGCCCGATTCCCCTGCATTGACTCCAGAGCCATTCATCGTTCCCCATTCAACACGACCGGTCGCTTGACTTCCTTCAGGCAACGGCAGAGATGCCCCGAGAACACTGTCCCAAGTCTAGAGGAACTCCAACTTCAGCACAGCAACTCGAGGAATGCTCCGTGTACCCCAAAACATCTCGAGATGAGAGCTGATTCGTGGCTTAGGCTCAAGACCTACGCCAACTTTCCAGAAGACATCAGGAGGAGGCTTCTCTCAGTAATAGGTATATGGGAGGTACCCCGAGTATGCTGCCTCAAGGGGAATATACAGCGAGAATCCCTAACTTGAGAGGAGGCCGGATTTCCTTGCAGGGGCTTGAATACAGGCTCGCCTTTCATCTCACAACATGAAGAAATGTCTGAATCACCTGTGGAGAACTTAGAGAAAGCCCTAGGTCCCTGACTCATTTTGACGGAATGCCTCACATCCCGGTGACATCTCGAGAGGCACGCGGAGTTCATTGCTTCAAAAGGTGACGATGCCTGAGTCCTCTTGAAAACTGATAGGAATCCCAAAATCCCTGTGGCTACTGGAAAGGGTCCTTGGGTGCCCTGCCTCACCTCGAGAAGCGTCCCTTTTGCCCTGCCAAGCCTCGAAGAGATTCATGAGGTGTCCCTCGTTACTAGACAGGAGTCCTGACGTCACTGAAGAAACTCGTGTTTTGAAGGGCCATCCCCGCCGTAAGTCGAGAACATACCCCAGGTCCCAGCCGCAACTCAAGAAAAAAAATGAGACTCCCCCTAGAGGCCAGATGAGGCCCCATTCCCCTGCAGTGCATGCAGAGCTATTCCGTGATCCCATTCAAACAAGTCAGGAGCTTCGACTTGCTTAATGGATCTCGAGACAGTCCCCAAGAACACTGTCACCAGTCTAGACGGACCCTGAGGTCACCCCAGCAACGCAAAGCAGCACCATGTGCCCCAAATCAACTCGAGATGAGGCCCAATTCCCCTGCATTGACTCCAGGGCCATTCCCCGTTCCCCATTCAACACGACTTGTGGCTCGATTTCCTTCAGGGAACTCCAGAGATGCCCCGAGAACACTGTCCCAAGTCTAGAAGAACTCCAACTTCAGCACAGCAACTCGAGGAATGCTCCGTGTACCCCAAATCATCTCGAGATGAGAGCTGATTCCCTGGCTTAGGCTCAAGATGTATGCCAACTTTCCAGAAGCACCTCAGGAGGAGGCTTCTCTCAGCAATCGGTATGTGGGAGGGACCCCGAGGTTGCTGCCTCAAGGGGAATATACAGCGAGAAGCCCTAACGTGAAAGGAGGCCGGATTTCCTTGCAGTGGTTAGAATACAGGCTCATCTTTGATCTCAAAACCTGAAGGAATGTCTGAATCCCCTGTGGAGACCTTAGAGAAAGCCCTATGTCCCTGCCTCATTTTGACGGAATGCCTCACATCGCGCTGACACCTCGAGAGGCACGTGGAGTTCATTGCTTCAAAAGGTGACGATGCCTGACTCCTCTTGAATACTGATAGGAATCCCAAAATAGCTGTGGCTACTGGAAAGGGTCCTTGGGTGCCCTGCCTCACCTCGAGAAGCGTCCCTTTTGCCCTGCCAAGCCTCGAAAAGATTCCTGAGGTGTCCCTCGTTACTAGACAGGAGTCCTGACCTCACTGAAGAAACTCGTGTTTTGAAGGGCCATCCCCGCCGTAAGTCGAGAACATACCCCAGGTCCCCGCCGCAACTCGAGAAAAACCATGAGACTTCCCCCTAGAGGCGAGATGAGGCCCCATTCCCCTGCAGTGCATGCAGAGCTATTCCGTGATCCCATTCAAACAAGTCAGGAGATTCGACTTGCTTAATGGATCTCGAGACAGTCCCCAAGAACACTGTCACCAGTCTAGACGGACCCTGAGGTCACCGCAGCAACACAAAGCAGCTCCATGTGCCCCAAATCAACTAAAGATGAGGCCCGATTCCCATGGATTGACTCCAGAGCCTTTCCCGGTTCCCCATTCAACAAGACCGGTGGCTCGACTTCCTTCAGGCAACTCCCGAGATGCCCCGAGAACACTGTCCCAAGTCTAGAGGAACACCAACTTCAGCACAGCACCTCGAGGAATGCTCCGTGTACCCCAAATCGTCTCGAGATGAGAGCTGATTCCCTGGCTTAGGTCAAGCCGTATGCCAACTTTCCAGAAGCACCTCAGGAGGAGGCTTCTCTCAGCAATAGGTATGTGGGAGGGACCCCGAGTATGCTGCCTCAAGGGGAATATACAGCGAGAAGCCCTAACTTGAAAGGAGGCCGGATTTCCTTGCAGTGGCTAGAATACAGGCTCGTCTTTGATCTTAAAACCTGAAGGGATGTCTGAATCCCCTGTGGAGACCTTAGAGAAAGCCCTAGGTCCCTGCCTCATTTTGACGGAATGCCTCACATCCCGCTGACACCTCAAGAGGCACGTGGAGTTCATCGCTTCAAAAGGTGACGATGCCTGACTCCTCTTGAATACTGATAGGAATCCCAAAATCCCTGTGGCTACTGGAAAGGGTCCTTGGGTACCCTGCCTCACTTCGAGAAACGTCCCTTTTGCCCTGCCAAGCCTCGAAGAGATTCCTGAGGTGTCCCTCGTTACTAGACAGGAGTCCTGACGTCACTGAAGAAACTCGTGTTTTTAAGGGCCATCCCCCCCTTAAGTCGAGAACATACCCCAGGTCCCTGCCGCAACTCGAGAAAAACCATGAGACTTCCCCCTAGAGGCGAGATGAGGCCCCATTCCCCTGCAGTGCATGCAGAGCTACTCCATGATCCCATTCAAACAAGTCAGGAGCTTCGACTTGATTAATGGATCTCGAGACAGTCCCCAAGAACACTGTCACCAGTCTAGACGGACCCTGAGGTCACCCCAGCAATGCAAAGCAGCTCCATGTGCCCCAAGTCAACCCGAGATGAGGCCCGATTCCCCTGCATTGACTCCAGAGCCATTCCCCGTTCCCCATTCAACACGACCGGTGGCTCGACTTCATTCAGGCAACTCCAGAGATGCCCCGAGAACACTGTCCCAAGTCTAGAGGAACTCCAACTTCAGCACGGCAACTCGAGGAATGCTCCGTGTACCCCAAATCGTCTCGAGATGAGAGCTGATTCCCTGGCTTAGGCTCAAGTCATATGCCAACTTTCCAGAAGCACCTCAGGAGGAGGGTTCTCTCAGCAATAGGTATGTGGGAGGGACCCCAGTTTACTGCCTCAAGGGGAATATACAGCGAGAAGCCCTAATTTGAAAGGAGGCCGGATTTCCTTGCAGTGGCTTGAATACAGGCTCGTCTTTCATCTCACAACATGAAGGGATGTCTGAATCCCCTGTGGAGACCTTAGAGAAAGCCCTAGGGCCCTGCCTCATTTTGACGGAATGCCTCACATCACGCTGACATCTCGATAGCCACGCAGAGTTCATTGCTTCAAAAGGTGACGATGCCTGACTCCTCTTGAATACTGATAGGAATCCCAAAATAACTCTGGCTACTGGAAAGGGTCCTTGGGTGCCCTGCCACACCTCGAGAAGCGTCCCTTTTGCCCTGCCAAGCCTCGAAGAGATTCCTGAGGTGTCCCTCGTTACTAGACAGGAGTCCTGACGTCACTGAAGAAACTCGTGTTTTGAAGGGCCATCCCCGCCGTAAGTCGAGAACATACCCCAGGTCCCCACCACAACTCGAGAAAAACCATGAGACTTCCCCCTAGAGGCGAGATGAGGCCCCATTCCCCTGCAGTGCATGCAGAGCTATTCCGTGATCCCATTCAAAAAAGTCAGGAGCTTCTACTTGCTTAATGGATCTCAAGACATTCCTGAAGAACACTGTCACCAGTCTAGACGGACCCTGAGGTCACCGCAACAAAGAAAAGCAGCTCCATGTGCCCCAAATCAACTCGAGATGAGGTCCAATTCCCCTGCATTGACTCCAGAGCCTTTCCCGGTTCCCCATTCAACACGACCGGTGGCTCGCCTTCCTTCAGGCAACTCCAGAGATGCCCCGAGAACACTGTCCCAAGTCCAGAGGAACACCAACTTCAGCACAGCAACTCGAGGAATGCTCCGTGTACCCCAAATCGTCTCGAGATGAGAGCTGATTCCCTGTCTTAGGCTCAAGACGTATGCCAACTTTCCAGAAGCACCTCAGGAGGAGGCTTCTCTCAGCAATAGGTATGTGGGAGGGACCCCGAGTATGCTGCCTCAAGGGGAATATACAGCGAGAAGCCCTAACTTGAAAGGAGGCCGGATTTCCTTGCAGTGGCTTGAATACAGGCTCGTCTTTCATCTCACAACATGAAGGTATGTCTGAATCCCCTGTGGAGACCTTAGAGAAAGCCCTAGGTCCCTGCGTCTTTTTGACGGAATGCCTCATATCCCGCTGACACCTTGAGGGGCACGCGGAGTTCATTGCTTCAAAAGGTGATGATGCCTGACTCCTCTTGAATACTGATAGGAATCCCAAAATCCCTGTGGCTACTGGAAAGGGTCCTTGGGTGCCCTGCCTCACCTCGAGAAGCGTCCCTTTTGCCCTGCCAAGCCTCGAAGGGATTCCTGAGGTGTCCCTCGTTACTAGACAGGAGTCCTGACGTCACTGAAGAAACTCGTGTTTTGAAGGGCCATCCGCGCCTTAAGTCGAGAACATACCCCAGGTCCCCGCCGCAACTCGAGAAAAACCATGAGACTTCCCCCTAGAGGCGAGATGAGGCCCCATTCCCCTGCAGTGCATGCAGAGCTATTCCGTGATCCCATTCAAACAAGTCAGGAGCTTCGACTTGCTTAATGGATCTCGAGACAGTCCCCAAGAACACTGTCACCAGTCTAGACGGACCCTGAGGTCACCGTAGCAACACAAAGCAGCTCCATGTGCCCCAAATCAACTCGAGATGAGGCCCGATTCCCCTGCATTGACTCCAGAGCCTTTCCCCGTTCCCCATTCAACACGACCGGTGGCTCAACTTCCTTCAGGCAACTCCAGAGATGCCCCGAGAACACTGTCCCAAGTCTAGAGGAACACCAACTTCAGCACAGCAATTCGAGGAATGCTCCGTGCACCCCAAATCGTCTCGAGATGAGAGCTGATTACCTGGCTTAGGCTCAAGACGTATGCCAACTTTCCAGAAGCACCTCGGAGGAGGCTTCTCTCAGCAATAGGTTTGTGGGAGGGACCCCGAGTATGCTGCCTCAAGGGGAATATACAGCGAGAAGCCCTAACTTGAAAGGAGGCCGGATTTCCTTGCAGTGGCTAGAATACAGGCTCGTCTTTGATCTCAAAACCTGAAGGGATGTCTGAATCCCCTGTGGAGACCTTAGAGAAAGCCCTAGGTCCCTGCCTCATTTTGACGGAAAGCCTCACATCGCGCTGACACCTCGAGAGGCACGTGGAGTTCATTGCTTCAAAAGGTGACGATGCGTGACTCCTCTTGAATACTGATAGGAATCCCAAAATCCCTGTGGCTACTGGAAAGGGTCCTTGGGTGCCCTGCCTCACCTCGAGAAGCGTCCCTTTTTCCCTGCCAAGCCTCGAAGAGATTCCTGACGTGGCCCTCGTTACTAGACAGGAGTCCTGACGTCACTGAAGAAACTCGTGTTTTGAAGGGCCATCCCCGCCGTAAGTCGAGAACATACCCCAGGTCCCCACCGAAACTCGAGAAAAACCATGAGACTTCCCCCTAGAGGCGAGATGAGGCCCCATTCCCCTGCAGTGCATTCAGAGCTATTCCGTGATCCCATTCAAACAAGTCAGGAGCTACGACTTGCTTAATGGATATCGAGACAGTCCCCAAGAACACTGTCACCAGTCTAGACGGACCCTGAGGTCACCCCAGCAACGCAAAGCACCTCCATGTGCCCCAAGTCAACTCGAGATGAGGCCCGATTCCCCTGCATTGACTCCAGAGCCATACCCCGTTCCCCATTCAACACGACCGGTGGCTCGACTTCCTTCAGGCAACTCCAGAGATGCCCCGAGAACACTGTCCCAGGTCTAGAGGAACTCCACCTTCAGCACAGCAACTCGAGGAATGCTGCGTGTACCACAAATCGTCTCGAGATGAGAGCTGATTCCATGGCTTAGGCTCAAGACGTATGCCAACTTTCCAGAAGCACCTCAGGAGGAGGCTTCTCTCAGCAATAGGTATATGGGAGGGACCCCCAGTATGCTGCCTCAAGGGGAATATACAGCGAGAATCCCTAACTTGAGAGGAGGCCGGATTTCCTTGCAGGGGCTTGAATACAGGCTCGCCTTTCATCTCACAACATGAAGAAATGTCTGAATCACCTGTGGAGAACTTAGAGAAAGCCCTAGGTCCCTGACTCATTTTGACGGAATGCCTCACATCCCGGTGACATCTCGAGAGGCACGCGGAGTTCATTGCTTCAAAAGGTGACGATACCTGAGTCCTCTTGAAAACTGATAGGAATCCCAAAATCCCTGTGGCTACTGGAAAGGGTCCTTGGGTGCCCTGCCTCACCTCGAGAAGCGTCCCTTTTGCCCTGCCAAGCCTCGAAGAGATTCATGAGGTGAACCTCGTTACTAGACGGGAGTCCTGACGTCACTGAAGAAACTCGTGTTTTGAAGGGCCATCCCCGCCGTAAGTCGAGAACATACCCCAGGTCCCAGCCGCAACTCAAGAAAAAAAATGAGACTTCCCCCTAGAGGCGAGAAGAGGCCCCATTCCCCTGCAGTGCATGCAGAGCTATTCCGTGATCCCATTCAAACAAGTCAGGAGCTTCGACTTGCTTAATGGATCTCGAGACAGTCCCCAAGAACACTGTCACCAGTCTAGACGGACCCTGAGGTCACCCCAGCAACGCAAAGCAGCACCATGTGCCCCAAATCAACTCGAGATGAGGCCCGATTCCCCTGCATTGACTCCAGGGCCATTCCCCGTTCCCCATTCAACACGACCGGTGGCTCGACTTCCTTCAGGGAACTCCAGAGATGCCCCGAGAACACTGTCCCAAGTCTAGAGGAACTCCAACTTCAGCACAGCAACTCGAGGAATGCTACGTGTACCACAAATCATCTCGAGATGAGAGCTGATTCCCTGGCTTAGGCTCAAGACGTATGTCAACTTTCCAGAAGCACCTCAGGAGGAGGCTTCTCTCAGCAATAGGTATGTGGGAGGGACCCCGAGGTTGCTGCCTCAAGGGGAATATACAGCGAGAAGCCCTAACTTGAAAGGAGGCCGGATTTCCTTGCAGTGGCTAGAATACAGGCTCATCTTTGATCTCAAAACCTGAAGGGATGTCTGAATCCCCTGTGGAGACCTTAGAGAAAGCCCTATGTCCCTGCCTCATTTTGACGGAATGCCTCACATCGCGCTGACACTTCGAGAGGCACGTGGAGTTCATTGCTTCAAAAGGTGACGATGCCTGACTACTCTTGAATACTGACAGGAATCCCAAAATCCCTGTGGCTACTGGAAAGGGTCCTTGGGTGCCCTGCCTCACCTCGAGAAGCGTCCGTTTTGCCCTGCCAAGCCTCGAAAGATTGCTGAGGTGTCCCTCGTTACTAGACAGGAGTCCTGACGTCACTGAAGAAACTCGTGTTTTGAAGGGCCATCCCCGCCGTAAGTCGAGAACATACCCCAGGTCCCGGCCACAACTCGAGAAAAACCATGAGACTTCCCCCTAGAGGCGAGATGAGGCCCCATTCCCCTGCAGTGCATGCAGAGCTATTCCGTGATCCCATTCAAACAAGTCAGGAGCTTCGACTTGCTTAATGGATCTCGAGACAGTCCCCAAGAACTCTGTCACCAGTCTAGACGGACCCTGACGTCACCCCAGCAACGCAAAGCACCTCCATGTGCCCCAAATCAACTCGAGATGAGGCCCGATTCCCCTGCATTGACTCCAGAGCCATTCCCCGTTCCCCATTCAACACGACCGGTGGCTCGACTTCCTTCAGGCAACTCCAAAGATGCCCCGAGAACACTGTCCCAGGTCTAGAGGAACTCCACCTTCAGCACAGCAACTCGAGGAAAGCTCCATGTACCACACATCGTCTCCAGATGAGAGCTGATTCCCTGGCTTAGGCTCAAGACGTATGCCAACTTTCCAGAAGCACCTCAGGAGGAGGCTTCTCTCAGCAACAGGTATGTGAGAGGGACCCCGAGTTTGCTGCCTCAAGAGGAATATACAGCAAGAAGCCCTAACTTGAAAGGAGGCCAGATTTCCTTGCAGTGGCTTGAATACAGGCTCGTCTTTCATCTCACAACATGAAGGGATGTCTGAATCCCCTGTGGAGACCTTAGAGAAAGCCCTAGGACCCTGCCTCATTTTGACGGAATGCCTAACATCCCGCAGACACCTCGAGAGGCACGCGGAGTTCATTGCTTCAAAAGGTGACGATGCCTGACTCCTCTTGAATACTGATAGGAATCGCAAAATAACTCTGGTTACTGGAAAGGGTCCTTGGGTGCCCTGCCTCACCTCGAGAAGCATCCCTTTTGCCCTGCCAAGCCTCGAAGAGATTCCTGATGTGTCCCTCGTTACTAGACAGGAGTCCTGACGTCACTGAAGAAACTCGTGTTTTGAAGGGCCATCCCCGCCGTAAGTCGAGAACATACCCCAGGTCCCAACCGCAACTCGAGAAAAACCATGAGACTTCCCCCTAGAGGCGAGATGAGGCCCCATTCCCCTGCAGTGCATGCAGAGCTATTCCGTGATCCCATTCAAACAAGTCAGGAGCTTCGACTTGCTTAATGGATATCGAGACAGTCCCCAAGAACACTGTCACCAGTCTAGACGGACCCTGAGGTCACCCCAGCAACGCAAAGCACCTCCATGTGCCCCAAGTCAACTCGAGATGAGGCCCGATTCCCCTGCATTGACTCCAGGGCCATTCCCCGTTCCCCATTCAACACGACCGGTGGCTCGACTTCCTTCAGGCAACTCCAGAGATGCCCCGAGAACACTGTCCCAGGTCTAGAGGAACTCCACCTTCAGCAGAGCAACTCGAGGAATGCTCCGTGTACCACAAATCGTCTCGAGATGAGAGCTGATTCCATGGCTTAGGCTCAAGACGTATGGCCACTTTCCAGAATCACATCAGGAGGAGGCTTCTCTCAGCAACAGGTATGTGGGAGGGACCCCGAGTTTGCTGCCTCAAGGGGAATATACAGCAAGAAGCCCTAACTTGAAAGGAGGCCGTATTTCCTTGCAGTGGCTTGAATACAGGCTCGTCTTTCATCTCACAACATGAAGGGATGTCTGAATCCCCTGTGGAGACCTTAGAGAAAGCCCTAGGTCCCTGCCTCATTTTGACGGAATGCCTCACATCCCGCTGACACCTCGAGAGGCACGTGGAGTTCATTGCTTCAAAACGTGACGATGCCTGACTCCTCTTGAATACTGATAGGAATCCCAAAATCCCTGTGGCTACTGGAAAGGGTCCTTGGGTGCCCTGCCTCACTTCGATAAACGTCCCTTTTGCCCTGCTAAGCCTCGAAGAGATTCCAGAGATGTCCCTCGTTACTAGACAGGAGTCCTGACGTCACTGAAGAAACTCGTGTTTTGAAGGGCCATCCCCGCCGTAAGTCGAGAACATACCCCAGGTCCCCTCCGCAACTCGAGAAAAACCATGAGACTTCCCCCTAGAGGCGAGATGAGGCCCCATTCCCCTGCAGTGCATGCAGAGCTATTCCGTGATCCCATTCAAACAAGTCAGGAGATTCGACTTGCTTAATGGATCTCGAGACAGTCCCCAAGAACACTGTCACCAGTCTAGACGGACCCTGAGGTCACCGCAGCAACACAAAGCAGCTCCATGTGCCCCAAAACAAAAAAAGATGAGGCCCGATTCCCATGGATTGACTCCAGAGCCTTTCCCGGTTCCCCATTCAACAAGACCGGTGGCTCGACTTCCTTCAGGCAACTCCCGAGATGCCCCGAGAACACTGTCCCAAGTCTAGAGGAACACCAACTTCAGCACAGCACCTCGAGGAATGCTCCGTGTACCCCAAATCGTCTCGAGATGAGAGCTGATTCCCTGGCTTAGGTCAAGCCGTATGCCAACTTTCCAGAAGCACCTCAGGAGGAGGCTTCTCTCAGCAATAGGTATGTGGGAGGGACCCCGAGTATGCTGCCTCAAGGGGAATATACAGCGAGAAGCCCTAACTTGAAAGGAGGCCGGATTTCCTTGCAGTGGCTAGAATACAGGCTCGTCTTTGATCTTAAAACCTGAAGGGATGTCTGAATCCCCTGTGGAGACCTTAGAGAAAGCCCTAGGTCCCTGCCTCATTTTGACGGAATGCCTCACATCCCGCTGACACCTCAAGAGGCACGTGGAGTTCATCGCTTCAAAAGGTGACGATGCCTGACTCCTCTTGAATACTGATAGGAATCCCAAAATCCCTGTGGCTACTGGAAAGGGTCCTTGGGTACCCTGCCTCACTTCGAGAAACGTCCCTTTTGCCCTGCCAAGCCTCGAAGAGATTCCTGAGGTGTCCCTCGTTACTAGACAGGAGTCCTGACGTCACTGAAGAAACTCGTGTTTTTAAGGGCCATCCCCCCCTTAAGTCGAGAACATACCCCAGGTCCCCCCCGCAACTCGAGAAAAACCATGAGACTTCCCCCTAGAGGCGAGATGAGGCCCCATTCCCCTGCAGTGCATGCAGAGCTATTCCATGATCCCATTCAAACAAGTCAGGAGCTTCGACTTGCTTAATGGATCTCGAGACAGTCCCCAAGAACACTGTCACCAGTCTAGACGGACCCTGAGGTCACCCCAGCAATGCAAAGCAGCTCCATGTGCCCCAAGTCAACCCGAGATGAGGCCCGATTCCCCTGCATTGACTCCAGAGCCATTCCCCGTTCCCCATTCAACACGACCGGTGGCTCGACTTCATTCAGGCAACTCCAGAGATGCCCCGAGAACACTGTCCCAAGTCTAGAGGAACTCCAACTTCAGCACGGCAACTCGAGGAATGCTCCGTGTACCCCAAATCGTCTCGAGATGAGAGCTGATTCCCTGGCTTTGGCTCAAGTCATATGCCAACTTTCCAGAAGCACCTCAGGAGGAGGGTTCTCTCAGCAATAGGTATGTGGGAGGGACCCCAGTTTACTGCCTCAAGGGGAATATACAGCGAGAAGCCCTAATTTGAAAGGAGGCCGGATTTCCTTGCAGTGGCTTGAATACAGGCTCCTCTTTCATCTCACAACATGAAGGGATGTCTGAATCCCCTGTGGAGACCTTAGAGAAAGCCCTAGGGCCCTGCCTCATTTTGACGGAATGCCTCACATCACGCTGACATCTCGATAGCCACGCAGAGTTCATTGCTTCAAAAGGTGACGATGCCTGACTCCTCTTGAATACTGGTAGGAATCCCAAAATCCCTGGGCTACTGGAAAGGGTCCTTGGGTGCCCTGCCTCACCTTGAGAAGCGTCCCTTTTGCCCTGCAAAGCCTCGAAGAGATTCCTGAGGTGTCCCTCGTTACTAGACAGGAGTCCTGACGTCACTGAAGAAACTCGTGTTTTGAAGGGCCATCCCCGCTGTAAGTCGAGAACATACCCCAGGTCCCCACCGCAACTCGAGAAAAAGCATGAGACCTCCCCCTAGAGGCGAGATGAGGCCCCATTCCCCTACAGTGCATGCAGAGCTATTCCGTGATCACATTCAAACACGTCAGGAGCTTCGACTTGCTTAATGGATCTCGAGACAGTCCCAAAGAACACTGTCACCAGTCTAGATGGACCCTGAGGTCACCCCAGCAACGCAAAGCAGCTCCATGTGCTCCAAGTCAACTCGAGATGAGGCCCGATTCCCCTGCATTGACTCCAGAGCCATTCCCCGTTCCCCATTCAACACGACCGGTGGCTCGACTTCCTTCAGGCAACTCCAGAGATGCCCCGAGAACACTGTCCCAGGTCTAGAGGAACTCCACCTTCAGCAGAGCAACTCAAGGAATGCTCCGTGTACCACAAATCGTCTCGTGATGAGAGCTGATTCCCTGGCTTAGGCTCAAGACGTATGCCAACTTTCCAGAAGCACCTCAGGAGGAGGCTTCTCTCAGCAATAGGTATGTGGGAGGGACCCCGAGTTTGTTGCCTCAAGGGGAATATACAGCGAGAAGCCCTAACTTGAAAGGAGCCCGGATTTCCTTGCAGTGGCTTGAATACAGGCTCGTCTTTCATCTCACAACATGAAGGGATGTCTGAATCCCCTGTCGAGACTTTAGAGAAAGCTCTAGGTCCCTGCCTCATTTTGACGGAATGCCTCACATCCCGGAGACACCTCGAGAGGCACGCGGAGTTCATTGCTTCAAAAGGTGACGATGCCTGACTCATCTTGAATACTGATAGGAATCCCAAAATAACTCTGGCTACTGGAAAGGGTCCTTGGGTGCCCTGCCTCACCTCGAGAAGCATCCCTGTTGCCCTGCCAAGCCTCGAAGAGATTCCTGATGTGTCCCTCGTTACTAGACAGGAGTCCTGACGTCACTGAAGAAACTCGTGTTTTGAAGGGCCATCCCCGCCGTAAGTCGAGAACATACCCCAGGTCCCCTCCGCAACTCGAGAAAAACCATGAGACTTCCCCCTAGATGCGAGATGAGGCCCCATTCCCCTGCAGTGCATGCAGAGCTATTCCGTGATCCCATTCAAACAAGTCAGGAGCTTCGACTTGCTTAATGGATCTCGAGACAGTCCCCAAGAACACTGTCACCAGTCTAGACGGACCCTGAAGTCACCGCAGCAACGCAAAGCAGCTCCATGTGCCCCAAATCAACTCGAGATGAGGCCCGATTCCCCTCCATTGCCTCCAGAGCCTTTCCCCGTTCCCCATTCAACAAGACCGGTGGCTCGACTTCCTTCAGGCAACTCCAGAAATGCCCCGAGAACACTGTCCCAAGTCTAGAGGAACACCAACTTCAGCACAGCAACTTGAAGAATGCTCCGTGTACCCCAAATCGTCTCGAGATGAGAGCTGATTCCCTGGCTTAGGCTCAAGACGTATGCCAACTTTCCAGAAGCACCTCAGGAGGAGTCTTCTCTCAGCAATAGGTACGTGGGAGGGACCCCGAGTATGCTGCTTCAAGGGGAATATACAGCGAGAAGCCCTAACTTGAAAGGAGGCCGGATTTCCTTGCAGTGGCTAGAATACAGGCTTGTCTTTGATCTCAAAACCTGAAGGGATGTCTGAATCCCCTGTGGAGACCTTAGAGAAAGCCCTAGGTCCCTGCCTCATTTTGATTGAATGCCTCACATCCCGCTGACTCCTCGCGAGGCACGCGGATTTCATTGCTTCAAAAGATGACGATGCCTGACTCCTCTTGAACACTGATAGGAATCCGAAAATCCCTGTGGCTACTGGAAAGGTTCCTTGGGTGCCCTGCCTCACCTAGAGAAGCGTCCCTTTTGCCCTGCCAAGCCTCGAAGAGATTCCTGAGGTGTCCCTCGTTACTAGACAGGAGTCCTGACGTCACTGAAGAAACTCGTGTTTTGAAGGGCCATCCCCGCCGTAAGTCGAGAACATACCCCAGGTCCCCACCGCAACTCGAGAAAAACCATGAGACTTCCCCCTAGAGGCGAGATGAGGCCCCATTCCCCTGCAGTGCATTCAGAGCTATTCCGTGATCCCATTCAAACAAGTCAGGAGCTTCGACTTGCTTAATGGGTCTCGTGACAGTCCCCAAGAACACTGTAAACAGTCTAGACGGACCCTGAGGTCAACCCAGCAACGCAAAGCAGCTCCATGTGCCCCAAATCAACTCGAGATGAGGCCCGATTCCCCTGCATTGACTCCAGAGCCATTCCCCGTTCCCCATTCAACAAGACCGGTGGCTCGACTTCCTTCAGGCAACTCCAGAGATGCCCCGAGAACACTGTCCCAAGTCTAGAGGAACTCCAACTTCAGCACAGCAACTCGAGGAATGCTCCGTGTACACCAAATCGTCTCGAGATGAGAGCTGATTCCCTGGCTTACGCTCAAGACGTATGCCAACTTTCCAGAAGCTCCTCAGGAGGAGGCTTCTCTCAGCAATAGGTATGTGGGTGGGACCCCGAGTTTGCTGCCTCAAGGGGAATATACAGCGCGAAGCCCTAACTTGAAAGGAGGCCGGATTTCCTTGCATTGGCTAGAATACAGGCTCGTCTTTGATCTCAAAACCTGAAGGGATGTCTCAATCCCCTGTGGAGACCTTAGAGAAAGCCCTAGGTCCCTGCCTCATTTTGACGGGATGCCTCACATCCCGCTGACACCTCGAGAGGTACGTGGAGTTCATTGCTTTAAAAGGTGACAATGCCTGACTCCTCTGGAATACTGATAGGAATCCCAAAATACCTCTGGCTACTGGAAAGGGTACTTGGGTGCCCTGCCTCACCTCGAGAAGCGTCCCTTTTCCCCTGCCAAGGCTCGAGGAGATTCCTGAGGTGGCCCTCGTTACTAGACAGGAGTCCTGACGTCACTGAAGAAACTCGTGTTTTTAAGGGCCATCCCCTCCGTAAGTCGAGAACATACCCCAGGTCCCCGCCGCAACTCGAGAAAAACCATGAGACTTCCCCCTAGAGGCCAGATGAGGCCCCATTCCCCTGCAGTGCATGCAGAGCTATTCCGTGATCCCATTCAAACAAGTCAGGAGCTTCGACTTGCTTAATGGATCTCGAGACAGTCCCCAAGAACACTGTCACCAGTCTAGACGGACCCTGAGGTCACCGCAGCAACGCAAAGCAGCTCTATGTGCCCCAAATCAACTCGAGATGAGGCCCGATTCCCCTGGATTGACACCAGAGCCTTTCCCCGTTCCACATTCAACACGACCGGTGGCTCGACTTCCTTCAGGCAACTCCAGAGATGCCCCGAGAACACTGTCCCAAGTCTAGAGGAACACCAACTTCAGCACAGCAACTCGAGGAATGCTCCGTGTACCCCAAATCGTCTCGAGATGAGAGCTGATTCCCTGGCTTAGGCTCAAGCCGTATGCCACCTTTCCAGAAGCACCTCAGGAGGAGGCTTCTCTCAGCAATAGGTATGTGGGAGGGACCCCGAGTATGCTGCCTCAAGGGGAATATACAGCGAGAAGCCCTAACTTGAAAGGAGGCCGGATTTCCTTTCAGTGGCTAGAATACAGGCTCGTCTTTGATCTTAAAACCTGAAGGGATGTCTGAATCCCCTGTGGAGACCTTAGAGAAAGCCCAGGTCCCTGCCTCATTTTGACGGAATGCCTCACATCCCGCTGACACCTCGAGAGGCACGTGGAGTTCATCGCTTCAAAAGGTGACGATGCCTGACTCCTCTTGAATACTGATAGGAATCCCAAAATCCCTGTGGCTACTGGAAAGGGTCCTTGGGTACCCTGCCTCACTTCGAGAAACGTCCCTTTTGCCCTGCCAAGCCTCGAAGAGATTCCTGAGGTGTCCCTCGTTACTAGACAGGAGTCCTGACGTCACTGAAGAAACTCGTGTTTTGAAGGGCCATCCCCCCCTTAAGTCGAGAACATACCCCAGGTCCCTGCCGCAACTCGAGAAAAACAATGAGACTTCCCCCTAGAGGCGAGATGAGGCCCCATTCCCCTGCAGTGCATGCAGAGCTATTCCGTGATCCCATTCAAACAAGTCAGGAGCTTCGACTTGCTTAATGGATCTCGAGACAGTCCCCAAGAACACTGTCACAAGTCTAGACGGACCCTAAGGTCACCCCAGCAATGCAAAGCAGCTCCATGTGCCCCAAGTCAACCCGAGATGAGGCCCGATTCCCCTGCATTGACTCCAGAGCCATTCCCCATTCCCCATTCAACACGACCGGTGGCTCGACTTCATTCAGGCAACTCCAGAGATGCCCCGAGAACACTGTCCCAAGTCTAGAGGAACTCCAACTTCAGCACGGCAACTCGAGGAATGCTCCGTGTACCCCAAATCGTCTCGAGATGAGAGCTGATTCCCTGGCTTAGGCTCAAATCATATGCCAACTTTCCAGAAGCACCTCAGGAGGAGGGTTCTCTCAGCAATAGGTATGTGGGAGGGACCCCAGTTTACTGCCTCAAGGGGAATATACAGCGAGAAGCCCTAATTTGAAAGGAGGCCGGATTTCCTTGCAGTGGCTTGAATACAGGCTGGTCTTTCATCTCACAACATGAAGGGATGTCTGAATCCCCTGTGGAGACCTTAGAGAAAGCCCTAGGGCCCTGCCTCATTTTGACGGAATGCCTCACATCACGCTGACATCTCGATAGCCACGCAGAGTTCATTGCTTCAAAAGGTGACGATGCCTGACTCCTCTTGAATACTGGTAGGAATCCCAAAATCCCTGGGCTACTGGAAAGGGTCCTTGGGTGCCCTGCCTCACCTTGAGAAGCGTCCCTTTTGCCCTGCAAAGCCTCGAAGAGATTCCTGAGGTGTCCCTCGTTACTAGACAGGAGTCCTGACGTCACTGAAGAAACTCGTGTTTTGAAGGGCCATCCCCGCCGTAAGTCGAGAACATACCCCAGGTCCCCACCGCAACTCGAGAAAAACCATGAGACCTCCCCCTAGAGGCGAGATGAGGCCCCATTCCCCTACAGTGCATGCAGAGCTATTCCGTGATCCCATTCAAACACGTCAGGAGCTTCGACTTGCTTAATGGATCTCGAGACAGTCCCAAAGAACACTGTCACCAGTCTAGATGGACCCTGAGGTCACCCCAGCAACGCAAAGCAGCTCCATGTGCGCCAAGTCAACTCGAGATGAGGCCCGATTCCCCTGCATTGACTCCAGAGCCATTCCCCGTTCCCCATTCAACACGACCGGTGGCTCGACTTCCTTCAGGCAACTCCAGAGATGCCCCGAGAACACTGTCCCAGGTCTAGAGGAACTCCACCTTCAGCAGAGCAACTCAAGGAATGCTCCGTGTACCACAAATCGTCTCGTGATGAGAGCTGATTCCCTGGCTTAGGCTCAAGACGTATGCCAACTTTCCAGAAGCACCTCAGGAGGAGGCTTCTCTCAGCAATAGGTATGTGGGAGGGACCCCGAGTTTGCTGCCTCAAGGGGAATATACAGCGAGAAGCCCTAACTTGAAAGGAGCCCGGATTTCCTTGCAGTGGCTTGAATACAGGCTCGTCTTTCATCTCACAACATGAAGGGATGTCTGAATCCCCTGTCGAGACTTTAGAGAAAGCTCTAGGTCCCTGCCTCATTTTGACGGAATGCCTCACATCCCGCAGACACCTCGAGAGGCACGCGGAGTTCATTGCTTCAAAAGGTGACGATGCCTGACTCATCTTGAATACTGATAGGAATCCCAAAATAACTCTGGCTACTGGAAAGGGTCCTTGGGTGCCCTGCCTCACCTCGAGAAGCATCCCTGTTGCCCTGCCAAGCCTCGAAGAGATTCCTGATGTGTCCCTCGTTACTAGACAGGAGTCCTGACGTCACTGAAGAAACTCGTGTTTTGAAGGGCCATCCCCGCCGTAAGTCGAGAACATACCCCAGGTCCCCACCGCAACTCGAGAAAAACCATGAGACTTCCCCCTAGATGCGAGATGAGGCCCCATTCCCCTGCAGTGCATGCAGAGCTATTCCGTGATCCCATTCAAACAAGTCAGGAGCTTCGACTTGCTTAATGGATCTCGAGACAGTCCCCAAGAACACTGTCACCAGTCTAGACGGACCCTGAAGTCACCGCAGCAACGCAAAGCAGCTCCATGTGCCCCAAATCAACTCGAGATGAGGCCCGATTCCCCTCCATTGCCTCCAGAGCCTTTCCCCGTTCCCCATTCAACAAGACCGGTGGCTCGACTTCCTTCAGGCAACTCCAGAAATGCCCCGAGAACACTGTCCCAAGTCTAGAGGAACACCAACTTCAGCACAGCAACTTGAAGAATGCTCCGTGTACCCCAAATCGTCTCGAGATGAGAGCTGATTCCCTGGCTTAGGCTCAAGACGTATGCCAACTTTCCAGAAGCACCTCAGGAGGAGTCTTCTCTCAGCAATAGGTACGTGGGAGGGACCCCGAGTATGCTGCTTCAAGGGGAATATACAGCGAGAAGCCCTAACTTGAAAGGAGGCCGGATTTCCTTGCAGTGGCTAGAATACAGGCTCGTCTTTGATCTCAAAACCTGAAGGGATGTCTGAATCCCCTGTGGAGACCTTAGAGAAAGCCCTAGGTCCCTGCCTCATTTTGACTGAATGCCTCACATCCCGCTGACTCCTCGCGAGGCACGCGGATTTCATTGCTTCAAAAGATGACGATGCCTGACTCCTCTTGAACACTGATAGGAATCCGAAAATCCCTGTGGCTACTGGAAAGGTTCCTTGGGTGCCCTGCCTCACCTAGAGAAGCGTCCCTTTTGCCCTGCCAAGCCTCGAAGAGATTCCTGAGGTGTCCCTCGTTACTAGACAGGAGTCCTGACGTCACTGAAGAAACTCGTGTTTTGAAGGGCCATCCCCGCCGTAAGTCGAGAACATACCCCAGGTCCCCACCGCAACTCGAGAAAAACCATGAGACTTCCCCCTAGAGGCGACATGAGGCCCCATTCCCCTGCAGTGCATTCAGAGCTATTCCGTGATCCCATTCAAACAAGTCAGGAGCTTCGACTTGCTTAATGGGTCTCGTGACAGTCCCCAAGAACACTGTCAACAGTCTAGACGGACCCTGAGGTCAACCCAGCAACGCAAAGCAGCTCCATGTGCCCCAAATCAACTCGAGATGAGGCCCGATTCCCCTGCATTGACTCCAGAGCCATTCCCCGTTCCCCATTCAACAAGACCGGTGGCTCGACTTCCTTCAGGCAACTCCAGAGATGCCCCGAGAACACTGTCCCAAGTCTAGAGGAACTCCAACTTCAGCACAGCAACTCGAGGAATGCTCCGTGTACACCAAATCGTCTCGAGATGAGAGCTGATTCCCTGGCTTACGCTCAAGACGTATGCCAACTTTCCAGAAGCTCCTCAGGAGGAGGCTTCTCTCAGCAATAGGTATGTGGGTGGGACCCCGAGTTTGCTGCCTCAAGGGGAATATACAGCGCGAAGCCCTAACTTGAAAGGAGGCCGGATTTCCTTGCATTGGCTAGAATACAGGCTCGTCTTTGATCTCAAAACCTGAAGGGATGTCTCAATCCCCTGTGGAGACCTTAGAGAAAGCCCTAGGTCCCTGCCTCATTTTGACGGGATGCCTCACATCCCGCTGACACCTCGAGAGGTACGTGGAGTTCATTGCTTTAAAAGGTGACAATGCCTGACTCCTCTGGAATACTGATAGGAATCCCAAAATACCTCTGGCTACTGGAAAGGGTACTTGGGTGCCCTGCCTCACCTCGAGAAGCGTCCCTTTTCCCCTGCCAAGGCTCGAGGAGATTCCTGAGGTGGCCCTCGTTACTAGACAGGAGTCCTGACGTCACTGAAGAAACTCGTGTTTTTAAGGGCCATCCCCTCCGTAAGTCGAGAACATACCCCAGGTCCCCACCGCAACTCGAGAAAAACCATGAGACTTCCCCCTAGAGGCGAGATGAGGCCCCATTCCCCTGCAGTGCATGCAGAGCTATTCCGTGATCCCATTCAAACAAGTCAGGAGCTTCGACTTGCTTAATGGATCTCGAGACAGTCCCCAAGAACACTGTCACCAGTCTAGACGGACCCTGAAGTCACCGCAGCAACGCAAAGCAGCTCCATGTGCCCCAAATCAACTCGAGATGAGGCCCGATTCCCCTCCATTGCCTCCAGAGCCTTTCCCCGTTCCCCATTCAACAAGACCGGTGGCTCGACTTCCTTCAGGCAACTCCAGAAATGCCCCGAGAACACTGTCCCAAGTCTAGAGGAACTCCAACTTCAGCACGGCAACTCGAGGAATGCTCCGTGTACCCCAAATCGTCTCGAGATGAGAGCTGATTCCCTGGCTTAGGCTCAAGACGTATGCCAACTTTCCAGAAGCACCTCAGGAGGAGTCTTCTCTCAGCAATAGGTACGTGGGAGGGACCCCGAGTATGCTGCTTCAAGGGGAATATACAGCGAGAAGCCCTAACTTGAAAGGAGGCCGGATTTCCTTGCAGTGGCTAGAATACAGGCTCGTCTTTGATCTCAAAACCTGAAGGGATGTCTGAATCCCCTGTGGAGACCTTAGAGAAAGCCCTAGGTCCCTGCCTCATTTTGACTGAATGCCTCACATCCCGCTGACTCCTCGCGAGGCACGCGGATTTCATTGCTTCAAAAGATGACGATGCCTGACTCCTCTTGAACACTGATAGGAATCCGAAAATCCCTGTGGCTACTGGAAAGGTTCCTTGGGTGCCCTGCCTCACCTAGAGAAGCGTCCCTTTTGCCCTGCCAAGCCTCGAAGAGATTCCTGAGGTGTCCCTCGTTACTAGACAGGAGTCCTGACGTCACTGAAGAAACTCGTGTTTTGAAGGGCCATCCCCGCCGTAAGTCGAGAACATACCCCAGGTCCCCACCGCAACTCGAGAAAAACCATGAGACTTCCCCCTAGAGGCGAGATGAGGCCCCATTCCCCTGCAGTGCATTCAGAGCTATTCCGTGATCCCATTCAAACAAGTCAGGAGCTTCGACTTGCTTAATGGATCTCGAGACAGTCCCCAAGAACTCTGTCACCAGTCTAGACGGACCCTGAGGTCACCGCAGCAACGCAAAGCACCTCCATGTGCCCCAAGTCAACTCGATATGAGGGCCGATTCCCCTGCATTGACTACAGAGCCATTCCCCGTTCCCCATTCAACACGACCGGTGGCTCGACTTCCTTCAGGCCACTCAAGAGATGCCCCGAGAACACTGTCCCATGTCTAGAGGAACTCCACCTTCAGCACAGCAACTCGAGGAATGCTCCGTGTACCACAAATCGTCTCGAGATGAGAGCTGATTCCCTGGCTTAGGCTCAAGACGTATGCCAACATTCCAGAAGCACCTCAGGAGCAGGCTTCTCTCAGCAATAGTTATGTGGGAGGGACCCCGAGTTTGCTGCCTCAAGGGGAATATACAGCGAGAAGCCCTAACTTGAAAGGAGGCCGGATTTCCTTGCAGTGGCTTGAATACAGGCGCGTCTTTCATCTCACAACATGAAGGGATGTCTGAATCCCCTGTGGAGACCTTAGAGAAAGCCCTAGGTCCCTGCCTCATTTTGACGGAATGCCTCACGTCCCGCTGACACCTCGAGAGGCACGCGGAGTTCCTTGCTTCAAAAGGTGATGATGCCTGACTCCTCTTGAATACTGATAGGAATCCCAAAATCCCTGTGGCTACTGGAAAGGGTCCTTGGGTGCCCTGCCTCACCTCGAGAAGCGTCCCTTTTGCCCTGCCAAGCCTCGAAGAGATTCATGAGGTGTCCCTCGTTACTAGACAGGAGTCCTGACGTCCCTGAAGAAACTCGTGTTTTGAAGGGCCATCCCCGCCGTAAGTCGAGAACATACCCCAGGTCCCCACCGCAACTCGAGAAAAACCATGAGACTTCCCCCTAGGGGCGAGATGAGGCCCCATTCCCCTGCAGTGCATGCAGAGCTATTCCGAGATCCCATTCAAACAAGTCAGGATCTTCGACTTGCTTAATGGATCTTGAGACAGTCCCCAAGAACACTGTCACCAGTCTAGACGGACCCTGAGGTCACCCCAGCAACGCAAAGCAGCTCCATGTGCCCCACATCAACTCGAGACGAGGCCTGATTCCACTGCATTGACTCCAGAGACATTCCCTGTTCACCATTCAACACGACCGGTGGCTCGACTTCCTTCAGGCAACTCCAGAGATGCCCCGAGAACACTGCCCCAAGTCTAGAGGAACTCCAACTTCAGCACAGCAACTCGAGGATTGCTCCGTGTACCCCAAATCGTCTCGAGATGAGAGCTGATTCCCTGACTTAGGCTAAAGACCTATGCCAACTTTCCAGAAGCACCTCAGGAGGAGGCTTCTCTCAGCAATAGGTATGTGGGAGGGACCTCGAGTTTGCTGCCTCAAGGGGAATATACACCGAGAAGCCCTAACTTGAAAGAAGGCTGGATTTCCTTGCAATGGCTTGAATACAGGCTCCTCTTTCATCTCACAACATGAAGGGATGTCTGAATCCCCTGTGGAGACCTTAGAGAAAGACCTAGGTCTCTGCTTCATTTTGACGGAATGCCTCACATCCCGCTGACACCTCGAGAGGCACGCGGAGTTCATTGCTTCAAAAGATGACAATGCCTGACTCCTCTTGAATACTGATAGGAATCCCAAACTCCCTGTGGCTACTGGAAAGGGTCCTTGGGTGCCCTGCCTCACTTCGAGAAGCGTCCCTTTCGCCCTGCCAAGGCTCGAGGAGATTCCTGAGGTGGCCCTCGTTACTAGACAGGAGTCCTGACGTCACTGAAGAAACTCGTGTTTTGAAGGGCCATCCCCGCCGTAAGTCGAGAACATACTCCAGGTCCCCGCCGCAACTCGAGAAAAACCATGAGACTTCCCCCTAGAGGCGAGATGAGGCCCCATTCCCATGCAGTGCATGCAGAGCTATTCCGTGATCCCATTCAAACAAGTCAGGAGCTTCGACTTGCTTAATGGATCTCGAGACAGTCCCCAAGAACACTGTCACCAGTGTAGACGGACCTTGAGGTCACCCCAGCAACGGAAAGCAGCTCCATGTGCCCCAAGTCAACTCGAGATGAGGCCCGATTCCCCTGCATTGACTCCAGAGCCATTCCCCGTTCCCCATTAAACACGACCGGTGGCTCGACTTCCTTCAGGCAACTCCAGAGATGCCCCGAGAACACTGTCCCAAGTCTAGAGGAACATCCAACTTCAGCACAGCAACTCGAGGAATGTTCCGTGTACCCCATATCGTCTCGAGATGAGAGCTGATTCCCTGGCTTAGGCTCAAGACGTATGCCAACTATCCAGAAGCACCTCGGAGGAGGCTTCTCTCAACAATAGGTTTGTGGGAGGGACCCCAGTTTGCTGCCTCAAGGGGAATATACAGCGAGAAGCCCTAACTTGAAAGGAGGCCGGATTTCCTTGCAGTGGCTTGAATACAGGCTCGTCTTTCATCTCACAACATGAAGGGATGTCTGAATCCCCTGTGGAGACCTTAGAGAAAGCCCTAGGTACCTGCCTCATTTTGACGGAATGCCTCACATCCCGCTGACACCTCGAGAGGCACGCGGAGTTCATTGCTTCAAAAGGTGACGATGCCTGACTCCTCTTGAATACTGATAGGAATCCCAAAATAACTCTGGCTACTGGAAAGGGTCCTTCGGTGCCCTGCTTCACCTCGAGAAGCGTCCCTTTTGCCCTGGCAAGCCTCGAAGAGATTCCTGAGGTTTCCCTCGTTACTAGACAGGAGTCCTGACGTCACTGAAGAAACTCGTGTTTTTAAGGGCCATCCCCTCCGTAAGTCGAGAACATACCCCAGGTCCCCGCCGCAACTCGAGAAAAACCATGAGACTTCCCCCTAGAGGCGAGATGAGGCCCCATTCCCCTGCAGTGCATGCAGAGCTATTCCGTGATCCCATTCAAACAAGTCAGGAGCTTCGACTTGCTTAATGGATCTCGAGACAGTCCCCAAGAACACTGTCACCAGTCTAGACGGACCCTGAGGTCACCTCAGCAACGCAAAGCAGCTCTATGTGCCCCAAATCAACTCGAGATGAGGCCCGATTCCCCTGGATTGACTCCAGAGCCTTTCCCCGTTCCACATTCAACATGACCGGTGGCTCGACTTCCTTCAGGCAACTCCAGAGATGCCCTGAGAACACTGTCCCAAGTCTAGAGGAACACCAACTTCAGCACAGCAACTCGAGGAATGCTCCGTGTACCATAAATCGTCTCGAGATGAGAGCTGATTCCCTGGCTTAGGCTCAAGACGTATGCCAACTTTCCAGAAGCACCTCAGGAGGAGGCTTCTCTCAGCAATAGGTATGTGGGAGGGACCCCGAGTTTGCTGCCTCAAGGGGAATATACAGCGAGAAGCCCTAACTCGAAAGGAGGCCGGATTTCCTTGCAGTGGCTTGAATACAGGCTCGTCTTTCATCTCACAACATGATGGGATATCTGAATCCCCTGTGGAGACCTTAGAGAAAGCCCTAGGTCCCTGCCTCATTTTGACGGAATGCCTCACATCCCGCTGACACCTCGAGAGGCACGTGGAGTTCATTGCTTCAAAACGTGACGATGCCTGACTCCTCTTGAATACTGATAGGAATCCCAAAATCCCTGTGCCTAGTGGAAAGGGTCCTTGGGTGCCCTGCCTCACCTCGAGAAGCGTCCGTTTTGCCCTGCCAAGCCTCGAAGAGATTCCTGAGGTGTCCCTCGTTACTAGACAGGAGTCCTGACGTCACTGAAGAAACTCGTGTTTTGAAGGGCCATCCCCGCCGTAAGTCGAGAACATACCCCAGGTCCCCGCCGCAACTCGAGAAAAACCATGAGATTTCCCCCTAGAGGCGAGATGAGGCCCCATTCCCCTGCAGTGCATGCAGAGCTATTCCGTGATCCCATTCAAACAAGTCAGGAGCTTCGACTTGCTTAATGGATCTCGAGACAGTCCCCAAGAACTCTGTCACCAGTCTAGACGGACCCTGAGGTTACCCGAGCAACACAAAGCACCTCCATGTGCCCCAAGTCAACTCGAGATGAGGCCCGATTCCCCTGCATTGACTCCAGAGCCATTCTCCGTTCCCCATTCAACACGACCGGTGGCTCGACTTCCTTCAGGCAACTCCAGAGATGCCCCGAGAACACTATCCCAGGTCTAGAGGAACTCCACCTTCAGCACAGCAACTCGAGGAATGCTCCGTGTACCCCATATCATCTCTAGATGAGAGCTGATTCCCTGGCTTAGGCTCAAGACGTATGCCAACTTTCCAGAAGCACCTCAGGAGGAGGCTTCTCTCAGCAATAGGTATGTGGGAGGGACCCCGAGTTTGCTGCCTCAAGGGGAATATACAGCGAGAAGCCCTAACTTGAAAGGAGGCCGGATTTCCTTTCAATGGCTTGAATACCGGCTCCTCTTTCATCTCACAACATGAAGGGATGTCTGAATCCCCTGTGGAGACCTTAGAGAAAGACCTAGGTGTCTGCCTCATTTTGACGGAATGCCTCACATCCCGCTGACACCTCGAGAGGCACGCGGAGTTCATTGCTTCAAAAGATGACGATGCCTGACTCCTCTTGAATACTGATAGGAATCCCAAACTCCCTGTGGCTACTGGAAAGGGTCCTTGGGTGCCCTGCCTCACCTCGAGAAGCGTCCCTTTCGCCCTGCCAAGGCTCGAGGATATTCCTGAGGTGGCCCTCGTTACTAGACAGGAGTCCTGACGTCACTGAAGAAGCTCGTGTTTTGAAGGGACATCCCCGCCGTAAGTCGAGAACATACCCCAAGTACCCGCCGCAACTGGAGAAAAACCATGAGACTTCCCCCTAGCGTCCAGATGAGGCCCCATTCCCCTGCAGTGCATGCAGAGCTATTCCGTGATCCCATTCAAACAAGTCAGGAGCTTCGACTTGCTTAATGGATCTCGAGACAGTCCCCAAGAACACTGTCACCAGTCTAGAAGGACCTTGAGGTCACCCCAGCAACGGAAAGCAGGTCCATGTGCCCCAAGTCAACTCGAGATGAGGCCCGATTCCCCTGCATTGACTCCAGAGCCATTCCCCGTTCCCCATTCAACACGACCGGTGGCTCGACTTCCTTCAGGCAACTCCAGAGATGCCCCGAGAACACTGTCCCAAGTCTAGAGGAACTCCAACTTCAGCACAGCAACTCGAGGATTGCTCCGTGTACCCCAAATCGTCTCGAGATGAGAGCTGATTCCCTGGCTTAGGCTAGATATATGCCAACTTTCCAGAAGAACCTCAGGAGGAGGCTTCTCTCAGCAATAGGTATGTGGGAGGGACCTCGAGTTTGCTGCCTCAAGGGGAATATACAGCGAGAAGCCCTAACTTGAAAGGAGGCCGGATTTCCTTGCGGTGGCTTGAATACAGGCTCGTCTTTCATGTCACAACCTGAAGGGATGTCTGAATCCACTGTGGAGATCTTAGAGAAATCCCTAGGTCCCTGCCTCATTTTGACGGAATGCCTCACATCCCGCTGACACCTCGAGAGGCACGCGGAGTTCATTGCTTCAAAAGGTGACGATGCCTGACTCCTCTTGAATACTGATAGGAATCCCAAAATAACTCTGGCTACTGGAAAGGGTCCTTGGGTGGCCTGCCTCATCTCGAGAAGCGTCCTTTTGCCCTGCAAAGCCTCGAAGAGATTCCTGAGGTGTCCCTCGTTACTAGACAGGAGTCCTGACGTCACTGAAGAAACTCGTGTTTTGAAGGGCCATCCCCGCCGTAAGTTGAGAACATACCCCAGGTCCCCGCCGCAACTCGAGAAAAACCATGAGACTTCCCCCTAGAGGCGAGATGAGGCCCCATTCCCCTGCAGTGCATGCAGAGCTATTCCGTGATCCCATTCAAACAAGTCAGGAGCTTCGACTTGCTTAATGGGTCTCGAGACAGTCCCCAAGAACACTGTCACCAGTCTAGACGGACCCTGAGGTCACCTCAGCAACGCAAAGCAGCTCCATGTGCCCCAAATCAACTCGAGATGAGGCCCGATTCCCCTGCATTGCCTCCAGAGCCTTTTCCCGTTCCCTATTCAACACGACCGGTGGCGCGACTTCCTGCAGGCAACTCCAGAAATGCCCCGAGAACACTGTCCCAAGTCTAGAGGAACACCAACTTCAGCACAGCAACTCGAGGAATGCTCCGTGTACCCCAAATCGTCTCGAGATGAGAGCTGATTCCCTGGCTTAGGCTCAAGACGTATGCCAACTTTCCAGAAGCACCTCAGGAGGAGTCTTCTCTCAGCAATAGGTATGTGGGAGGGACCCCGAGTATGCTGCTTCAAGTGGAATATACAGCAAGAAGCCCTAACTTGAAAGGAGGCCGGATTTCCTTGCAGTGGCTAGAATACAGGCTCGTCTTTGATCTCAAAACCTGAAGGGATGTCTGAATCCCCTGTGGAGACCTTAGAGAAAGCCCTATGCCCCTGCCTCATTTTGACGGAATGCCTCACATCCCGCTGACACTTCGAGAGGCACGCGGATTTCATTGCTTCAAAAGATGACGATGCCTGACTCCTCTTGAATACTGATAGGAATCCCAAAATAACTCTGGCTACTGGAAAGGGTCCTTGGGTTGCCTGCCTCATCTCGAGAAGCGTCCCTTTTGCCCTGCAAAGCCTCGAAGAGATTCCTGAGGTGTCCCTCGTTACTAGACAGGAGTCCTAACGTCACTGAGGAAACTCGTGTTTTGAAGGGCCATCCCCGCCGTAAGTCGAGAACATACCCCAGGTCCCCGCCGAAACTCGAGAAAAACCATGAGACTTCCCCCTAGAGGCGAGATGAGGCCCCATTCCCCTGCAGTGCATGCAGAGCTATTCCGTGATCCTATTCAAACAAGTCAGGAGCTTCGACTTGCTTAATGGATCTCGAGACAGTCCCCAAGAACACTGTCACCAGTCTAGACGGACCCTGAGGTCTCCCCAGCAACGGAAAGCAGCTCCATGTGCCCCAAGTCACCTCGAGATGAGGCCCGATTCCCCTGCATTGACTCCAGAGCCATTCCCCGTTCGCCATTCAACACGACCGGTGGCTCGACTTCCTTCAGGCAACTCCAGAGATGCCCCGAGAAAACTGTCCCAAGTCTAGAGGAACTCCAACTTAAGCACAGCAACTCGGGGAATGCTCCGTGTACCGCAAATCGTCTCGAGATGAGAGCTGATTCCCTGGCTTAGGCTCAAGATATATGCCAACTTTCCAGAAGCACCTCAGGAGGAGGCTTCTCTCAGCAATAGGGAAGTGGGAGGGACCCCAGTTTGCTGCCTCAAGGGGAATATACAGCGAGAAGCCCTAACTTGAAAGGAGGCCGGATTTCCTTGCAGTGGCTTGAATACAGGCTCGTCTTTCATCTCACAACATGAAGGGATGTCTGAATCCCCTGTGGAGACCTTAGAGAAAGCCCTAGGTCCCTGCCTCATTTTGACGGAATGCCTCACATCCCGCTGACACCTCGAGAGGCACGCGGAGTTCATTGCTTCAAAAGGTGACGATGCCTGACTCCTCTTGAATACTGATAGGAATCCCAAAATCTCTGTGGCTACTGGAAAGGGTCCTTGGGTGCCCTGCCTCACTTCGATAAACGTCCCTTTTGCCCTGCCAAGCCTCGAAGAGATTCCAGAGATGTCCCTCGTTACTAGACAGGAGTCCTGACGTCACTGAAGAAACTCGTGTTTTGAAGGGCCATCCCCGCCTTAAGTCGAGAACATACCCCAGGTCCCTGCCGCAACTCGAGAAAAACCATGAGACTTCCCCCTAGAGGCGAGATGAGGCCCCATTCCCCTGCAGTGCATGCAGAGCTATTCCGTGATCCCATTCAAACAAGTCAGGAGCTTCGACTTGCTTAATGGATCTCGAGAGAGTCCCCTAGAACACTGTCACCAGTCTAGATGGACCCTGAGGTCACCCCAGCAACGCAAAGCAGCTCCATGTGCCCCAAGTCAACTCGAGATGAGGCCCGATTCCCCTGCATTGACTCCAGAGCCATTCCCCGTTCCCCATTCAACAAGACCGGTGGCTCGACTTCCTTCAGGCAACACCAGAGATGCCCTGAGAACACTGTCCAAAATCTAGAGGAACTCCAACTTCAGCACAGCAACTCAAGGAATGCACCGTGTACCCCAAATCGTCTCGAGATGAGAGCTGATTCCCTGGCTTAGGCTCAAGACGTATGCCAACTTTCCAGAAGCACCTCAGGAGGAGGCTTCTCTCAGCAATAGGTATGTGGGAGGGACCCCAGTTTGCTGCCTCAAGGGAAATATACAGCGAGAAGCCCTAACTTGAAAGGAGGCCGGATTTCCTTGCAGTGGCTTGAATACAGGCTCGTGTTTCATCTCACAACATGAAGGGATGCCTAAATCCCCTGTGGAGACCTTAGAGAAAGCCCTAGGTCCCTGCTTCATTTTGACGGAATGCCTCACATCCAGCTGACATCTCTAGAGGCACGCGGAGTTCATTGCTTCAAAAGGTGACGATGCCTGACTCCTCTTGAATACTGATAGGAATCCCAAAATCCCTGTGGCTACTGGAAAGAGTCCTTGGGTGCCCTGCCTCACCTCGAGAAGCGTCCCTTTTGCCCTGCAAAGCCTCGAAGAGATTCCTGAGATGTCCCTCGTTACTAGACAGGAGTCCTGACGTCACTGAAGAAACTCGTGTTTTGAAGGGCCATCCCCGCCGTAAGTCGAGAACATACCCCAGGTCCCCGCCGCAACTCGAGAAAAACCATGAGACTTCCCCCTAGAGGCGAGATGAGGCCCCATTCCCCTGCAGTGCATGCAGAGCTATTCCGTGATCCCATTCAAACAAGTCAGGAGATTCGACTTGCTTAATGGATCTCGAGACAGTCCCCAAGAACACTGTCACCAGTCTAGACGGACCCTGAGGTCACCGCAGCAACACAAAGCAGCTCCATGTGCCCCAAATCAACTAAAGATGAGGCCCGATTCCCATGGATTGACTCCAGAGCCTTTCCCCGTTCCCCATTCAACACGACCGGTGGCTCGACTTCCTTCAGGCAACGCCCGAGATGCCCCGTGAACACTGTCCCAAGTCTAGAGGAACACCAACTTCAGCACAGCACCTCGAGGAATGCTCCGTGTACCCCAAATCGTCTCGAGATGAGAGCTGATTCCCTGGCTTAGGCTCAAGCCGTATGCCAACTTTCCAGAAGCACCTCAGGAGGAGGCTTCTCTCAGCAATAGGTATGTGGGAGGGACCCCGAGTATGCTGCCTCAAGGGGAATATACAGCGAGAAGCCCTAACTTGAAAGGAGGCCGGATTTCCTTGCAGTGGCTAGAATACAAGCTCGTCTTTGATCTTAAAACCTGAAGGGATGTCTGAATCCCCTGTGGAGACCTTAGAGAAAGCCCTAGGTCCCTGCCTCATTTTGACGGAATGCCTCACATCCCGCTGACACCTCGAGAGGCACGTGGAGTTCATCGCTTCAAAAGGTGACGATGCCTGACTCCTCTTGAATACTGATAGGAATCCCAAAATCCCTGTGGCTACTGGAAAGGGTCCTTGGGTACCCTGCCTCACTTCGAGAAACGTCCCTTTTGCCCTGCCAAGCCTCGAAGAGATTCCTGAGGTGTCCCTCGTTACTAGACAGGAGTCCTGACGTCACTGAAGAAACTCGTGTTTTTAAGGGCCATCCCCCCCTTAAGTCGAGAACATACCCCAGGTCCCTGCCGCAACTCGAGAAAAACCATGAGACTTCCCCCTAGAGGCGAGATGAGGCCCCATTCCCCTGCAGTGCATGCAGAGCTATTCCGTGATCCCATTCAAACAAGTCAGGAGCTTCGACTTGCTTAATGGATCTCAAGACAGTCCCCAAGAACACTGTCACCAGTCTAGACGGACCCTGAGGTCACCCCAGCAATGCAAAGCAGCTCCATGTGCCCCAAGTCAACCCGAGATGAGGCCCGATTCCCCTGCATTGACTCCAGAGCCATTCCCCGTTCCCCATTCAACACGACCGGTGGCTCGACTTCATTCAGGCAACTCCAGAGATGCCCCGAGAACACTGTCCCAAGTCTAGAGGAACTCCAACTTCAGCACGGCAACTCGAGGAATGCTCCGTGTACCCCAAATCGTCTCGAGATGAGAGCTGATTCCCTGGCTTAGGCTCAAGTCATATGCCGACTTTCCAGAAGCACCTCAGGAGGAGGGTTCTCTCAGCAATAGGTATGTGGGAGGGACCCCAGTTTACTGCCTCAAGGGGAATATACAGCGAGAAGCCCTAATTTGAAAGGAGGCCGGATTTCCTTGCAGTGGCTTGAATACAGGCTCGTCTTTCATCTCACAACATGAAGGGATGTCTGAATCCCCTGTGGAGACCTTAGAGAAAGCCCTTGGGCCCTGCCTCATTTTGACGGAATGCCTCACATCCCGCTGACACCTTGAGAGGCACGCGGATTTCATTGCTTCAAAAGATGACGATGCCTGACTCCTCTTGAACACTGATAGGAATCCGAAAATCCCTGTGGCTACTGGAAAGGTTCCTTGGGTGCCCTGCCTCACCTAGAGAAGCGTCCCTTTTGCCCTGCCAAGCCTCGAAGAGATTCCTGAGGTGTCCCTCGTTACTAGACAGGAGTCCTGACGTCACTGAAGAAACTCGTGTTTTGAAGGGCCATCCCCGCCGTAAGTCGAGAACATACCCCAGGTCCCCACCGCAACTCGAGAAAAACCATGAGACTTCCCCCTAGAGGCGAGATGAGGCCCCATTCCCCTGCAGTGCATTCAGAGCTATTCCGTGATCCCATTCAAACAAGTCAGGAGCTTCGACTTGCTTAATGGGTCTCGTGACAGTCCCCAAGAACACTGTCACCAGTCTAGACGGACCCTGAGGTCAACCCAGCAACGCAAAGCAGCTCCATGTGCCCCAAATCAACTCGAGATGAGGCCCGATTCCCCTGCATTGACTCCAGAGCCATTCCCCGTTCCCCATTCAACAAGACCGGTGGCTCGACTTCCTTCAGGCAACTCCAGAGATGCCCCGAGAACACTCTCCCAAGTCTAGAGGAACTCCAACTTCAGCACAGCAACTCGAGGAATGCTCCGTGTACACCAAATCGTCTCGAGATGTGAGCTGATTCCCTGGCTTAGGCTCAAGACGTATGCCAACTTTCCAGAAGCACCTCAGGAGGAGGCTTCTCTCAGCAATAGGTATGTGGGTGGGACCCCGAGTTTGCTGCCTCAAGGGGAATATACAGCGCGAAGCCCTAACTTGAAAGGAGGCCGGATTTCCTTGCAGTGGCTAGAATACAGGCTCGTCTTTGATCTCAAAACCTGAAGGGATGTCTCAATCCCCTGTGGAGACCTTAGAGCAAGCCCTAGGTCCCTGCCTCATTTTGACGGGATGCCTCACATCCCGCTGACACCTCGAGAGGTACGTGGAGTTCATTGCTTCAAAAGGTGACAATGCCTGACTCCTCTGGAATACTGATAGGAATCCCAAAATACCTCTGGCTACTGGAAAGGGTCCTTGGGTGCCCTGCCTCACCTCGAGAAGCGTCCCTTTTGCCATGCCAAGGCTCGAGGAGATTCCTGAGTTGGCCCTCGTTACTAGACAGGAGTCCTGACGTCACTGAAGAAACTCGTGTTTTTAAGGGCCATCCCCTCCGTAAGTCGAGAACATACCCCAGGTCCCCGCCGCAACTCGAGAAAAACCATGAGACTTCCCCCTAGAGGCGAGATGAGGCCCCATTCCCCTGCAGTGCATGCAGAGCTATTCCGTGATCCCATTCAAACAAGTCAGGAGCTTCGACTTGCTTAATGGATCTCGAGACAGTCCCCAAGAACACTGTCACCAGTCTAGACGGACCCTGAGGTCACCGCAGCAACGCAAAGCAGCTCTATGTGCCCCAAATCAACTCGAGATGAGGCCCGATTCCCCTGGATTGACACCAGAGCCTTTCCCCGTTCCACATTCAACACGACCTGTGGCTCGACTTCCTTCAGGCAACTCCAGAGATGCCCCGAGAACACTGTCCCAAGTCTAGAGGAACACCAACTTCAGCACAGCAACTCGAGGAATGCTCCGTGTACCCCAAATCGTCTCGAGATGATAGCTGATTCCCTGGCTTAGGCTCAAGACGTATGCCACCTTTCCAGAAGCACCTCAGGAGGAGGCTTCTCTCAGCAACAGGTATGTGAGAGGGACCCCGAGTTTGCTGCCTCAAGAGGAATATACAGCAAGAAGCCCTAACTTGAAAGGAGGCCGGATTTCCTTGCAGTGGCTTGAATACAGGCTCGTCTTTCATCTCACAACATGAAGGGATGTCTGAATCCCCTGTGGAGACCTTAGAGAAAGCCCTAGGTACCTGCCTCATTTTGACGGAATGCCTCACATCCCGCAGACACCTCGAGAGGCACGCGGAGTTCATTGCTTCAAAAGGTGACGATGCCTGACTCCTCTTGAATACTGATAGGAATCGCAAAATAACTCTGGCTACTGGAAAGGGTCCTTGGGTGCCCTGCCTCACCTCGAGAAGCATCCCTTTTGCCCTGCCAAGCCTCGAAGAGATTCCCTACGTGTCCCTCGTTACTAGACAGGAGTCCTGACGTCACTGAAGAAACTCGTGTTTTGAAGGGCCATCCCCGCCGTAAGTCGAGAACATACCCCAGGTCCCCACCGCAACTCGAGAAAAACCATGAGACTTCCCCCTAGAGGCGAGATGAGGCCCCATTCCCCTGCAGTGCATGCAGAGCTATTCCGTGATCCCATTCAAACAAGTCAGGAGCTTCGACTTGCTTAATGGATATCGAGACAGTCCCCAAGAACACTGTCACCAGTCTAGACGGACCCTGAGGTCACCCCAGCAACGCAAAGCACCTCCATGTGCCCCAAGTAAACTCGAGATGAGGCCCGATTCCCCTGCATTGACTCCAGAGCCATACCCCGTTCCCCATTCAACAGGACCGGTGGCTCGACTTCCTTCAGGCAACTCCAGAGATGCCCCGAGAACACTGTCCCAGGTCTAGAGGAACTCCAACTTAAGCACAGCAACTCGGGGAATGCTCCGTGTACCGCAAATCGTCTCGAGATGAGAGCTGATTCCCTGGCTTAGGCTCAAGATATATGCCAACTTTCCAGAAGCACCTCAGGAGGAGGCTTCTCTCAGCAATAGGGAAGTGGGAGGGACCCCAGTTTGCTGCCTCAAGGGGAATATACAGCGAGAAGCCCTAACTTGAAAGGAGGCCGGATTTCCTTGCAGTGGCTTGAATACAGGCTCGTCTTTCATCTCACAACATGAAGGGATGTCTGAATCCCCTGTGGAGACCTTAGAGAAAGCCCTAGGTCCCTGCCTCATTTTGACGGAATGCCTCACATCCCGCTGACACCTCGAGAGGCACGCGGAGTTCATTGCTTCAAAAGGTGACGATGCCTGACTCCTCTTGAATACTGATAGGAATCCCAAAATCTCTGTGGCTACTGGAAAGGGTCCTTGGGTGCCCTGCCTCACTTCGATAAACGTCCCTTTTGCCCTGCCAAGCCTCGAAGAGATTCCAGAGATGTCCCTCGTTACTAGACAGGAGTCCTGACGTCACTGAAGAAACTCGTGTTTTGAAGGGCCATCCCCGCCGTAAGTCGAGAACATACCCCAGGTCCCCACCACAACTCGAGAAAAACCATGAGACTTCCCCCTAGAGGCGAGATGAGGCCCCATTCCCCTGCAGTGCATGCAGAGCTATTCCGTGATCCCATTCAAAAAAGTCAGGAGCTTCTACTTGCTTAATGGATCTCAAGACAGTCCCGAAGAACACTGTCACCAGTCTAGACGGACCCTGAGGTCACCGCAACAACGCAAAGCAGCTCCATGTGCCCCAAATCAACTCGAGATGAGGCCCAATTCCCCTGCATTGACTCCAGAGCCTTTCCCCGTTCCCCATTCAACACGACCGGTGGCTCGACTTCCTTCAGGCAACTCCAGAGATGCCCCGAGAACACTGTCCCAAGTCCAGAGGAACACCAACTTCAGCACAGCAACTCGAGGAATGCACCGTGTACCCCAAATCGTCTCGAGATGAGAGCTGATTCCCTGGCTTAGGCTCAAGACGTATGCCAACTTTCCAGAAGCACCTCAGGAGGAGGCTTCTCTCAGCAATAGGTATGTGGGAGGGACCCCGAGTATGCTGCCTCAAGGGGAATATACAGCGAGAAGCCCTAACTGGAAAGGAGGCCGGATTTCCTTGCAGTGGCTTGAATACAGGCTCGTCTTTCATCTCACAACATGAAGGTATGTCTGAATCCCCTGTGGAGACCTTAGAGAAAGCCCTAGGTCCCTGCGTCTTTTTGACGGAATGCCTCATATCCCGCTGACACTTCGAGAGGCACGCGGAGTTCATTGCTTCAAAAGGTGACGATGCCTGACTCCTCTTGAATACTGATAGGAATCCCAAACTCCCTGTGGCTACTGGAAAGGGTCCTTGGGTGCCCTGCCTCACCTCGAGAAGCGTCCCTTTTGCCCTGCCAAGCCTCGAAGAGATTCCTGAGGTGTCCCTCGTTACTAGACAGGAGTCCTGACGTCACTGAAGAAACTCGTGTTTTGAAGGGCCATCCGCGCCTTAAGTCGAGAACATACCCCAGGTCCCCGCCGCAACTCGAGAAAAACCATGAGACTTCCCCCTAGAGGCGAGATGAGGCCCCATTCCCCTGCAGTGCATGCAGAGCTATTCCGTGATCCCATTCAAACAAGTCAGGAGCTTCGACTTGCTTAATGGATCTCGAGACAGTCCCCAAGAACACTGTCACCAGTCTAGACGGACCCTGAGGTCACCGCAGCAACGCAAAGCAGCTCCATGTGCCCCAAATCAACTCGAGATGAGGCCCGATTCCCCTGGATTGACTCCAGAGCCTTTCCCCGTTCCCCATTCAACCCTACCGGTGGCTTGACTTCCTTCAGGCAACTCCAGAGATGCCCCGAGAACACTGTCCCAAGTCTAGAGGAACACCAACTTCAGCACAGCAACTCGAGGAATGCTCCGTGTACCCCAAATCGTCTCGAGATGAGAGCTGATTCCCTGGCTTAGGCTCAAGACGTATGCCAACTTTCCAGAAGCACCTCGGAGGAGGCTTCTCTCAGCAATAGGTTTGTGGGAGGGACCCCGAGTATGCTGCCTCAAGGGGAATATACAGCGAGAAGCCCTAACTTGAAAGGTGGCCGGATTTCCTTGCAGTGGCTAGAATACAGGCTCGTCTTTGATCTCAAAACCTGAAGGGATGTGTGAATCCCCTGTGGAGACCTTAGAGAAAGCCCTAGGTCCCTGCCTCATTTTGACGGAATGCCTCACATCGCGCTGACACCTCGAGAGGCACGCGGAGTTCATTGCTTCAAAAGGTGACGATTCCTGACTCCTCTTGAATAATGATAGGAATCCCAAAATCCCTGTGGCTACTGGAAAGGGTCCTTGGGTGCCCTGCCTCACCTCGAGAAGCGTCCCTTTTGCCCTGCCAAGCCTCGAAGAGATTCCTGAGGTGTCCCTCGTTACTAGACAGGAGTCCTGACGTCACTGAAGAAACTCGTGTTTTGAAGGGCCATCCCCGCCGTAAGTCGAGAACATACCCCAGGTCCCCGCCGCAACTCGAGAAAAACCATGAGACTTCCCCCTAGAGGCGAGATGAGGGCCCATTCCCCTGCAGTGCATGCAGAGCTATTCCGTGATCCCATTCAAACAAGTCAGGAGCTTCGACTTGCTTAATGGATCTCGAGACAGTCCCCAAGAACACTGTCACCAGTCTAGACGGACCCTGAGGTCACCCCAGCAACGCAAAGCAGCTCCATGTCCCCCAAATCAACTCGAGATGAGGCCGGATTCCCCTGCATTGACTCCAGAGCCATTCCCCGTTCCCCATTCAACAAGACCGGTGGCTCGACTTCCTTCAGGCAACTCTAGAGATGCCCCGAGAACACTGCCCCAAGTCTAGAGGAACTCCAACTTCAGCACAGCAACTCGAGGAATGCTCCGTGTACCCCAAATCGTCTCGAGATGAGAGCTGATTCCCTGGCTTAGGCTCAAGACATATGCCAACTTTCCTGAAGCACCTCAGGAGGAGGCTTCTCTCAGCAATAGGTATGTGGGAGGGACCTCGAGTTTGCTGCCTCAAGGGGAATATACAGCGAGAAGCCCTAACTTGAAAGGAGGCCGTATTTCCTTGCAATGGCTTGAATACAGGCTCGTCTTTCATCTCACAACATGAAGGGATGTCTGAATCCCCTGTGGAGACCTTAGAGAAACACGCAGGTCTCTGCCTCATTTTGACGGAATGCCTCACATCCCGCTGACACCTCGAGAGGAACGCGGAGTTCATTGCTTCAAAAGATGACGATGCCGGACTCCTCTTGAATACTGATAGGAATCCCAAACTCCCTGTGGCTACTGGAAAGGGTCCTTGGGTGCCGTGCCTCACCTCGAGAAGCGTCCCTTTTGCCCTGCCAAGTCTCGAGGAGATTCCTGAGGTGTCCCTCGTTACTAGACTGGAGTCCTGACGTCACTGAAGAAACTCGTGTTTTGAAAGGCCATCCCCGCCGTAAGTCGAGAACATACCCCAGGTCCCCGCCGCAACTGGAAAAAAACCATGAGACTTCCCCCTAGAGGCCAGATGAGGCCCCATTCCCCTGCAGTGCATGCAGAGCTATTCCGTGATCCCATTCAAACAAGTCAGGAGCTTCGACTTGCTTAATGGATCTCGAGACAGTCCCCAAGAACACTGTCACCAGTCTAGACGGACCTTGAGGTCACCCCAGCAACGGAAAGCAGCTCCATGTGCCCCAAGTCAACTCGAAATGAGGCCCGATTCCCCTGCATTGACTCCAGAGCCATTCCCCGTTCGCCATTCAACACGACCGGTGGCTCGACTTCCTTCAGGCAACTCCAGAGATGCCCCGAGAACACTGTCCCAAGTCTAGAGGAACTCCAACCTCAGCACAGCAACTCGATGTATGCTCCGTGTACCCCAAATAGTCTCGAGATGAGAGCTGATTCCCTGGCTTAGGCTCAAGACGTATGCCAACTTTCCAGAAGCACCTCAGGAGGAGGCTTCTCTCAGCAATAGGTATGTGGGAGGGACCCCGAGTTTGCTGCCTCAAGGGGAATATACAGCAAGAAGCCCTAACTTGAATGGAGGCCGGATTTCCTTGCAGTGGCTTGAATACAGGCTCGTCTTTCATGTCACAACATGAAGGGATGTCTGAATCCCCTGTGGAGACCTTAGAGAAAGCCCTAGGTCCCTGCCTCATTTTGACGGAATGCCTCACATCCCGCTGACACCTCGAGAGGCACGCGGAGTTCATTGCTTCAAAAGGTGACGATGCCTGACTCCTCTTGAATACTGATAGGAATCCCAAAATAACTCTGGCTACTGGAAAGGGTCCTTGGGTGCCCTGCCACACCTCGAGAAGCGTCCCTTTTGCCCTGCCAAGCCTCGAAGAGATTTCTGAGGTGTCCCTCGTTACTAGACAGGAGTCCTGACGTCACTGAAGAAACTCGTGTTTTGAAGGGCCATCCCCGCCGTAGGTCGAGAATATACCCCAGGTCCCCACCACAACTCGAGAAAAACCATGAGACTTCCCCCTAGAGGCGAGATGAGGCCCCATTCCCCTGCAGTGCATGCAGAGCTATTCCGTGATCCCATTCAAAAAAGTCAGGAGCTTCTACTTGCTTAATGGATCTCAAGACATTCCTGAAGAACACTGTCACCAGTCTAGACGGACCCTGAGGTCACCGCAACAAAGAAAAGCAGCTCCATGTGCCCCAAATCAACTCGAGATGAGGTCCAATTCCCCTGCATTGACTCCAGAGCCTTTCCCGGTTCCCCATTCAACACGACCGGTGGCTCGACTTCCTTCAGGCAACTCCAGAGATGCGCCGAGAACACTGTCCCAAGTCCAGAGGAACACCAACTTCAGCACAGCAACTCGAGGAATGCTCCGTGTACCCCAAATCGTCTCGAGATGAGAGCTGATTCCCTGGCTTAGGCTCAAGACGTATGCCAACTTTCCAGAAGCACCTCAGGAGGAGGCTTCTCTCAGCAATAGGTATGTGGGAGGGACCCCGAGTATGCTGCCTCAAGGGGAATATACAGCGAGAAGCCCTAACTTGAAAGGAGGCCGGATTTCCTTGCAGTGGCTTGAATACAGGCTCGTCTTTCATCTCACAACATGAAGGTATGTCTGAATCCCCTGTGGAGACCTTAGAGAAAGCCCTAGGTCCCTGCGTCTTTTTGACGGAATGCCTCATATCCCGCTGACACCTTGAGAGGCACGCGGAGTTCATTGCTTCAAAAGGTGATGATGCCTGACTCCTCTTGAATACTGATAGGAATCCCAAAATCCCTGTGGCTACTGGAAAGGGTCCTTGGGTGCCCTGCGTCACCTCGAGAAGCGTCCCTTTTGCCCTGCCAAGCCTCGAAGGGATTCCTGAGGTGTCCCTCGTTACTAGACAGGAGTCCTGACGTCACTGAAGAAACTCGTGTTTTGAAGGGCCATCCGCGCCTTAAGTCGAGAACATACCCCAGGTCCCCGCCGCAACTCGAGAAAAACCATGAGACTTCCCCCTAGAGGCGAGATGAGGCCCCATTCCCCTGCAGTGCATGCAGAGCTATTCCGTGATCCCATTCAAACAAGTCAGGAGCTTCGACTTGCTTAATGGATCTCGAGACAGTCCCCAAGAACACTGTCACCAGTCTAGACGGACCCTGAGGTCACCGCAGCAACGCAAAGCAGCTCCATGTGCCCCAAATCAACTCGAGATGAGGCCCGATTCCCCTGCATTGACTCCAGAGCCTTTCCCCGTTCCCCATTCAACACGACCGGTGGCTCAACTTCCTTCAGGCAACTCCAGAGATGCCCCGAGAACACTGTCCCAAGTCTAGAGGAACACCAACTTCAGCACAGCAATTCGAGGAATGCTCCGTGCACCCCAAATCGTCTCGAGATGAGAGATGATTACCTGGCTTAGGCTCAAGACGTATGCCAACTTTCCAGAAGCACCTCGGAGGAGGCTTCTCTCAGCAATAAGTTTGTGGGAGGGACCCTGAGTATGCTGCCTCAAGGGGAATATACAGCGAGAAGCCCTAACTTGAAAGGAGGCCGGATTTCCTTGCAGTGGCTAGAATACAGGCTCGTCTTTGATCTCAAAACCTGAAGGGATGTCTGAATCCCCTGTGGAGACCTTAGAGAAAGCCCTAGGTCCCTGCCTCATTTTGACGGAAAGCCTCACATCGCGCTGACACCTCGAGAGGCACGTGGAGTTCATTGCTTCAAAAGGTGACGATGCGTGACTCCTCTTGAATACTGATAGGAATCCCAAAATCCCTGTGGCTACTGGAAAGGGTCCTTGGGTGCCCTGCCTCACCTCGAGAAGCGTCCCTTTTGCCCTGCCAAGCCTCGAAGAGATTCCTGACGTGGCCCTCGTTACTAGACAGGAGTCCTGACGTCACTGAAGAAACTCGTGTTTTGAAGGGCCATCCCCGCCGTAAGTCGAGAACATACCCCAGGTCCCCACCGCAACTCGAGAAAAACCATGAGACTTCCCCCTAGAGGCGAGATGAGGCCCCATTCCCCTGCAGTGCATGCAGAGCTATTCCGTGATCCCATTCAAACAAGTCAGGAGCTACGACTTGCTTAATGGATATCGAGACAGTCCCCAAGAACACTGTCACCAGTCTAGACGGACCCTGAGGTCACCCCAGCAACGCAAAGCACCTCCATGTGCCCCAAGTCAACTCGAGATGAGGCCCGATTCCCCTGCATTGACTCCAGAGCCATACCCCGTTCCCCATTCAACACGACCGGTGGCTCGACTTCCTTCAGGCAACTCCAGAGATGCCCCGAGAACACTGTCCCAGGTCTAGAGGAACTCCACCTTCAGCACAGCAACTCGAGGAATGCTGCGTGTACCACAAATCGTCTCGAGATGAGAGCTGATTCCCTGGCTTAGGCTCAAGACGTATGCCAACTTTCCAGAAGCACCTCAGGAGGAGGCTTCTCTCAGCAATAGGTATATGGGAGGGACCCCCAGTATGCTGCCTCAAGGGGAATATACAGCGAGAATCCCTAACTTGAGAGGAGGCCGGATTTCCTTGCAGGGGCTTGAATACAGGCTCGCCTTTCATCTCACAACATGAAGAAATGTCTGAATCACCTGTGGAGAACTTAGAGAAAGCCCTAGGTCCCTGACTCATTTTGACGGAATGCCTCACATCCCGGTGACATCTCGAGAGGCACGCGGAGTTCATTGCTTCAAAAGGTGACGATACCGGAGTCCTCTTGAAAACTGATAGGAATCCCAAAATCCCTGTGGCTACTGGAAAGGGTCCTTGGGTGCCCTGCCTCACCTCGAGAAGCGTCCCTTTTGCCCTGCCAAGCCTCGAAGAGATTCATGAGGTGAACCTCGTTACTAGACAGGAGTCCTGACGTCACTGAAGAAACTCGTGTTTTGAAGGGCCATCCCCGCCGTAAGTCGAGAACATACCCCAGGTCCCAGCCGCAACTCAAGAAAAAAAATGAGACTTCCCCCTAGAGGCGAGAAGAGGCCCCATTCCCCTGCAGTGCATGCAGAGCTATTCCGTGATCCCATTCAAACAAGTCAGGAGCTTCGACTTGCTTAATGGATCTCGAGACAGTCCCCAAGAACACTGTCACCAGTCTAGACGGACCCTGAGGTCACCCCAGCAACGCAAAGCAGCACCATGTGCCCCAAATCAACTCGAGATGAGGCCCGATTCCCCTGCATTGACTCCAGGGCCATTCCCCGTTCCCCATTCAACACGACCGGTGGCTCGACTTCCTTCAGGCAACTCCAGAGATGCCCCGAGAACACTGTCCCAAGTCTAGAGGAACTCCAACTTCAGCACAGCAACTCGAGGAATGCTACGTGTACCACAAATCATCTCGAGATGAGAGCTGATTCCCTGGCTTAGGCTCAAGACGTATGTCAACTTTCCAGAAGCACCTCAGGAGGAGGCTTCTCTCAGCAATAGGTATGTGGGAGGGACCCCGAGGTTGCTGCCTCAAGGGGAATATACAGCGAGAAGCCCTAACTTGAAAGGAGGCCGGATTTCCTTGCAGTGGCTAGAATACAGGCTCATCTTTGATCTCAAAACCTGAAGGGATGTCTGAATCCCCTGTGGAGACCTTAGAGAAAGCCCTATGTCCCTGCCTCATTTTGACGGAATGCCTCACATCGCGCTGACACTTCGAGAGGCACGTGGAGTTCATTGCTTCAAAAGGTGACGATGCCTGACTACTCTTGAATACTGACAGGAATCCCAAAATCCCTGTGGCTACTGGAAAGGGTCCTTGGGTGCCCTGCCTCACCTCGAGAAGCGTCCGTTTTGCCCTGCCAAGCCTCGAAAGATTGCTGAGGTGTCCCTCGTTACTAGACAGGAGTCCTGACGTCACTGAAGAAACTCGTGTTTTGAAGGGCCATCCCCGCCGTAAGTCGAGAACATACCCCAGGTCCCGGCCACAACTCGAGAAAAACCATGAGACTTCCCCCTAGAGGCGAGATGAGGCCCCATTCCCCTGCAGTGCATGCAGAGCTATTCCGTGATCCCATTCAAACAAGTCAGGAGCTTCGACTTGCTTAATGGATCTCGAGACAGTCCCCAAGAACTCTGTCACCAGTCTAGACGGACCCTGAGGTCACCCCAGCAACGCAAAGCACCTCCATGTGCCCCAAATCAACTCGAGATGAGGCCCGATTCCCCTGCATTGACTCCAGAGCCATTCCCCGTTCCCCATTCAACACGACCGGTGGCTCGACTTCCTTCAGGCAACTCCAAAGATGCCCCGAGAACACTGTCCCAGGTCTAGAGGAACTCCACCTTCAGCACAGCAACTCGAGGAAAGCTCCATGTACCACACATCGTCTCCAGATGAGAGCTGATTCCCTGGCTTAGGCTCAAGACGTATGCCAACTTTCCAGAAGCACCTCAGGAGGAGGCTTCTCTCAGCAACAGGTATGTGAGAGGGACCCCGAGTTTGCTGCCTCAAGAGGAATATACAGCAAGAAGCCCTAACTTGAAAGGAGGCCAGATTTCCTTGCAGTGGCTTGAATACAGGCTCGTCTTTCATGTCACAACATGAAGGGATGTCTGAATCCCCTGTGGAGACCTTAGAGAAAGCCCTAGGACCCTGCCTCATTTTGACGGAATGCCTAACATCCCGCAGACACCTCGAGAGGCACGCGGAGTTCATTGCTTCAAAAGGTGACGATGCCTGACTCCTCTTGAATACTGATAGGAATCGCAAAATAACTCTGGTTACTGGAAAGGGTCCTTGGGTGCCCTGCCTCACCTCGAGAAGCATCCCTTTTGCCCTGCCAAGCCTCGAAGAGATTCCTGATGTGTCCCTCGTTACTAGACAGGAGTCCTGATGTCACTGAAGAAACTCGTGTTTTGAAGGGCCATCCCCGCCGTAAGTCGAGAACATACCCCAGGTCCCAACCGCAACTCGAGAAAAACCATGAGACTTCCCCCTAGAGGCGAGATGAGGCCCCATTCCCCTGCAGTGCATGCAGAGCTATTCCGTGATCCCATTCAAACAAGTCAGGAGCTTCGACTTGCTTAATGGATATCGAGACAGTCCCCAAGAACACTGTCACCAGTCTAGACGGACCCTGAGGTCACCCCAGCAACGCAAAGCACCTCCATGTGCCCCAAGTCAACTCGAGATGAGGCCCGATTCCCCTGCATTGACTCCAGGGCCATTCCCCGTTCCCCATTCAACACGACCGGTGGCTCGACTTCCTTCAGGCAACTCCAGAGATGCCCCGAGAACACTGTCCCAGGTCTAGAGGAACTCCACCTTCAGCAGAGCAACTCGAGGAATGCTCCGTGTACCACAAATCGTCTCGAGATGAGAGCTGATTCCATGGCTTAGGCTCAAGACGTATGGCCACTTTCCAGAATCACATCAGGAGGAGGCTTCTCTCAGCAACAGGTATGTGGGAGGGACCCCGAGTTTGCTGCCTCAAGGGGAATATACAGCAAGAAGCCCTAACTTGAAAGGAGGCCGTATTTCCTTGCAGTGGCTTGAATACAGGCTCGTCTTTCATCTCACAACATGAAGGGATGTCTGAATCCCCTGTGGAGACCTTAGAGAAAGCCCTAGGTCCCTGCCTCATTTTGAAGGAATGCCTCACATCCCGCAGACACCTCGAGAGGCACGCGGAGTTCATTGCTTCAAAAGGTGACGATGCCTGACTCCTCTTGAATAGTGATAGGAATCCCAAAATCCCTGTGGCTACTGGAAAGGGACCTTCGCTGCCCTGCCTCACATCGAGAAGCGTCCCTTTTGCCCTGCCAAGCCTCGAAGAGATTCCTGAGGTGTCCCTCGTTACTAGACAGGAGTCCTGACGTCACTGAAGAAACTCGTGTTTTGAAGGGCCATCCCCGCCTTAAGTCGAGAACATACCCCAGGTCCCCGCCGCAACTCGAGAAAAACCATGAGACTTCCCCCTAGAGGCGAGATGAGGGCCCATTCCCCTGCAGTGCATGCAGAGCTATTCCGTGATCCCATTCAAACAAGTCAGGAGCTTCGACTTGCTTAATGGATCTCGAGACAGTCCCCAAGAACACTGTCACCAGTCTAGACGGACCCTGAGGTCACCCCAGCAACGCAAAGCAGCTCCATGTCCCCCAAATCAACTCGAGATGAGGCCGGATTCCCCTGCATTGACTCCAGAGCCATTCCCTGTTCCCCATTCAACAAGACCGGTGGCTCGACTTCCTTCAGGCAACTCTAGAGATGCCCCGAGAACACTGCCCCAAGTCTAGAGGAACTCCAACTTCAGCACAGCAACTCGAGGAATGCTCTGTGTACCCCAAATCGTCTCGAGATGAGAGCTGATTCCCTGGCTTAGGCTCAAGACATATGCCAACTTTCCTGAAGCACCTCAGGAGGAGGCTTCTCTCAGCAATAGGTATGTGGGAGGGACCTCGAGTTTGCTGCCTCAAGGGGAATATACAGCGAGAAGCCCTAACTTGAAAGGAGGCCGTATTTCCTTGCAATGGCTTGAATACAGGCTCGTCTTTCATCTCACAACATGAAGGGATGTCTGAATCCCCTGTGGAGACCTTAGAGAAACACGTAGGTCTCTGCCTCATTTTGACGGAATGCCTCACATCCCGCTGACACCTCGAGAGGAACGCGGAGTTCATTGCTTCAAAAGATGACGATGCCGGACTCCTCTTGAATACTGATAGGAATCCCAAACTCCCTGTGGCTACTGGAAAGGGTCCTTGGGTGCCGTGCCTCACCTCGAGAAGCGTCCCTTTTGCCCTGCCAAGTCTCGAGGAGATTCCTGAGGTGTCCCTCGTTACTAGACTGGAGTCCTGACGTCACTGAAGAAACTCGTGTTTTGAAAGGCCATCCCCGCCGTAAGTCGAGAACATACCCCAGGTCCCCGCCGCAACTGGAAAAAAACCATGAGACTTCCCCCTAGAGGCCAGATGAGGCCCCATTCCCCTGCAGTGCATGCAGAGCTATTCCGTGATCCCATTCAAACAAGTCAGGAGCTTCGACTTGCTTAATGGATCTCGAGACAGTCCCCAAGAACACTGTCACCAGTCTAGACGGACCTTGAGGTCACCCCAGCAACGGAAAGCAGCTCCATGTGCCCCAAGTCAACTCGAAATGAGGCCCGATTCCCCTGCATTGACTCCAGAGCCATTCCCCGTTCGCCATTCAACACGACCGGTGGCTCGACTTCCTTCAGGCAACTCCAGAGATGCCCCGAGAACACTGTCCCAAGTCTAGAGGAACTCCAACCTCAGCACAGCAACTCGATGAATGCTCCGTGTACCCCAAATCGTCTCGAGATGAGAGCTGATTCCCTGGCTTAGGCTCAAGACGTATGCCAACTTTCCAGAAGCACCTCAGGAGGAGGCTTCTCTCAGCAATAGGTATGTGGGAGGGACCCCGAGTTTGCTGCCTCAAGGGGAATATACAGCAAGAAGCCCTAACTTGAATGGAGGCCGGATTTCCTTGCAGTGGCTTGAATACAGGCTCGTCTTTCATGTCACAACATGAAGGGATGTCTGAATCCCCTGTGGAGACCTTAGAGAAAGCCCTAGGTCCCTGCCTCATTTTGACGGAATGCCTCACATCCCGCTGACACCTCGAGAGGCACGCGGAGTTCATTGCTTCAAAAGGTGACGATGCCTGACTCCTCTTGAATACTGATAGGAATCCCAAAATAACTCTGGCTACTGGAAAGGGTCCTTGGGTGCCCTGCCACACCTCGAGAAGCGTCCCTTTTGCCCTGCCAAGCCTCGAAGAGATTCCTGAGGTGTCCCTCGTTACTAGACAGGAGTCCTGACGTCACTGAAGAAACTCGTGTTTTGAAGGGCCATCCCCGCCGTAGGTCGAGAACATACCCCAGGTCCCCACCACAACTCGAGAAAAACCATGAGACTTCCCCCTAGAGGCGAGATGAGGCCCCATTCCCCTGCAGTGCATGCAGAGCTATTCCGTGATCCCATTCAAAAAAGTCAGGAGCTTCTACTTGCTTAATGGATCTCAAGACATTCCTGAAGAACACTGTCACCAGTCTAGACGGACCCTGAGGTCACCGCAACAAAGAAAAGCAGCTCCATGTGCCCCAAATCAACTCGAGATGAGGTCCAATTCCCCTGCATTGACTCCAGAGCCTTTCCCGGTTCCCCATTCAACACGACCGGTGGCTCGACTTCCTTCAGGCAACTCCAGAGATGCCCCGAGAACACTGTCCCAAGTCCAGAGGAACACCAACTTCAGCACAGCAACTCGAGGAATGCTCCGTGTACCCCAAATCGTCTCGAGATGAGAGCTGATTCCCTGGCTTAGGCTCAAGACGTATGCCAACTTTCCAGAAGCACCTCAGGAGGAGGCTTCTCTCAGCAATAGGTATGTGGGAGGGACCCCGAGTATGCTGCCTCAAGGGGAATATACAGCGAGAAGCCCTAACTTGAAAGGAGGCCGGATTTCCTTGCAGTGGCTTGAATACAGGCTCGTCTTTCATCTCACAACATGAAGGTATGTCTGAATCCCCTGTGGAGACCTTAGAGAAAGCCCTAGGTCCCTGCGTCTTTTTGACGGAATGCCTCATATCCCGCTGACACTTCGAGAGGCACGCGGAGTTCATTGCTTCAAAAGGTGACGATGCCTGACTCCTCTTGAATACTGATAGGAATCCCAAACTCCCTGTGGCTACTGGAAAGGGTCCTTGGGTGCCCTGCGTCACCTCGAGAAGCGTCCCTTTTGCCCTGCTAAGCCTCGAAGGGATTCCTGAGGTGTCCCTCGTTACTAGACAGGAGTCCTGACGTCACTGAAGAAACTCGTGTTTTGAAGGGCCATCCGCGCCTTAAGTCGAGAACATACCCCAGGTCCCCGCCGCAACTCGAGAAAAACCATGAGACTTCCCCCTAGAGGCGAGATGAGGCCCCATTCCCCTGCAGTGCATGCAGAGCTATTCCGTGATCCCATTCAAACAAGTCAGGAGCTTCGACTTGCTTAATGGATCTCGAGACAGTCCCCAAGAACACTGTCACCAGTCTAGACGGACCCTGAGGTCACCGCAGCAACGCAAAGCAGCTCCATGTGCCCCAAATCAACTCGAGATGAGGCCCGATTCCCCTGCATTGACTCCAGAGCCTTTCCCCGTTCCCCATTCAACACGACCGGTGGCTCAACTTCATTCAGGCAACTCCAGAGATGCCCCGAGAACACTGTCCCAAGTCTAGAGGAACACCAACTTCAGCACAGCAACTCGAGGAATGCTCCGTGCACCCCAAATCGTCTCGAGATGAGAGCTGATTACCTGGCTTAGGCTCAAGACGTATGCCAACTTTCCAGAAGCACCTCGGAGGAGGCTTCTCTCAGCAATAGGTTTGTGGGAGGGACCCCGAGTATGCTGCCTCAAGGGGAATATACAGCGAGAAGCCCTAACTTGAAAGGAGGCCGGATTTCCTTGCAGTGGCTAGAATACAGGCTCGTCTTTGATCTCAAAACCTGAAGGGATGTCTGAATCCCCTGTGGAGACCTTAGAGAAAGCCCTAGGTCCCTGCCTCATTTTGACGGAAAGCCTCACATCGCGCTGACACCTCGAGAGGCACGTGGAGTTCATTGCTTCAAAAGGTGACGATGCGTGACTCCTCTTGAATACTGATAGGAATCCCAAAATCCCTGTGGCTACTGGAAAGGGTCCTTGGGTGCCCTGCCTCACCTCGAGAAGCGTCCCTTTTGCCCTGCCAAGCCTCGAAGAGATTCCTGACGTGGCCCTCGTTACTAGACAGGAGTCCTGACGTCACTGAAGAAACTCGTGTTTTGAAGGGCCATCCCCGCCGTAAGTCGAGAACATACCCCAGGTCCCCACCGCAACTCGAGAAAAACCATGAGACTTCCCCCTAGAGGCGAGATGAGGCCCCATTCCCCTGCAGTGCATGCAGAGCTATTCCGTGATCCCATTCAAACAAGTCAGGAGCTACGACTTGCTTAATGGATATCGAGACAGTCCCCAAGAACACTGTCACCAGTCTAGACGGACCCTGAGGTCACCCCAGCAACGCAAAGCACCTCCATGTGCCCCAAGTCAACTCGAGATGAGGCCCGATTCCCCTGCATTGACTCCAGAGCCATACCCCGTTCCCCATTCAACACGACCGGTGGCTCGACTTCCTTCAGGCAACTCCAGAGATGCCCCGAGAACACTGTCCCAGGTCTAGAGGAACTCCACCTTCAGCACAGCAACTCGAGGAATGCTGCGTGTACCACAAATCGTCTCGAGATGAGAGCTGATTCCCTGGCTTAGGCTCAAGACGTATGCCAACTTTCCAGAAGCACCTCAGGAGGAGGCTTCTCTCAGCAATAGGTATATGGGAGGGACCCCCAGTATGCTGCCTCAAGGGGAATATACAGCGAGAATCCCTAACTTGAGAGGAGGCCGGATTTCCTTGCAGGGGCTTGAATACAGGCTCGCCTTTCATCTCACAACATGAAGAAATGTCTGAATCACCTGTGGAGAACTTAGAGAAAGCCCTAGGTCCCTGACTCATTTTGACGGAATGCCTCACATCCCGGTGACATCTCGAGAGGCACGCGGAGTTCATTGCTTCAAAAGGTGACGATACCGGAGTCCTCTTGAAAACTGATAGGAATCCCAAAATCCCTGTGGCTACTGGAAAGGGTCCTTGGGTGCCCTGCCTCACCTCGAGAAGCGTCCCTTTTGCCCTGCCAAGCCTCGAAGAGATTCATGAGGTGAACCTCGTTACTAGACAGGAGTCCTGACGTCACTGAAGAAACTCGTGTTTTGAAGGGCCATCCCCGCCGTAAGTCGAGAACATACCCCAGGTCCCAGCCGCAACTCAAGAAAAAAAATGAGACTTCCCCCTAGAGGCGAGAAGAGGCCCCATTCCCCTGCAGTGCATGCAGAGCTATTCCGTGATCCCATTCAAACAAGTCAGGAGCTTCGACTTGCTTAATGGATCTCGAGACAGTCCCCAAGAACACTGTCACCAGTCTAGACGGACCCTGAGGTCACCCCAGCAACGCAAAGCAGCACCATGTGCCCCAAATCAACTCGAGATGAGGCCCGATTCCCCTGCATTGACTCCAGGGCCATTCCCCGTTCCCCATTCAACACGACCGGTGGCTCGACTTCCTTCAGGCAACTCCAGAGATGCCCCGAGAACACTGTCCCAAGTCTAGAGGAACTCCAACTTCAGCACAGCAACTCGAGGAATGCTACGTGTACCACAAATCATCTCGAGATGAGAGCTGATTCCCTGGCTTAGGCTCAAGACGTATGTCAACTTTCCAGAAGCACCTCAGGAGGAGGCTTCTCTCAGCAATAGGTATGTGGGAGGGACCCCGAGGTTGCTGCCTCAAGGGGAATATACAGCGAGAAGCCCTAACTTGAAAGGAGGCCGGATTTCCTTGCAGTGGCTAGAATACAGGCTCATCTTTGATCTCAAAACCTGAAGGGATGTCTGAATCCCCTGTGGAGACCTTAGAGAAAGCCCTATGTCCCTGCCTCATTTTGACGGAATGCCTCACATCGCGCTGACACTTCGAGAGGCACGTGGAGTTCATTGCTTCAAAAGGTGACGATGCCTGACTACTCTTGAATACTGACAGGAATCCCAAAATCCCTGTGGCTACTGGAAAGGGTCCTTGGGTGCCCTGCCTCACCTCGAGAAGCGTCCGTTTTGCCCTGCCAAGCCTCGAAAGATTGCTGAGGTGTCCCTCGTTACTAGACAGGAGTCCTGACGTCACTGAAGAAACTCGTGTTTTGAAGGGCCATCCCCGCCGTAAGTCGAGAACATACCCCAGGTCCCGGCCACAACTCGAGAAAAACCATGAGACTTCCCCCTAGAGGCGAGATGAGGCCCCATTCCCCTGCAGTGCATGCAGAGCTATTCCGTGATCCCATTCAAACAAGTCAGGAGCTTCGACTTGCTTAATGGATCTCGAGACAGTCCCCAAGAACTCTGTCACCAGTCTAGACGGACCCTGAGGTCACCCCAGCAACGCAAAGCACCTCCATGTGCCCCAAATCAACTCGAGATGAGGCCCGATTCCCCTGCATTGACTCCAGAGCCATTCCCCGTTCCCCATTCAACACGACCGGTGGCTCGACTTCCTTCAGGCAACTCCAAAGATGCCCCGAGAACACTGTCCCAGGTCTAGAGGAACTCCACCTTCAGCACAGCAACTCGAGGAAAGCTCCATGTACCACACATCGTCTCCAGATGAGAGCTGATTCCCTGGCTTAGGCTCAAGACGTATGCCAACTTTCCAGAAGCACCTCAGGAGGAGGCTTCTCTCAGCAACAGGTATGTGAGAGGGACCCCGAGTTTGCTGCCTCAAGAGGAATATACAGCAAGAAGCCCTAACTTGAAAGGAGGCCAGATTTCCTTGCAGTGGCTTGAATACAGGCTCGTCTTTCATGTCACAACATGAAGGGATGTCTGAATCCCCTGTGGAGACCTTAGAGAAAGCCCTAGGACCCTGCCTCATTTTGACGGAATGCCTAACATCCCGCAGACACCTCGAGAGGCACGCGGAGTTCATTGCTTCAAAAGGTGACGATGCCTGACTCCTCTTGAATACTGATAGGAATCGCAAAATAACTCTGGTTACTGGAAAGGGTCCTTGGGTGCCCTGCCTCACCTCGAGAAGCATCCCTTTTGCCCTGCCAAGCCTCGAAGAGATTCCTGATGTGTCCCTCGTTACTAGACAGGAGTCCTGATGTCACTGAAGAAACTCGTGTTTTGAAGGGCCATCCCCGCCGTAAGTCGAGAACATACCCCAGGTCCCAACCGCAACTCGAGAAAAACCATGAGACTTCCCCCTAGAGGCGAGATGAGGCCCCATTCCCCTGCAGTGCATGCAGAGCTATTCCGTGATCCCATTCAAACAAGTCAGGAGCTTCGACTTGCTTAATGGATATCGAGACAGTCCCCAAGAACACTGTCACCAGTCTAGACGGACCCTGAGGTCACCCCAGCAACGCAAAGCACCTCCATGTGCCCCAAGTCAACTCGAGATGAGGCCCGATTCCCCTGCATTGACTCCAGGGCCATTCCCCGTTCCCCATTCAACACGACCGGTGGCTCGACTTCCTTCAGGCAACTCCAGAGATGCCCCGAGAACACTGTCCCAGGTCTAGAGGAACTCCACCTTCAGCAGAGCAACTCGAGGAATGCTCCGTGTACCACAAATCGTCTCGAGATGAGAGCTGATTCCATGGCTTAGGCTCAAGACGTATGGCCACTTTCCAGAATCACATCAGGAGGAGGCTTCTCTCAGCAACAGGTATGTGGGAGGGACCCCGAGTTTGCTGCCTCAAGGGGAATATACAGCAAGAAGCCCTAACTTGAAAGGAGGCCGTATTTCCTTGCAGTGGCTTGAATACAGGCTCGTCTTTCATCTCACAACATGAAGGGATGTCTGAATCCCCTGTGGAGACCTTAGAGAAAGCCCTAGGTCCCTGCCTCATTTTGAAGGAATGCCTCACATCCCGCAGACACCTCGAGAGGCACGCGGAGTTCATTGCTTCAAAAGGTGACGATGCCTGACTCCTCTTGAATAGTGATAGGAATCCCAAAATCCCTGTGGCTACTGGAAAGGGACCTTCGCTGCCCTGCCTCACATCGAGAAGCGTCCCTTTTGCCCTGCCAAGCCTCGAAGAGATTCCTGAGGTGTCCCTCGTTACTAGACAGGAGTCCTGACGTCACTGAAGAAACTCGTGTTTTGAAGGGCCATCCCCGCCTTAAGTCGAGAACATACCCCAGGTCCCCGCCGCAACTCGAGAAAAACCATGAGACTTCCCCCTAGAGGCGAGATGAGGGCCCATTCCCCTGCAGTGCATGCAGAGCTATTCCGTGATCCCATTCAAACAAGTCAGGAGCTTCGACTTGCTTAATGGATCTCGAGACAGTCCCCAAGAACACTGTCACCAGTCTAGACGGACCCTGAGGTCACCCCAGCAACGCAAAGCAGCTCCATGTCCCCCAAATCAACTCGAGATGAGGCCGGATTCCCCTGCATTGACTCCAGAGCCATTCCCTGTTCCCCATTCAACAAGACCGGTGGCTCAACTTCCTTCAGGCAACTCTAGAGATGCCCCGAGAACACTGCCCCAAGTCTAGAGGAACTCCAACTTCAGCACAGCAACTCGAGGAATGCTCTGTGTACCCCAAATCGTCTCGAGATGAGAGCTGATTCCCTGGCTTAGGCTCAAGACATATGCCAACTTTCCTGAAGCACCTCAGGAGGAGGCTTCTCTCAGCAATAGGTATGTGGGAGGGACCTCGAGTTTGCTGCCTCAAGGGGAATATACAGCGAGAAGCCCTAACTTGAAAGGAGGCCGTATTTCCTTGCAATGGCTTGAATACAGGCTCGTCTTTCATCTCACAACATGAAGGGATGTCTGAATCCCCTGTGGAGACCTTAGAGAAACACGTAGGTCTCTGCCTCATTTTGACGGAATGCCTCACATCCCGCTGACACCTCGAGAGGAACGCGGAGTTCATTGCTTCAAAAGATGACGATGCCGGACTCCTCTTGAATACTGATAGGAATCCCAAACTCCCTGTGGCTACTGGAAAGGGTCCTTGGGTGCCCTGCCTCACCTCGAGAAGCGTCCCTTTTGCCCTGCCAAGTCTCGAGGAGATTCCTGAGGTGTCCCTCGTTACTAGACTGGAGTCCTGACGTCACTGAAGAAACTCGTGTTTTGAAAGGCCATCCCCGCCGTAAGTCGAGAACATACCCCAGGTCCCCGCCGCAACTGGAAAAAAACCATGAGACTTCCCCCTAGAGGCCAGATGAGGCCCCATTCCCCTGCAGTGCATGCAGAGCTATTCCGTGATCCCATTCAAACAAGTCAGGAGCTTCGACTTGCTTAATGGATCTCGAGACAGTCCCCAAGAACACTGTCACCAGTCTAGACGGACCTTGAGGTCACCCCAGCAACGGAAAGCAGCTCCATGTGCCCCAAGTCAACTCGAAATGAGGCCCGATTCCCCTGCATTGACTCCAGAGCCATTCCCCGTTCGCCATTCAACACGACCGGTGGCTCGACTTCCTTCAGGCAACTCCAGAGATGCCCCGAGAACACTGTCCCAAGTCTAGAGGAACTCCAACCTCAGCACAGCAACTCGATGAATGCTCCGTGTACCCCAAATCGTCTCGAGATGAGAGCTGATTCCCTGGCTTAGGCTCAAGACGTATGCCAACTTTCCAGAAGCACCTCAGGAGGAGGCTTCTCTCAGCAATAGGTATGTGGGAGGGACCCCGAGTTTGCTGCCTCAAGGGGAATATACAGCAAGAAGCCCTAACTTGAATGGAGGCCGGATTTCCTTGCAGTGGCTTGAATACAGGCTCGTCTTTCATGTCACAACATGAAGGGATGTCTGAATCCCCTGTGGAGACCTTAGAGAAAGCCCTAGGTCCCTGCCTCATTTTGACGGAATGCCTCACATCCCGCTGACACCTCGAGAGGCACGCGGAGTTCATTGCTTCAAAAGGTGACGATGCCTGACTCCTCTTGAATACTGATAGGAATCCCAAAATAACTCTGGCTACTGGAAAGGGTCCTTGGGTGCCCTGCCACACCTCGAGAAGCGTCCCTTTTGCCCTGCCAAGCCTCGAAGAGATTCCTGAGGTGTCCCTCGTTACTAGACAGGAGTCCTGACGTCACTGAAGAAACTCGTGTTTTGAAGGGCCATCCCCGCCGTAGGTCGAGAACATACCCCAGGTCCCTACCACAACTCGAGAAAAACCATGAGACTTCCCCCTAGAGGCGAGATGAGGCCCCATTCCCCTGCAGTGCATGCAGAGCTATTCCGTGATCCCATTCAAAAAAGTCAGGAGCTTCTACTTGCTTAATGGATCTCAAGACATTCCTGAAGAACACTGTCACCAGTCTAGACGGACCCTGAGGTCACCGCAACAAAGAAAAGCAGCTCCATGTGCCCCAAATCAACTCGAGATGAGGTCCAATTCCCCTGCATTGACTCCAGAGCCTTTCCCCGTTCCCCATTCAACACGACCGGTGGCTCGACTTCCTTCAGGCAACTCCAGAGATGCCCCGAGAACACTGTCCCAAGTCCAGAGGAACACCAACTTCAGCACAGCAACTCGAGGAATGCTCCGTGTACCCCAAATCGTCTCGAGATGAGAGCTGATTCCCTGGCTTAGGCTCAAGACGTATGCCAACTTTCCAGAAGCACTTCAGGAGGAGGCTTCTCTCAGCAATAGGTATGTGGGAGGGACCCCGAGTATGCTGCCTCAAGGGGAATATACAGCGAGAAGCCCTAACTTGAAAGGAGGCCGGATTTCCTTGCAGTGGCTTGAATACAGGCTCGTCTTTCATCTCACAACATGAAGGTATGTCTGAATCCCCTGTGGAGACCTTAGAGAAAGCCCTAGGTCCCTGCGTCTTTTTGACGGAATGCCTCATATCCCGCTGACACTTCGAGAGGCACGCGGAGTTCATTGCTTCAAAAGGTGACGATGCCTGACTCCTCTTGAATACTGATAGGAATCCCAAACTCCCTGTGGCTACTGGAAAGGGTCCTTGGGTGCCCTGCCTCACCTCGAGAAGCGTCCCTTTTGCCCTGCCAAGCCTCGCAGGGATTCCTGAGGTGTCCCTCGTTACTAGACAGGAGTCCTGACGTCACTGAAGAAACTCGTGTTTTGAAGGGCCATCCGCGCCTTAAGTCGAGAACATACCCCAGGTCCCCGCCGCAACTCGAGAAAAACCATGAGACTTCCCCCTAGAGGCGAGATGAGGCCCCATTCCCCTGCAGTGCATGCAGAGCTATTCCGTGATCCCATTCAAACAAGTCAGGAGCTTCGACTTGCTTAATGGATCTCGAGACAGTCCCCAAGAACACTGTCACCAGTCTAGACGGACCCTGAGGTCACCGCAGCAACGCAAAGCAGCTCCATGTGCCCCAAATCAACTCGAGATGAGGCCCGATTCCCCTGCATTGACTCCAGAGCCTTTCCCCGTTCCCCATTCAACACGACCGGTGGCTCAACTTCCTTCAGGCAACTCCAGAGATGCCCCGAGAACACTGTCCCAAGTCTAGAGGAACACCAACTTCAGCACAGCAATTCGAGGAATGCTCCGTGCACCCCAAATCGTCTCGAGATGAGAGCTGATTACCTGGCTTAGGCTCAAGACGTATGCCAACTTTCCAGAAGCACCTCGGAGGAGGCTTCTCTCAGCAATAGGTTTGTGGGAGGGACCCCGAGTATGCTGCCTCAAGGGGAATATACAGCGAGAAGCCCTAACTTGAAAGGAGGCCGGATTTCCTTGCAGTGGCTAGAATACAGGCTCGTCTTTGATCTCAAAACCTGAAGGGATGTCTGAATCCCCTGTGGAGACCTTAGAGAAAGCCCTAGGTCCCTGCCTCATTTTGACGGAAAGCCTCACATCGCGCTGACACCTCGAGAGGCACGTGGAGTTCATTGCTTCAAAAGGTGACGATGCGTGACTCCTCTTGAATACTGATAGGAATCCCAAAATCCCTGTGGCTACTGGAAAGGGTCCTTGGGTGCCCTGCCTCACCTCGAGAAGCGTCCCTTTTGCCCTGCCAAGCCTCGAAGAGATTCCTGACGTGGCCCTCGTTACTAGACAGGAGTCCTGACATCACTGAAGAAACTCGTGTTTTGAAGGGCCATCCCCGCCGTAAGTCGAGAACATACCCCAGGTCCCCACCGCAACTCGAGAAAAACCATGAGACTTCCCCCTAGAGGCGAGATGAGGCCCCATTCCCCTGCAGTGCATGCAGAGCTATTCCGTGATCCCATTCAAACAAGTCAGGAGCTACGACTTGCTTAATGGATATCGAGACAGTCCCCAAGAACACTGTCACCAGTCTAGACGGACCCTGAGGTCACCCCAGCAACGCAAAGCACCTCCATGTGCCCCAAGTCAACTCGAGATGAGGCCCGATTCCCCTGCATTGACTCCAGAGCCATACCCCGTTCCCCATTCAACACGACCGGTGGCTCGACTTCCTTCAGGGAACTCCAGAGATGCCCCGAGAACACTGTCCCAGGTCTAGAGGAACTCCACCTTCAGCACAGCAACTCGAGGAATGCTGCGTGTACCACAAATCGTCTCGAGATGAGAGCTGATTCCATGGCTTAGGCTCAAGACGTATGCAAACTTTCCAGAAGACATCAGGAGGAGGCTTCTCTCAGCAATATGTATATGGGAGGGACCCCCAGTATGCTGCCTCAAGGGGAATATACAGCGAGAATCCCTAACTTGAGAGGAGGCCGGATTTCCTTGCAGGGGCTTGAATACAGGCTCGCCTTTCATCTCACAACATGAAGAAATGTCTGAATCACCTGTGGAGAACTTAGAGAAAGCCCTAGGTCCCTGACTCATTTTGACGGAATGCCTCACATCCCGGTGACATCTCGAGAGGCACGCGGAGTTCATTGCTTCAAAAGGTGACGATACCTGAGTCCTCTTGAAAACTGATAGGAATCCCAAAATCCCTGTGGCTACTGGAAAGGGTCCTTGGGTGCCCTGCCTCACCTCGAGAAGCGTCCCTTTTGCCCTGCCAAGCCTCGAAGAGATTCATGAGGTGAACCTCGTTACTAGACAGGAGTCCTGACGTCACTGAAGAAACTCGTGTTTTGAAGGGCCATCCCCGCCGTAAGTCGAGAACATACCCCAGGTCCCAGCCGCAACTCAAGAAAAAAAATGAGACTTCCCCCTAGAGGCGAGAAGAGGCCCCATTCCCCTGCAGTGCATGCAGAGCTATTCCGTGATCCCATTCAAACAAGTCAGGATCTTCGACTTGCTTAATGGATCTCGAGACAGTCCCCAAGAACACTGTCACCAGTCTAGACGGACCCTGAGGTCACCCCAGCAACGCAAAGCAGCACCATGTGCCCCAAATCAACTCGAGATGAGGCCCGATTCCCCTGCATTGACTCCAGGGCCATTCCCCGTTCCCCATTCAACACGACCGGTGGCTCGACTTCCTTCAGGGAACTCCAGAGATGCCCCGAGAACACTGTCCCAAGTCTAGAGGAACTCCAACTTCAGCACAGCAACTCGAGGAATGCTACGTGTACCACAAATCATCTCGAGATGAGAGCTGATTCCCTGGCTTAGGCTCAAGACGTATGTCAACTTTCCAGAAGCACCTCAGGAGGAGGCTTCTCTCAGCAATAGGTATGTGGGAGGGACCCCGAGGTTGCTGCCTCAAGGGGAATATACAGCGAGAAGCCCTAACTTGAAAGGAGGCCGGATTTCCTTGCAGTGGCTAGAATACAGGCTCATCTTTGATCTCAAAACCTGAAGGGATGTCTGAATCCCCTGTGGAGACCTTAGAGAAAGCCCTATGTCCCTGCCTCATTTTGACGGAATGCCTCACATCGCGCTGACACCTCGAGAGGCACGTGGAGTTCATTGCTTCAAAAGGTGACGATGCCTGACTACTCTTGAATACTGACAGGAATCCCAAAATCCCTGTGGCTACTGGAAAGGGTCCTTGGGTGCCCTGCCTCACCTCGAGAAGCGTCCGTTTTGCCCTGCCAAGCCTCGAAAGATTGCTGAGGTGTCCCTCGTTACTAGACAGGAGTCCTGACGTCACTGAAGAAACTCGTGTTTTGAAGGGCCATCCCCGCCGTAAGTCGAGAACATACCCCAGGTCCCGGCCACAACTCGAGAAAAACCATGAGACTTCCCCCTAGAGGCGAGATGAGGCCCCATTCCCCTGCAGTGCATGCAGAGCTATTCCGTGATCCCATTCAAACAAGTCAGGAGCTTCGACTTGCTTAATGGATCTCGAGACAGTCCCCAAGAACTCTGTCACCAGTCTAGACGGACCCTGAGGTCACCCCAGCAACGCAAAGCACCTCCATGTGCCCCAAATCAACTCGAGATGAGGCCCGATTCCCCTGCATTGACTCCAGAGCCATTCCCCGTTCCCCATTCAACACGACCGGTGGCTCGACTTCCTTCAGGCAACTCCAAAGTTGCCCCGAGAACACTGTCCCAGGTCTAGAGGAACTCCACCTTCAGCACAGCAACTCGAGGAAAGCTCCATGTACCACACATCGTCTCCAGATGAGAGCTGATTCCCTGGCTTAGGCTCAAGACGTATGCCAATTTTCCAGAAGCACCTCAGGAGGAGGCTTCTCTCAGCAACAGGTATGTGAGAGGGACCCCGAGTTTGCTGCCTCAAGAGGAATATACAGCAAGAAGCCCTAACTTGAAAGGAGGCCAGATTTCCTTGCAGTGGCTTGAATACAGGCTCGTCTTTCATCTCACAACATGAAGGGATGTCTGAATCCCCTGTGGAGACCTTAGAGAAAGCCCTAGGACCCTGCCTCATTTTGACGGAATGCCTAACATCCCGCAGACACCTCGAGAGGCACGCGGAGTTCATTGCTTCAAAAGGTGACGATGCCTGACTCCTCTTGAATACTGATAGGAATCGCAAAATAACTCTGGTTACTGGAAAGGGTCCTTGGGTGCCCTGCCTCACCTCGAGAAGAATCCCTTTTGCCCTGCCAAGCCTCGAAGAGATTCCTGATGTGTCCCTCGTTACTAGACAGGAGTCCTGACGTCACTGAAGAAACTCGTGTTTTGAAGGGCCATCCCCGCCGTAAGTCGAGAACATACCTCAGGTCCCCGCCGCAACTCGAGAAAAACCATGAGACTTCCCCTTAGAGGCGAGATGAGGCCCCATTCCCCTGCAGTGCATTCAGAGCTATTCCGTGATCCCATTCAAACAAGTCAGGAGCTTCGACTTGCTTAATGCATCTCGAGACAGTCCCCAAGAGCACTGTCACCAGTCTAGACGGAACCTGAGGTCACCCCAGCAACACAAAACAGCTCCATGTGCCCCAAATCAACTCGAGATGAGGCCCGATTCCCCTGGATTGACTCCAGAGCCATTCATCGTTCCCCATTCAACACGACCGGTCGCTTGACTTCCTTCAGGCAACGGCAGAGATGCCCCGAGAACACTGTCCCAAGTCTAGAGGAACTCCAACTTCAGCACAGCAACACGAGGAATGCTCCGTGTACCCCAAAACATCTCGAGATGAGAGCTGATTCGTGGCTTAGGCTCAAGACATATGCCAACTTTCCAGAAGACATCAGGAGGAGGCTTCTCTCAGTAATAGGTATATGGGAGGTACCCCGAGTATGCTGCCTCAAGAGGAATATACAGCGAGAATCCCTAACTTGAGAGGAGGCCGGATTTCCTTGCAGGGGCTTGAATACAGGCTCGCCTTTCATCTCACAACATGAAGAAATGTCTGAATCCCCTGTGGAGAACTTAGAGAAAGCCCTAGGTCCCTGACTCATTTTGACGGAATGCCTCACATCCCGGTGACATCTCGAGAGGCACGCGGAGTTCATTGCTTCAAAAGGTGACGATGCCTGAGTCCTCTTGAAAACTGATAGGAATCCCAAAATCCCTGTGGCTACTGGAAAGGGTCCTTGGGTGCCCTGCCTCACCTCGAGAAGCGTCCCTTTTGCCCTGCCAAACCTCGAAGAGATTCATGAGTTGTCCCTCGTTACTAGACAGGAGTCCTGACGTCACTGAAGAAACTCGTGTTTTGAAGGGCCATCCCCGCCGTAAGTCGAGAACATACCCCAGGTCCCAGCCGCAACTCAAGAAAAAAAATGAGACTCCCCCTAGAGGCCAGATGAGGCCCCATTCCCCTGCAGTGCATGCAGAGCTATTCCATGATCCCATTCAAACAAGTCAGGAGCTTCGACTTGCTTAATGGATCTCGAGACAGTCCCCAAGAACACTGTCACCAGTCTAGACGGACCCTGAGGTCACCCCAGCAACGCAAAGCAGCACCATGTGCCCCAAATCAACTCGAGATGAGGCCCGATTCCCCTGCATTGACTCCAGGGCCATTCCCCGTTCCCCATTCAACACGACTTGTGGCTCGATTTCCTTCAGGGAACTCCAGAGATGCCCCGAGAACACTGTCCCAAGTCTAGAAGAACTCCAACTTCAGCACAGCAACTCGAGGAATGCTCCGTGTACCCCAAATCATCTCGAGATGAGAGCTGATTCTCTGGCTTAGGCTCAAGATGTATGACAACTTTCCAGAAGCACCTCAGGAGGAGGCTTCTCTCAGCAATCGGTATGTGGGAGGGACCCCGAGGTTGCTGCCTCAAGGGGAATATACAGCGAGAAGCCCTAACGTGAAAGGAGGCCGGATTTCCTTGCAGTGGTTAGAATACAGGCTCATCTTTGATCTCAAAACCTGAAGGAATGTCTGAATCCCCTGTGGAGACCTTAGAGAAAGCCCTATGTCCCTGCCTCATTTTGACGGAATGCCTCACATCGCGCTGACACCTTGAGAGGCACGTGGAGTTCATTGCTTCAAAAGGTGACGATGCCTGACTCCTCTTGAATACTGATAGGAATCCCAAAATAGCTGTGGCTACTGGAAAGGGTCCTTGGGTGCCCTGCCTCACCTCGAGAAGCGTCCCTTTTGCCCTGCCAAGCCTCGAAAAGATTCCTGAGGTGTCCCTCGTTACTAGACAGGAGTCCTGACCTCACTGAAGAAACTCGTGTTTTGAAGGGCCATCCCCGCCGTAAGTCGAGAACATACCCCAGGTCCCCGCCGCAACTCGAGAAAAACCATGAGACTTCCCCCTAGAGGCGAGATGAGGCCCCATTCCCATGCAGTGCATGCAGAGCTATTCCGTGATCCCATTCAAACAAGTCAGGAGCTTCGACTTGCTTAATGGATCTCGAGACAGTCCCCAAGAACTCTGTCACCAGTCTAGACGGACCTTGAGGTCACCCCAGCAACGCAAAGCACCTCCATGTGCCCCAAGTCAACTCGAGATGAGGCCCGATTCCCCTGCATTGACTCCAGAGCCATTCCCCATTCCCCATTCAACACGACCGGTTGCTCGACTTCCTTCAGGGAACTCCAAAGATGCCCCGAGAACACTGTCCCAGGTCTAGAGGAACACCACCTTCAGCACAGCAACTCGAGGAATGCTCCGTGTACCCCAAATCGTCTCGAGATGAGAGCTGATTCCCTGGCTTAGGCTCAAGACGTATGCCAACTTTCCAGAAGCACCTCAGGAGGAGGCTTCTCTCAGCAACAGGTATGTGAGAGGGACCCCGAGTTTGCTGCCTCAAGGGGAATATACCGCGAGAAGCCCTAACTTGAAAGGAGGCCGGATTTCCTTGCAGTGGCTTGAATACAGGCTCGTCTTTCATCTCACAACATGAAGGGATGTCTGAATCCCCTGTGGAGACCTTAGAGAAAGCCCTAGGTCCCTGCCTCATTTTGACGGAATGCCTCACATCCCGCTGACACCTCGAGAGGCACGCGGAGTTCATTGCTTCAAAAGGTGACGATGCCTGACTCCTCTTGAATACTGATAGGAATCGCAAAATAACTCTGGCTACTGGAAAGGTTCCTTGGGTGCCCTGCCTCACCTCGAGAAGCGTCCCTTTTGCCCTGCCAAGCCTCGAAGAGATTCCTGAGGTGTCCCTCGTTACTAGACAGGAGTCCTGACGTCACTGAAGAAACTCGTGTTTTGAAGGGCCATCCCCGCCGTAAGTTGAGAACATACCTCAGGTCCCCGCCGCAACTCGAGAAAAACCATGAGACTTCCCCTTAGAGGCGAGATGATGCCCCATTCCCCTGCAGTGCATTCAGAGCTATTCCGTGATCCCATTCAAACAAGTCAGGAGCTTCGACTTGCTTAATGCATCTCGAGACAGTCCCCAAGAGCACTGTCACCAGTCTAGACGGAACCAGAGGTCACCCCAGCAACGCAAAACAGCTCCATGTGCCACAAGTCAACTCGAGATGAGGCCCGATTCCCCTGCATTGACTCCAGAGCCATTCATCGTTCCCCATTCAACACGACCGGTCGCTTGACTTCCTTCAGGCAACGGCAGAGATGCCCCGAGAACACTGTCCCAAGTCTAGAGGAACTCCAACTTCAGCACAGCAACTCGAGGAATGCTCCGTGTACCCCAAAACATCTCGAGATGAGAGCTGATTCGTGGCTTAGGCGCAAGACCTATGCCAACTTTCCAGAAGACATCAGGAGGAGGCTTCTCTCAGTAATAGGTATATGGGAGGTACCCCGAGTATGCTGCCTCAAGGGGAATATACAGCGAGAATCCCTAACTTGAGAGGAGGCCGGATTTCCTTGCAGGGGCTTGAATACAGGCTCGCCTTTCATCTCACAACATGAAGAAATGTCTGAATCACCTGTGGAGAACTTAGAGAAAGCCCTAGGTCCCTGACTCATTTTGACGGAATGCCTCACATCCCGGTGACATCTCGAGAGGCACGCGGAGTTCATTGCTTCAAAAGGTGACGATGCCTGAGTCCTCTTGAAAACTGATAGGAATCCCAAAATCCCTGTGGCTACTGGAAAGGGTCCTTGGGTGCCCTGCCTCACGTCGAGAAGCGTACCTTTTGCCCTGCCAAACCTCGAAGAGATTCCTGATGTGTCCCTCGTTACTAGACAGGAGTCCTGACGTCACTGAAGAAACTCGTGTTTTGAAGGGCCATCCCCGCCGTAAGTCGAGAACATACCCCAGGTCCCCACCGCAACTCGAGAAAAACCATGAGACTTCCCCCTAGAGGCGAGATGAGGCCCCATTCCCCTGCAGTGCATGCAGAGCTATTCCGTGATCCCATTCAAACAAGTCAGGAGCTACGACTTGCTTAATGGATATCGAGACAGTCCCCAAGAACACTGTCACCAGTCTAGACGGACCCTGAGGTCACCGCAACAAAGAAAAGCAGCTCCATGTGCCCCAAATCAACTCGAGATGAGGTCCAATTCCCCTGCATTGACTCCAGAGCCTTTCCCGGTTCCCCATTCAACACGACCGGTGGCTCGACTTCCTTCAGGCAACTCCAGAGATGCCCCGAGAACACTGTCCCAAGTCCAGAGGAACACCAACTTCAGCACAGCAACTCGAGGAATGCTCCGTGTACCCCAAATCGTCTCGAGATGAGAGCTGATTCCCTGGCTTAGGCTCAAGACGTATGCCAACTTTCCAGAAGCACCTCAGGAGGAGGCTTCTCTCAGCAATAGGTATGTGGGAGGGACCCCGAGTATGCTGCCTCAAGGGGAATATACAGCGAGAAGCCCTAACTTGAAAGGAGGCCGGATTTCCTTGCAGTGGCTTGAATACAGGCTCGTCTTTCATCTCACAACATGAAGGTATGTCTGAATCCCCTGTGGAGACCTTAGAGAAAGCCCTAGGTCCCTGCGTCTTTTTGACGGAATGCCTCATATCCCGCTGACACCTTGAGAGGCACGCGGAGTTCATTGCTTCAAAAGGTGATGATGCCTGACTCCTCTTGAATACTGATAGGAATCCCAAAATCCCTGTGGCTACTGGAAAGGGTCCTTGGGTGCCCTGCGTCACCTCGAGAAGCGTCCCTTTTGCCCTGCCAAGCCTCGAAGGGATTCCTGAGGTGTCCCTCGTTACTAGACAGGAGTCCTGACGTCACTGAAGAAACTCGTGTTTTGAAGGGCCATCCGCGCCTTAAGTCGAGAACATACCCCAGGTCCCCGCCGCAACTCGAGAAAAACCATGAGACTTCCCCCTAGAGGCGAGATGAGGCCCCATTCCCCTGCAGTGCATGCAGAGCTATTCCGTGATCCCATTCAAACAAGTCAGGAGCTTCGACTTGCTTAATGGATCTCGAGACAGTCCCCAAGAACACTGTCACCAGTCTAGACGGACCCTGAGGTCACCGCAGCAACGCAAAGCAGCTCCATGTGCCCCAAATCAACTCGAGATGAGGCCCGATTCCCCTGCATTGACTCCAGAGCCTTTCCCCGTTCCCCATTCAACACGACCGGTGGCTCAACTTCCTTCAGGCAACTCCAGAGATGCCCCGAGAACACTGTCCCAAGTCTAGAGGAACACCAACTTCAGCACAGCAATTCGAGGAATGCTCCGTGCACCCCAAATCGTCTCGAGATGAGAGCTGATTACCTGGCTTAGGCTCAAGACGTATGCCAACTTTCCAGAAGCACCTCGGAGGAGGCTTCTCTCAGCAATAGGTTTGTGGGAGGGACCCCGAGTATGCTGCCTCAAGGGGAATATACAGCGAGAAGCCCTAACTTGAAAGGAGGCCGGATTTCCTTGCAGTGGCTAGAATACAGGCTCGTCTTTGATCTCAAAACCTGAAGGGATGTCTGAATCCCCTGTGGAGACCTTAGAGAAAGCCCTAGGTCCCTGCCTCATTTTGACGGAAAGCCTCACATCGCGCTGACACCTCGAGAGGCACGTGGAGTTCATTGCTTCAAAAGGTGACGATGCGTGACTCCTCTTGAATACTGATAGGAATCCCAAAATCCCTGTGGCTACTGGAAAGGGTCCTTGGGTGCCCTGCCTCACCTCGAGAAGCGTCCCTTTTGCCCTGCCAAGCCTCGAAGAGATTCCTGACGTGGCCCTCGTTACTAGACAGGAGTCCTGACGTCACTGAAGAAACTCGTGTTTTGAAGGGCCATCCCCGCCGTAAGTCGAGAACATACCCCAGGTCCCCACCGCAACTCGAGAAAAACCATGAGACTTCCCCCTAGAGGCGAGATGAGGCCCCATTCCCCTGCAGTGCATGCAGAGCTATTCCGTGATCCCATTCAAACAAGTCAGGAGCTACGACTTGCTTAATGGATATCGAGACAGTCCCCAAGAACACTGTCACCAGTCTAGACGGACCCTGAGGTCACCCCAGCAACGCAAAGCACCTCCATGTGCCCCAAGTCAACTCGAGATGAGGCCCGATTCCCCTGCATTGACTCCAGAGCCATATCCCGTTCCCCATTCAACACGACCGGTGGCTCGACTTCCTTCAGGCAACTCCAGAGATGCCCCGAGAACACTGTCCCAGGTCTAGAGGAACTCCACCTTCAGCACAGCAACTCGAGGAATGCTGCGTGTACCACAAATCGTCTCGAGATGAGAGCTGATTCCCTGGCTTAGGCTCAAGACGTATGCCAACTTTCCAGAAGCACCTCAGGAGGAGGCTTCTCTCAGCAATAGGTATATGGGAGGGACCCCCAGTATGCTGCCTCAAGGGGAATATACAGCGAGAATCCCTAACTTGAGAGGAGGCCGGATTTTCTTGCAGGGGCTTGAATACAGGCTCGCCTTTCATCTCACAACATGAAGAAATGTCTGAATCACCTGTGGAGAACTTAGAGAAAGCCCTAGGTCCCTGACTCATTTTGACGGAATGCCTCACATCCCGGTGACATCTCGAGAGGCACGCGGAGTTCATTGCTTCAAAAGGTGACGATACCGGAGTCCTCTTGAAAACTGATAGGAATCCCAAAATCCCTGTGGCTACTGGAAAGGGTCCTTGGGTGCCCTGCCTCACCTCGAGAAGCGTCCCTTTTGCCCTGCCAAGCCTCGAAGTGATTCATGAGGTGAACCTCGTTACTAGACAGGAGTCCTGACGTCACTGAAGAAACTCGTGTTTTGAAGGGCCATCCCCGCCGTAAGTCGAGAACATACCCCAGGTCCCAGCCGCAACTCAAGAAAAAAAATGAGACTTCCCCCTAGAGGCGAGAAGAGGCCCCATTCCCCTGCAGTGCATGCAGAGCTATTCCGTGATCCCATTCAAACAAGTCAGGAGCTTCGACTTGCTTAATGGATCTCGAGACAGTCCCCAAGAACACTGTCACCAGTCTAGACGGACCCTGAGGTCACCCCAGCAACGCAAAGCAGCACCATGTGCCCCAAATCAACTCGAGATGAGGCCCGATTCCCCTGCATTGACTCCAGGGCCATTCCCCGTTCCCCATTCAACACGACCGGTGGCTCGACTTCCTTCAGGCAACTCCAGAGATGCCCCGAGAACACTGTCCCAAGTCTAGAGGAACTCCAACTTCAGCACAGCAACTCGAGGAATGCTACGTGTACCACAAATCATCTCGAGATGAGAGCTGATTCCCTGGCTTAGGCTCAAGACGTATGTCAACTTTCCAGAAGCACCTCAGGAGGAGGCTTCTCTCAGCAATAGGTATGTGGGAGGGACCCCGAGGTTGCTGCCTCAAGGGGAATATACAGCGAGAAGCCCTAACTTGAAAGGAGGCCGGATTTCCTTGCAGTGGCTAGAATACAGGCTCATCTTTGATCTCAAAACCTGAAGGGATGTCTGAATCCCCTGTGGAGACCTTAGAGAAAGCCCTATGTCCCTGCCTCATTTTGACGGAATGCCTCACATCGCGCTGACACTTCGAGAGGCACGTGGAGTTCATTGCTTCAAAAGGTGACGATGCCTGACTACTCTTGAATACTGACAGGAATCCCAAAATCCCTGTGGCTACTGGAAAGGGTCCTTGGGTGCCCTGCCTCACCTCGAGAAGCGTCCGTTTTGCCCTGCAAAGCCTCGAAAGATTGCTGAGGTGTCCCTCGTTACTAGACAGGAGTCCTGACGTCACTGAAGAAACTCGTGTTTTGAAGGGCCATCCCCGCCGTAAGTCGAGAACATACCCCAGGTCCCGGCCACAACTCGAGAAAAACCATGAGACTTCCCCCTAGAGGCGAGATGAGGCCCCATTCCCCTGCAGTGCATGCAGAGCTATTCCGTGATCCCATTCAAACAAGTCAGGAGCTTCGACTTGCTTAATGGATCTCGAGACAGTCCCCAAGAACTCTGTCACCAGTCTAGACGGACCCTGAGGTCACCCCAGCAACGCAAAGCACCTCCATGTGCCCCAAATCAACTCGAGATGAGGCCCGATTCCCCTGCATTGACTCCAGAGCCATTCCCCGTTCCCCATTCAACACGACCGGTGGCTCGACTTCCTTCAGGCAACTCCAAAGATGCCCCGAGAACACTGTCCCAGGTCTAGAGGAACTCCACCTTCAGCACAGCAACTCGAGGAAAGCTCCATGTACCACACATCGTCTCCAGATGAGAGCTGATTCCCTGGCTTAGGCTCAAGACGTATGCCAACTTTCCAGAAGCACCTCAGGAGGAGGCTTCTCTCAGCAACAGGTATGTGAGAGGGAACCCGAGTTTGCTGCCTCAAGAGGAATATACAGCAAGAAGCCCTAACTTGAAAGGAGGCCAGATTTCCTTGCAGTGGCTTGAATACAGGCTCGTCTTTCATCTCACAACATGAAGGGATGTCTGAATCCCCTGTGGAGACCTTAGAGAAAGCCCTAGGACCCTGCCTCATTTTGACGGAATGCCTAACATCCCGCAGACACCTCGAGAGGCACGCGGAGTTCATTGCTTCAAAAGGTGACGATGCCTGACTCCTCTTGAATACTGATAGGAATCGCAAAATAACTCTGGTTACTGGAAAGGGTCCTTGGGTGCCCTGCCTCACCTCGAGAAGCATCCCTTTTGCCCTGCCAAGCCTCGAAGAGATTCCTGATGTGTCCCTCGTTACTAGACAGGAGTCCTGACGTCACTGAAGAAACTCGTGTTTTGAAGGGCCATCCCCGCCGTAAGTCGAGAACATACCCCAGGTCCCAACCGCAACTCGAGAAAAACCATGAGACTTCCCCCTAGAGGCGAGATGAGGCCCCATTCCCCTGCAGTGCATGCAGAGCTATTCCGTGATCCCATTCAAACAAGTCAGGAGCTTCGACTTGCTTAATGGATATCGAGACAGTCCCCAAGAACACTGTCACCAGTCTAGACGGACCCTGAGGTCACCCCAGCAACGCAAAGCACCTCCATGTGCCCCAAGTCAACTCGAGATGAGGCCCGATTCCCCTGCATTGACTCCAGGGCCATTCCCCGTTCCCCATTCAACACGACCGGTGGCTCGACTTCCTTCAGGCAACTCCAGAGATGCCCCGAGAACACTGTCCCAGGTCTAGAGGAACTCCACCTTCAGCAGAGCAACTCGAGGAATGCTCCGTGTACCACAAATCGTCTCGAGATGAGAGCTGATTCCATGGCTTAGGCTCAAGACGTATGGCCACTTTCCAGAATCACATCAGGAGGAGGCTTCTCTCAGCAACAGGTATGTGGGAGGGACCCCGAGTTTGCTGCCTCAAGGGGAATATACAGCAAGAAGCCCTAACTTGAAAGGAGGCCGTATTTCCTTGCAGTGGCTTGAATACAGGCTCGTCTTTCATCTCACAACATGAAGGGATGTCTGAATCCCCTGTGGAGACCTTAGAGAAAGCCCTAGGTCCCTGCCTCATTTTGAAGGAATGCCTCACATCCCGCAGACACCTCGAGAGGCACGCGGAGTTCATTGCTTCAAAAGGTGACGATGCCTGACTCCTCTTGAATAGTGATAGGAATCCCAAAATCCCTGTGGCTACTGGAAAGGGACCTTCGCTGCCCTGCCTCACATCGAGAAGCGTCCCTTTTGCCCTGCCAAGCCTCGAAGAGATTCCTGAGGTGTCCCTCGTTACTAGACAGGAGTCCTGACGTCACTGAAGAAACTCGTGTTTTGAAGGGCCATCCCCGCCTTAAGTCGAGAACATACCCCAGGTCCCCGCCGCAACTCGAGAAAAACCATGAGACTTCCCCCTAGAGGCGAGATGAGGGCCCATTCCCCTGCAGTGCATGCAGAGCTATTCCGTGATCCCATTCAAACAAGTCAGGAGCTTCGACTTGCTTAATGGATCTCGAGACAGTCCCCAAGAACACTGTCACCAGTCTAGACGGACCCTGAGGTCACCCCAGCAACGCAAAGCAGCTCCATGTCCCCCAAATCAACTCGAGATGAGGCCGGATTCCCCTGCATTGACTCCAGAGCCATTCCCTGTTCCCCATTCAACAAGACCGGTGGCTCGACTTCCTTCAGGCAACTCTAGAGATGCCCCGAGAACATTGCCCCAAGTCTAGAGGAACTCCAACTTCAGCACAGCAACTCGAGGAATGCTCCGTGTACCCCAAATCGTCTCGAGATGAGAGCTGATTCCCTGGCTTAGGCTCAAGACATATGCCAACTTTCCTGAAGCACCTCAGGAGGAGGCTTCTCTCAGCAATAGGTATGTGGGAGGGACCTCGAGTTTGCTGCCTCAAGGGGAATATACAGCGAGAAGCCCTAACTTGAAAGGAGGCCGGATTTCCTTGCAATGGCTTGAATACAGGCTCGTCTTTCATCTCACAACATGAAGGGATGTCTGAATCCCCTGTGGAGACCTTAGAGAAACACGTAGGTCTCTGCCTCATTTTGACGGAATGCCTCACATCCCGCTGACACCTCGAGAGGAACGCGGAGTTCATTGCTTCAAAAGATGACGATGCCGGACTCCTCTTGAATACTGATAGGAATCCCAAACTCCCTGTGGCTACTGGAAAGGGTCCTTGGGTGCCCTGCCTCACCTCGAGAAGCGTCCCTTTTGCCCTGCCAAGTCTCGAGGAGATTCCTGAGGTGTCCCTCGTTACTAGACTGGAGTCCTGACGTCACTGAAGAAACTCGTGTTTTGAAAGGCCATCCCCGCCGTAAGTCGAGAACATACCCCAGGTCCCCGCCGCAACTGGAAAAAAACCATGAGACTTCCCCCTAGAGGCCAGATGAGGCCCCATTCCCCTGCAGTGCATGCAGAGCTATTCCGTGATCCCATTCAAACAAGTCAGGAGCTTCGACTTGCTTAATGGATCTCGAGACAGTCCCCAAGAACACTGTCACCAGTCTAGACGGACCTTGAGGTCACCCCAGCAACGGAAAGCAGCTCCATGTGCCCCAAGTCAACTCGAAATGAGGCCCGATTCCCCTGCATTGACTCCAGAGCCATTCCCCGTTCGCCATTCAACACGACCGGTGGCTCGACTTCCTTCAGGCAACTCCAGAGATGCCCCGAGAACACTGTCCCAAGTCTAGAGGAACTCCAACCTCAGCACAGCAACTCGATGAATGCTCCGTGTACCCCAAATCGTCTCGAGATGAGAGCTGATTCCCTGGCTTAGGCTCAAGACGTATGCCAACTTTCCAGAAGCACCTCAGGAGGAGGCTTCTCTCAGCAATAGGTATGTGGGAGGGACCCCGAGTTTGCTGCCTCAAGGGGAATATACAGCAAGAAGCCCTAACTTGAATGGAGGCCGGATTTCCTTGCAGTGGCTTGAATACAGGCTCGTCTTTCATGTCACAACATGAAGGGATGTCTGAATCCCCTGTGGAGACCTTAGAGAAAGCCCTAGGTCCCTGCCTCATTTTGACGGAATGCCTCACATCCCGCTGACACCTCGAGAGGCACGCGGAGTTCATTGCTTCAAAAGGTGACGATGCCTGACTCCTCTTGAATACTGATAGGAATCCCAAAATAACTCTGGCTACTGGAAAGGGTCCTTGGGTGCCCTGCCACACCTCGAGAAGCGTCCCTTTTGCCCTGCCAAGCCTCGAAGAGATTCCTGAGGTGTCCCTCGTTACTAGACAGGAGTCCTGACGTCACTGAAGAAACTCGTGTTTTGAAGGGCCATCCCCGCCGTAGGTCGAGAACATACCCCAGGTCCCCACCACAACTCGAGAAAAACCATGAGACTTCCCCCTAGAGGCGAGATGAGGCCCCATTCCCCTGCAGTGCATGCAGAGCTATTCCGTGATCCCATTCAAAAAAGTCAGGAGCTTCTACTTGCTTAATGGATATCAAGACATTCCTGAAGAACACTGTCACCAGTCTAGACGGACCCTGAGGTCACCGCAACAAAGAAAAGCAGCTCCATGTGCCCCAAATCAACTCGAGATGAGGTCCAATTCCCCTGCATTGACTCCAGAGCCTTTCCCGGTTCCCCATTCAACACGACCGGTGGCTCGACTTCCTTCAGGCAACTCCAGAGATGCCCCGAGAACACTGTCCCAAGTCCAGAGGAACACCAACTTCAGCACAGCAACTCGAGGAATGCTCCGTGTACCCCAAATCGTCTCGAGATGAGAGCTGATTCCCTGGCTTAGGCTCAAGACGTATGCCAACTTTCCAGAAGCACCTCAGGAGGAGGCTTCTCTCAGCAATAGGTATGTGGGAGGGACCCCGAGTATGCTGCCTCAAGGGGAATATACAGCGAGAAGCCCTAACTTGAAAGGAGGCCGGATTTCCTTGCAGTGGCTTGAATACAGGCTCGTCTTTCATCTCACAACATGAAGGTATGTCTGAATCCCCTGTGGAGACCTTAGAGAAAGCCCTAGGTCCCTGCGTCTTTTTGACGGAATGCCTCATATCCCGCTGACACTTCGAGAGGCACGCGGAGTTCATTGCTTCAAAAGGTGACGATGCCTGACTCCTCTTGAATACTGATAGGAATCCCAAACTCCCTGTGGCTACTGGAAAGGGTCCTTGGGTGCCCTGCCTCACCTCGAGAAGCGTCCCTTTTGCCCTGCCAAGCCTCGAAGGGATTCCTGAGGTGTCCCTCGTTACTAGACAGGAGTCCTGACGTCACTGAAGAAACTCGTGTTTTGAAGGGCCATCCGCGCCTTAAGTCGAGAACATACCCCAGGTCCCCGCCGCAACTCGAGAAAAACCATGAGACTTCCCCCTAGAGGCGAGATGAGGCCCCATTCCCCTGCAGTGCATGCAGAGCTATTCCGTGATCCCATTCAAACAAGTCAGGAGCTTCGACTTGCTTAATGGATCTCGAGACAGTCCCCAAGAACACTGTCACCAGTCTAGACGGACCCTGAGGTCACCGCAGCAACGCAAAGCAGCTCCATGTGCCCCAAATCAACTCGAGATGAGGCCCGATTCCCCTGCATTGACTCCAGAGCCTTTCCCCGTTCCCCATTCAACACGACCGGTGGCTCAACTTCCTTCAGGCAACTCCAGAGATGCCCCGAGAACACTGTCCCAAGTCTAGAGGAACACCAACTTCAGCACAGCAATTCGAGGAATGCTCCGTGCACCCCAAATCGTCTCGAGATGAGAGCTGATTACCTGGCTTAGGCTCAAGACGTATGCCAACTTTCCAGAAGCACCTCGGAGGAGGCTTCTCTCAGCAATAGGTTTGTGGGAGGGACCCCGAGTATGCTGCCTCAAGGGGAATATACAGCGAGAAGCCCTAACTTGAAAGGAGGCCGGATTTCCTTGCTGTGGCTAGAATACAGGCTCGTCTTTGATCTCAAAACCTGAAGGGATGTCTGAATCCCCTGTGGAGACCTTAGAGAAAGCCCTAGGTCCCTGCCTCATTTTGACGGAAAGCCTCACATCGCGCTGACACCTCGAGAGGCACGTGGAGTTCACTGCTTCAAAAGGTGACGATGCGTGACTCCTCTTGAATACTGATAGGAAATCCAAAATCCCTGTGGCTACTGGAAAGGGTCCTTGGGTGCCCTGCCTCACCTCGAGAAGCGTCCCTTTTGCCCTGCCAAGCCTCGAAGAGATTCCTGACGTGGCCCTCGTTACTAGACAGGAGTCCTGACGTCACTGAAGAAACTCGTGTTTTGAAGGGCCATCCCCGCCGTAAGTCGAGAACATACCCCAGGTCCCCACCGCAACTCGAGAAAAACCATGAGACTTCCCCCTAGAGGCGAGATGAGGCCCCATTCCCCTGCAGTGCATGCAGAGCTATTCCGTGATCCCATTCAAACAAGTCAGGAGCTACGACTTGCTTAATGGATATCGAGACAGTCCCCAAGAACACTGTCACCAGTCTAGACGGACCCTGAGGTCACCCCAGCAACGCAAAGCACCTCCATGTGCCCCAAGTCAACTCGAGATGAGGCCCGATTCCCCTGCATTGACTCCAGAGCCATACCCCGTTCCCCATTCAACACGACCGGTGGCTCGACTTCCTTCAGGCAACTCCAGAGATGCCCCGAGAACACTGTCCCAGGTCTAGAGGAACTCCACCTTCAGCACAGCAACTCGAGGAATGCTGCGTGTACCACAAATCGTCTCGAGATGAGAGCTGATTCCATGGCTTAGGCTCAAGACGTATGCAAACTTTCCAGAAGCACCTCAGGAGGAGGCTTCTCTCAGCAATATGTATATGGGAGGGACCCCCAGTATGCTGCCTCAAGGGGAATATACAGCGAGAATCCCTAACTTGAGAGGAGGCCGGATTTCCTTGCAGGGGCTTGAATACAGGCTCGCCTTTCATCTCACAACATGAAGAAATGTCTGAATCACCTGTGGAGAACTTAGAGAAAGCCCTAGGTCCCTGACTCATTTTGACGGAATGCCTCACATCCCGGTGACATCTCGAGAGGCACGCGGAGTTCATTGCTTCAAAAGGTGACGATACCTGAGTCCTCTTGAAAACTGATAGGAATCCCAAAATCCCTGTGGCTACTGGAAAGGGTCCTTGGGTGCCCTGCCTCACCTCGAGAAGCGTCCCTTTTGCCCTGCCAAGCCTCGAAGAGATTCATGAGGTGAACCTCGTTACTAGACAGGAGTCCTGACGTCACTGAAGAAACTCGTGTTTTGAAGGGCCATCCCCGCCGTAAGTCGAGAACATACCCCAGGTCCCAGCCGCAACTCAAGAAAAAAAATGAGACTTCCCCCTAGAGGCGAGAAGAGGCCCCATTCCCCTGCAGTGCATGCAGAGCTATTCCGTGATCCCATTCAAACAAGTCAGGAGCTTCAACTTGCTTAATGGATCTCGAGACAGTCCCCAAGAACACTGTCACCAGTCTAGACGGACCCTGAGGTCACCCCAGCAACGCAAAGCAGCACCATGTGCCCCAAATCAACTCGAGATGAGGCCCGATTCCCCTGCATTGACTCCAGGGCCATTCCCCGTTCCCCATTCAACACGACCGGTGGCTCGACTTCCTTCAGGGAACTCCAGAGATGCCCCGAGAACACTGTCCCAAGTCTAGAGGAACTCCAACTTCAGCACAGCAACTCGAGGAATGCTACGTGTACCACAAATCATCTCGAGATGAGAGCTGATTCCCTGGCTTAGGCTCAAGACGTATGTCAACTTTCCAGAAGCACCTCAGGAGGAGGCTTCTCTCAGCAATAGGTATGTGGGAGGGACCCCGAGGTTGCTGCCTCAAGGGGAATATACAGCGAGAAGCCCTAACTTGAAAGGAGGCCGGATTTCCTTGCAGTGGCTAGAATACAGGCTCATCTTTGATCTCAAAACCTGAAGGGATGTCTGAATCCCCTGTGGAGACCTTAGAGAAAGCCCTATGTCCCTGCCTCATTTTGACGGAATGCCTCACATCGCGCTGACACTTCGAGAGGCACGTGGAGTTCATTGCTTCAAAAGGTGACGATGCCTGACTACTCTTGAATACTGACAGGAATCCCAAAATCCCTGTGGCTACTGGAAAGGGTCCTTGGGTGCCCTGCCTCACCTCGAGAAGCGTCCGTTTTGCCCTGCAAAGCCTCGAAAGATTGCTGAGGTGTCCCTCGTTACTAGACAGGAGTCCTGACGTCACTGAAGAAACTCGTGTTTTGAAGGGCCATCCCCGCCGTAAGTCGAGAACATACCCCAGGTCCCGGCCACAACTCGAGAAAAACCATGAGACTTCCCCCTAGAGGCGAGATGAGGCCCCATTCCCCTGCAGTGCATTCAGAGCTATTCCGTGATCCCATTCAAACAAGTCAGGAGCTTCGACTTGCTTAATGGATCTCGAGACAGTCCCCAAGAACTCTGTCACCAGTCTAGACGGACCCTGAGGTCACCCCAGCAACGCAAAGCACCTCCATGTGCCCCAAATCAACTCGAGATGAGGCCCGATTCCCCTGCATTGACTCCAGAGCCATTCCCCGTTCCCCATTCAACACGACCGGTGGCTCGACTTCCTTCAGGCAACTCCAAAGATGCCCCGAGAACACTGTCCCAGGTCTAGAGGAACTCCACCTTCAGCACAGCAACTCGAGGAAAGCTCCATGTACCACACATCGTCTCCAGATGAGAGCTGATTCCCTGGCTTAGGCTCAAGACGTATGCCAACTTTCCAGAAGCACCTCAGGAGGAGGCTTCTCTCAGCAACAGGTATGTGAGAGGGACCCCGAGTTTGCTGCCTCAAGAGGAATATACAGCAAGAAGCCCTAACTTGAAAGGAGGCCAGATTTCCTTGCAGTGGCTTGAATACAGGCTCGTCTTTCATCTCACAACATGAAGGGATGTCTGAATCCCCTGTGGAGACCTTAGAGAAAGCCCTAGGACCCTGCCTCATTTTGACGGAATGCCTAACATCCCGCAGACACCTCGAGAGGCACGCGGAGTTCATTGCTTCAAAAGGTGACGATGCCTGACTCCTCTTGAATACTGATAGGAATCGCAAAATAACTCTGGTTACTGGAAAGGGTCCTTGGGTGCCCTGCCTCACCTCGAGAAGCATCCCTTTTGCCCTGCCAAGCCTCGAAGAGATTCCTGATGTGTCCCTCGTTACTAGACAGGAGTCCTGACGTCACTGAAGAAACTCGTGTTTTGAAGGGCCATCCCCGCCGTAAGTCGAGAACATACCCCAGGTCCCAACCGCAACTCGAGAAAAACCATGAGACTTCCCCCTAGAGGCGAGATGAGGCCCCATTCCCCTGCAGTGCATGCAGAGCTATTCCGTGATCCCATTCAAACAAGTCAGGAGCTTCGACTTGCTTAATGGATCTCGAGACAGTCCCCAAGAACACTGTCACCAGTCTAGACGGACCCTGAGGTCACCCCAGCAACGCAAAGCACCTCCATGTGCCCCAAGTCAACTCGAGATGAGGCCCGATTCCCCTGCATTGACTCCAGGGCCATTCCCCGTTCCCCATTCAACACGACCGGTGGCTCGACTTCCTTCAGGCAACTCCAGAGATGCCCCGAGAACACTGTCCCAGGTCTAGAGGAACTCCACCTTCAGCAGAGCAACTCGAGGAATGCTCCGTGTACCACAAATCGTCTCGAGATGAGAGCTGATTCCATGGCTTAGGCTCAAGACGTATGGCCACTTTCCAGAATCACATCAGGAGGAGGCTTCTCTCAGCAACAGGTATGTGGGAGGGACCCCGAGTTTGCTGCCTCAAGGGGAATATACAGCAAGAAGCCCTAACTTGAAAGGAGGCCGTATTTCCTTGCAGTGGCTTGAATACAGGCTCGTCTTTCATCTCACAACATGAAGGGATGTCTGAATCCCCTGTGGAGACCTTAGAGAAAGCCCTAGGTCCCTGCCTCATTTTGAAGGAATGCCTCACATCCCGCAGACACCTCGAGAGGCACGCGGAGTTCATTGCTTCAAAAGGTGACGATGCCTGACTCCTCTTGAATAGTGATAGGAATCCCAAAATCCCTGTGGCTACTGGAAAGGGACCTTCGCTGCCCTGCCTCACATCGAGAAGCGTCCCTTTTGCCCTGCCAAGCCTCGAAGAGATTCCTGAGGTGTCCCTCGTTACTAGACAGGAGTCCTGACGTCACTGAAGAAACTCGTCTTTTGAAGGGCCATCCATGCCGTAAGTCGAGAACATACCCCAGGTCCCCGCCGCAACTCGAGAAAAACCATGAGACTTCCCCCTAGAGGCGAGATGAGGCCCCATTCCCCTGCAGTGCATGCAGAGCTATTCCGTGATCCCATTCAAACAAGTCAGGAGCTTCGACTTGCTTAATGGATCTCGAGACAGTCCCCAAGAACACTGTCACCAGTCTAGACGGACCCTGAGGTCACCCTAGCAACGCAAAGCAGCACCATGTGCCCCAAATCAACTCGAGATGAGGCCCGATTCCCCTGCATTGACTCCAGGGCCATTCCCCTTTCCCCATTCAACACGACCGGTGGCTCGACTTCATTCAGGCAACTCCAGAGATGCCCCGAGAACACTGTCCCAAGTCTAGAGGAACTCCAACTACAGCACAGCAACTCGAGGAATGCTCCGTGTACCCCAAATCATCTCGAGATGAGAGCTGATTCCCTGGCTTAGGCTCAAGACGTATGCCAACTTTCCAGAAGCACCTCAGGAGGAGGCTTCTCTCAGCAATAGGTATGTGGGAGGGACCCCGTGGTTGCTGCCTCAAGGGGAATATACAGCGAGAAGCCCTAACTTGAAAGGAGGCCGGATTTCCTTGCAGTGGTTTGAATACAGGCTCGTCTTTCATCTCACAACATGAAGGGATGTCTGAATCCCCTGTGGAGACCTTAGAGAAAGCCCTAGGTACCTGCCTCATTTTGACGGAATTCCTCACATCCCGCAGACACCTCGAGAGGCACGCGGAGTTCATTGCTTCAAAAGGTGACGATGCCTGATTCCTCTTGAATACTGATAGGAATCGCAAAATAACTCTGGCTACTGGAAAGGTTCCTTGGGTGCCCTGCCTCACCTCGAGAAGCGTCCCTTTTGCCCTGCCAAGCCTCGAAGAGATTCCTGAGGTGTCCCTCGTTACTAGACAGGAGTCCTGACGTCACTGAAGAAACTCGTGTTTTGAAGGGCCATCCCCGCCGTAAGTCGAGAACATACCTCAGGTCCCCGCCGCAACTCGAGAAAAACCATGAGACTTCCCCTTAGAGGCGAGATGAGGCCCCATTCCCCTGCAGTGCATTCAGAGCTATTCCGTGATCCCATTCAAACAAGTCAGGAGCTTCGACTTGCTTAATGCATCTCGAGACAGTCCCCAAGAGCACTGTCACCAGTCTAGACGGAACCTGAGGTCACCCCAGCAACGCAAAACAGCTCCATGTGCCCCAAATCAACTCGAGATGAGGCCCGATTCCCCTGGATTGACTCCAGAGCCATTCATCGTTCCCCATTCAACATGACCGGTCGCTTGACTTCCTTCAGGCAACGGCAGAGATGCCCCGAGAACACTGTCCCAAGTCTAGAGGAACTCCAACTTCAGCACAGCAACACGAGGAATGCTCCGTGTACCCCAAAACATCTCGAGATGAGAGCTGATTCGTGGCTTAGGCTCAAGACATATGCCAACTTTCCAGAAGACATCAGGAGGAGGCTTCTCTCAGTAATAGGTATATGGGAGGTACCCCGAGTATGCTGCCTCAAGGGGAATATACAGCGAGAATCCCTAACTTGAGAGGAGGCCGGATTTCCTTGCAGGGGCTTGAATACAGGCTCGCCTTTCATCTCACAACATGAAGAAATGTCTGAATCACCTGTGGAGAACTTAGAGAAAGCCCTAGGTCCCTGACTCATTTTGACGGAATGCCTCACATCCCGGTGACATCTCGAGAGGCACGCGGAGTTCATTTGCTTCAAAAGGTGACGATGCCTGAGTCCTCTTGAAAACTGATAGGAATCCCAAAATCCCTGTGGCTACTGGAAAGGGTCCTTGGGTGCCCTGCCTCACCTCGAGAAGCGTCCCTTTTGCCCTGCCAAGCCTCGAAGAGATTCATGAGGTGTCCCTCGTTACTAAACAGGAGTCCTGACGTCACTGAAGAAACTCGTGTTTTGAAGGGCCATCCCCGCCGTAAGTCGAGAACATACCTCAGGTCCCCGCCGCAACTCGAGAAAAACCATGAGACTTCCCCTTAGAGGCGAGATGAGGCCCCATTCCCCTGCAGTGCATTCAGAGCTATTCCGTGATCCCATTCAAACAAGTCAGGAGCTTCGACTTGCTTAATGCATCTCGAGACAGTCCCCAAGAGCACTGTCACCAGTCTAGACGGAACCTGAGGTCACCCCAGCAACGCAAAACAGCTCCATGTGCCACAAGTCAACTCGAGATGAGGCCCGATTCCCCTGCATTGACTCCAGAGCCATTCATCGTTCCCCATTCAACACGACCGGTCGCTTGACTTCCTTCAGGCAACGGCAGAGATGCCCCGAGAACACTGTCCCAAGTCTAGAGGAACTCCAACTTCAGCACAGCAACTCGAGGAATGCTCCGTGTACCCCAAAACATCTCGAGATGAGAGCTGATTCGTGGCTTAGGCTCAAGACCTATGCCAACTTTCCAGAAGACATCAGGAGGAGGCTTCTCTCAGTAATAGGTATATGGGAGGTACCCCGAGTATGCTGCCTCAAGGGGAATATACAGCGAGAATCCCTAACTTGAGAGGAGGCCGGATTTCCTTGCAGGGGCTTGAATACAGGCTCGCCTTTCATCTCACAACATGAAGAAATGTCTGAATCACCTGTGGAGAACTTAGAGAAAGCCCTAGGTCCCTGACTCATTTTGACGGAATGCCTCACATCCCGGTGACATCTCGAGAGGCACGCGGAGTTCATTGCTTCAAAAGGTGACGATGCCTGAGTCCTCTTGAAAACTGATAGGAATCCCCAAATCCCTGTGGCTACTGGAAAGGGTCCTTGGGTGCCCTGCCTCACCTCGAGAAGCGTCCCTTTTGCCCTGCCAAGCCTCGAAGAGATTCATGAGGTGTCCCTCGTTACTAGACAGGAGTCCTGACGTCACTGAAGAAACTCGTGTTTTGAAGGGCCATCCCCGCCGTAAGTCGAGAACATACCCCAGGTCCCAGCCGCAACTCAAGAAAAAAAATGAGACTCCCCCTAGAGGCCAGATGAGGCCCCATTCCCCTGCAGTGCATGCAGAGCTATTCCATGATCCCATTCAAACAAGTCAGGAGCTTCGACTTGCTTAATGGATCTCGAGACAGTCCCCAAGAACACTGTCACCAGTCTAGACGGACCCTGAGGTCACCCCAGCAACGCAAAGCAGCACCATGTGCCCCAAATCAACTCGAGATGAGGCCCGATTCCCCTGCATTGACTCCAGGGCCATTCCCCGTTCCCCATTCAACACGACTTGTGGCTCGATTTCCTTCAGGGAACTCCAGAGATGCCCCGAGAACACTGTCCCAAGTCTAGAAGAACTCCAACTTCAGCACAGCAACTCGAGGAATGCTCCGTGTACCCCAAATCATCTCGAGATGAGAGCTGATTCTCTGGCTTAGGCTCAAGATGTATGCCAACTTTCCAGAAGCACCTCAGGAGGAGGCTTCTCTCAGCAATCGGTATGTGGGAGGGACCCCGAGGTTGCTGCCTCAAGGGGAATATACAGCGAGAAGCCCTAACGTGAAAGGAGGCCGGATTTCCTTGCAGTGGTTAGAATACAGGCTCATCTTTGATCTCAAAACCTGAAGGAATGTCTGAATCCCCTGTGGAGACCTTAGAGAAAGCCCTATGTCCCTGCCTCATTTTGACGGAATGCCTCACATCGCGCTGACACCTTGAGAGGCACGTGGAGTTCATTGCTTCAAAAGGTGACGATGCCTGACTCCTCTTGAATACTGATAGGAATCCCAAAATAGCTGTGGCTACTGGAAAGGGTCCTTGGGTGCCCTGCCTCACCTCGAGAAGCGTCCCTTTTGCCCTGCCAAGCCTCGAAAAGATTCCTGAGGTGTCCCTCGTTACTAGACAGGAGTCCTGACCTCACTGAAGAAACTCGTGTTTTGAAGGGCCATCCCCGCCGTAAGTCGAGAACATACCCCAGGTCCCCGCCGCAACTCGAGAAAAACCATGAGACTTCCCCCTAGAGGCGAGATGAGGCCCCATTCCCATGCAGTGCATGCAGAGCTATTCCGTGATCCCATTCAAACAAGTCAGGAGCTTCGACTTGCTTAATGGATCTCGAGACAGTCCCCAAGAACTCTGTCACCAGTCTAGACGGACCTTGAGGTCACCCCAGCAACGCAAAGCACCTCCATGTGCCCCAAGTCAACTCGAGATGAGGCCCGATTCCCCTGCATTGACTCCAGAGCCATTCCCCATTCCCCATTCAACACGACCGGTTGCTCGACTTCCTTCAGGGAACTCCAAAGATGCCCCGAGAACACTGTCCCAGGTCTAGAGGAACACCACCTTCAGCACAGCAACTCGAGGAATGCTCCGTGTACCACAAATCGTCTCGAGATGAGAGCTGATTCCCTGGCTTAGGCTCAAGACGTATGCCAACTTTCCAGAAGCACCTCAGGAGGAGGCTTCTCTCAGCAACAGGTATGTGAGAGGGACCCCGAGTTTGCTGCCTCAAGGGGAATATACCGCGAGAAGCCCTAACTTGAAAGGAGGCCGGATTTCCTTGCAGTGGCTTGAATACAGGCTCGTCTTTCATCTCACAACATGAAGGGATGTCTGAATCCCCTGTGGAGACCTTAGAGAAAGCCCTAGGTCCCTGCCTCATTTTGACGGAATGCCTCACATCCCGCTGACACCTCGAGAGGCACGCGGAGTTCATTGCTTCAAAAGGTGACGATGCCTGACTCCTCTTGAATACTGATAGGAATCGCAAAATAACTCTGGCTACTGGAAAGGTTCCTTGGGTGCCCTGCCTCACCTCGAGAAGCGTCCCTTTTGCCCTGCCAAGCCTCGAAGAGATTCCTGAGGTGTCCCTCGTTACTAGACAGGAGTCCTGACGTCACTGAAGAAACTCGTGTTTTGAAGGGCCATCCCCGCCGTAAGTCGAGAACATACCTCAGGTCCCCGCCGCAACTCGAGAAAAACCATGAGACTTCCCCTTAGAGGCGAGATGAGGCCCCATTCCCCTGCAGTGCATTCAGAGCTATTCCGTGATCCCATTCAAACAAGTCAGGAGCTTCGACTTGCTTAATGCATCTCGAGACAGTCCCCAAGAGCACTGTCACCAGTCTAGACGGAACCAGAGGTCACCCCAGCAACGCAAAACAGCTCCATGTGCCACAAGTCAACTCGAGATGAGGCCCGATTCCCCTGCATTGACTCCAGAGCCATTCATCGTTCCCCATTCAACACGACCGGTCGCTTGACTTCCTTCAGGCAACGGCAGAGATGCCCCGAGAACACTGTCCCAAGTCTAGAGGAACTCCAACTTCAGCACAGCAACTCGAGGAATGCTCCGTGTACCCCAAAACATCTCGAGATGAGAGCTGATTCGTGGCTTAGGCGCAAGACCTATGCCAACTTTCCAGAAGACATCAGGAGGAGGCTTCTCTCAGTAATAGGTATATGGGAGGTACCCCGAGTATGCTGCCTCAAGGGGAATATACAGCGAGAATCCCTAACTTGAGAGGAGGCCGGATTTCCTTGCAGGGGCTTGAATACAGGCTCGCCTTTCATCTCACAACATGAAGAAATGTCTGAATCACCTGTGGAGAACTTAGAGAAAGCCCTAGGTCCCTGACTCATTTTGACGGAATGCCTCACATCCCGGTGACATCTCGAGAGGCACGCGGAGTTCATTGCTTCAAAAGGTGACGATGCCTGAGTCCTCTTGAAAACTGATAGGAATCCCAAAATCCCTGTGGCTACTGGAAAGGGTCCTTGGGTGCCCTGCCTCACGTCGAGAAGCGTACCTTTTGCCCTGCCAAACCTCGAAGAGATTCCTGATGTGTCCCTCGTTACTAGACAGGAGTCCTGACGTCACTGAAGAAACTCGTGTTTTGAAGGGCCATCCCCGCCGTAAGTCGAGAAGATACCCCAGGTCCCCACCGCAACTCGAGAAAAACCATGAGACTTCCCCCTAGAGGCGAGATGAGGCCCCATTCCCCTGCAGTGCATGCAGAGCTATTCCGTGATCCCATTCAAACAAGTCAGGAGCTACGACTTGCTTAATGGATATCGAGACAGTCCCCAAGAACACTGTCACCAGTCTAGACGGACCCTGAGGTCACCCCAGCAACGCAAAGCACCTCCATGTGACCCAAGTCAACTCGAGATGAGGCCCGATTCCCCTGCATTGACTCCAGAGCCATTCCCCGTTCCCCATTCAACACGACCGGTGGCTCGACTTCCTTCAGGCAACTCCAGAGATGCCCCGAGAACACTGTCCCAGGTCTAGAGGAACTCCACCTTCAGCACAGCAACTCGAGGAATGCTGCGTGTACCCCAAATCGTCTCGAGATGAGAGCTGATTCCATGGCTTAGGCTCAAGACGTATGCCAACTTTCCAGAAGCACCTCAGGAGGAGGCTTCTCTCAGCAATAGGTATGTGGGAGGGACCCCGAGTTTGCTGCCTCAAGGGGAATATACAGCGAGAAGCCCTAACTTGAAAGGAGGCCGGATTTCCTTGCAGTGGCTTGAATACAGGCTCGTCTTTCATCTCACAACATGAAGGGATGTCTGAATCCCCTGTGGAGACCTTAGAGAAAGCCTTAGGTCCCTGCCTCATTTTGTCGGAATGCCTCACATCCCGCTGACACCTCGAGAGGTATGTGAAGTTCATTGCTTCAAAAGGTGACGATGCCTGACTCCTCTTGAATACTGATAGGAATCCCAAAATCCCTGTGGCTACTGGAAAGTTTCCTTGGGTGCCCTGCCTCACCTCGAGAAGCGTCCCTTTTGCCCTGCCAAGCCTCGAAGAGATTCCTTAGGTGTCCCTCATTACTAGAAAGGAGTCCTGACGTCACTGAAGAAACTCGTGTTTTGAAGGTCCATCCCCGCCGTAAGTCGAGAACATACCCCAGGTCCCCGCCGCAACTCGAGAAAAACCATGAGACTTCCCCCTAGAGGCGAGATGAGGCCCCATTCCCCTGCAGTGCATTCAGAGCTATTCCGTGATCCCATTCAAACAAGTCAGGAGCTTCGACTTGCTTAATGGATCTCGAGACAGTCCCCAAGAACACTGTCACCAGTCTAGACGGACCCTGAGGTCACCCCAGCAACGCAAAGCAGCTCCATGTGCCCCAAATCAACTCGAGATGAGGCCCGATTCCCCTGTATTGACTCCAGAGCCTTTCCCCGTTCCCCATTCAACACGACCGGTGGCTCGACTTCCTTCAGGCAACTCCAGAAATGCCCCGAGAACACTGTCCCAAGTCTAGAGGAACACCAACTTCAGCACAGCACCTCGAGGAATGCTCCGTGTACCCCAAATCGTCTCGAGATGAGAGCTGATTCCCTGCCTTAGGCTCAAGACGTATGCCAACTTTCCAGAAGCACCTCAGCAGGAGGCTTCTCTCAGCCATAGGATTGTGGGAGGGACCCCCAGTTTGCTGCCTCAAGGGGAATATACAGCGAGAAGCCCTAACTTGAAAGGAGGCCGGATTTCCTTGTAGTGGCTAGAATACAGGCTCGTTTTTGATATCAAAGCCTGAAGGGATGTCTGAATCACCTGTGGATTCCTTAGAGAAAGCCCTAGTTCCCTGCCTCATTTTGACGTAATGCCTCACATCTCGCTGACACCTCGAGAGGCACGCGGAGTTCATTGCTTCAAAAGGTGACGATGCCTGACTCCTCTTGAATACTGATAGGAATCCCAAAATCCCTGTGGCTACTGGAAAGGGTCCTTGGGTGCCCTGCCTCACCTCGAGAAGCGTCCCTTTTGCCCTGCCAAGCCTCGAAGATATTCCTGAGGTGTCCCTCATTACTAGACAGGAGTCCTGACGTCACTGAAGAAACTCGTGTTTTGAAGGGCCATCCCCGCCGTAAGTCGAGAACATACCCCAGGTCCCCGCCGCAACTCGAGAAAAACCATGAGACTTCCCCCTAGAGGCGAGATGAGGCCCCATTCCCGTGCAGTGCATGCAGAGCTATTCCGTGATCCCATTCAAACAAGTCAGGAGCTTCCACTTGCTTAATGGATCTCGAGACAGTGCCCAAGAAAACTGTCACCTGTCTAGACGGACCCTGAGGTCACCCCAGCAACGCAAAGCAGCACCATGTGCCCCAAATCAACTCGAGATGAGGCCCGATTCCCCTGCATTGACTCCAGGGCCATTCCCCGTTCCCCATTCAACACGACCGGTGGCTCGACTTCCTTCAGGCAACTCCAGAGATGCCCCGAGAACACTGTCCCAAGTCTAGAGGAAATCCAACTTCAGCACAGCATCTCGAGGAATGCTCCGTGTACCCCAAATCATCTCGAGATGAGAGCTGATTCCCTGGCTTAGGCTCAAGACGTATGCCAACTTTCCAGAAGCACCTCAGCAGGAGGCTTCTCTCAGCCATAGGATTGTGGGAGGGACCCCCAGTTTGCTGCCTCAAGGGGAATATACAGCGAGAAGCCCTAACTTTAAAGGAGGCCGGATTTCCTTGTAGTGGCTAGAATACAGGCTCGTTTTTGATATCAAAGCCTGAAGGGATGTCTGAATCACCTGTGGATTCCTTAGAGAAAGCCCTAGTTCCCTGCCTCATTTTGACGTAATGCCTCACATCTCGCTGACACCTCGAGAGGCACGCGGAGTTCATTGCTTCAAAAGGTGACGATGCCTGACTCCTCTTGAATACTGATAGGAATCCCAAAATCCCTGTGGCTACTGGAAAGGGTCCTTGGGTGCCCTGCCTCACCTCGAGAAGCGTCCCTTTTGCCCTGCCAAGCCTCGAAGATATTCCTGAGGTGTCCCTCATTACTAGACAGGAGTCCTGACGTCACTGAAGAAACTCGTGTTTTGAAGGTCCATCCCCGCCGTAAGTCGAGAACATACCCCAGGTCCCCGCCGCAACTCGAGAAAAACCATGAGACTTCCCCCTAGAGGCGAGATGAGGCCCCATTCCCCTGCAGTGCATGCAGAGCTATTCCGTGATCCCATTCAAACAAGTCAGGAGCTTCGACTTGCTTAATGGATCTCGAGACAGACCCCAAGAACACTGTCACCAGTCTAGACGGACCCTGAGGTCACCCCAGCAACGCAAAGCAGCTCCATGTGCCCCAAATCAACTCGAGATGAGGCCCGATTCCCCTGTATTGACTCCAGAGCGTTTCCCCGTTCCCCATTCAACACGACCGGTGGCTCGACTTCCTTCAGGCAACTCCAGAAATGCCCCGAGAACACTGTCCCAAGTCTAGAGGAACACCAACTTCAGCACAGCACCTCGAGGAATGCTCCGTGTACCCCAAATCGTCTCGAGATGAGAGCTGATTCCCTGCCTTAGGCTCAAGACGTATGCCAACTTTCCAGAAGCACCTCAGCAGGAGGCTTCTCTCAGCCATAGGATTGTGGGAGGGACCCCAGTTTGCTGCCTCAAGGGGAATATACAGCGAGAAGCCCTAACTTGAAAGGAGGCCGGATTTCCTTGCAGTGGCTAGAATACAGGCTCGTCTTTGATATCAAAGCCTGAAGGGATGTCTGAATCACCTGTGGATTCATTAGAGAAAGCCCTAGTTCCCTGCCTCATTTTGACGTAATGCCTCACATCTCGCTGACACCTCGAGAGGCACGCGGAGTTCATTGCTTCAAAAGGTGACGATGCCTGACTCCTCTTGAATACTGATAGGAATCCCAAAATCCCTGTGGCTACTGGAAAGGGTCCTTGGGTGCCCTGCCTCACCTCGAGAAGCGTCCCTTTTGCCCTGCCAAGCCTCGAAGAGATTCATGAGGTGTCCCTCATTACTAGACAGGAGTCCTGACGTCACTGAAGAAACTCGTGTTTTGAAGGGCCATCCCCGCCGTAAGTCGAGAACATACCCCAGGTCCCCGCCGCAACTCGAGAAAAACCATGAGACTTCCCCCTAGAGGCGAGATGAGGCCCCTTTCCCCTGCAGTGCATGCAGAGCTATTCCATGATCCCATTCAAACAAGTCAGGAGCTTCGACTTGCATAATGGATCTCGAGACAGTCCCCAAGAACACTGTCACCAGTCTAGACGGACCCTGAGGTCACCCCAGCAACGCAAAGCAGCTCCATGTGCCCCAAATCAACTCGAGATGAGTCCCGATTCCCCTGAATTGACTCCAGAGCCATTCCCCGTTCCCCATTCAACAGGACCGTTGGATCGACTTCCTTCAGGCAACTCCAGAGGTGCCCCGAGAACACTGTCCCAAGTCTAGAGGAACTCCAACTTCAGCACAGCAACTCGAGGAATGCTCCGTGTACAACAAATCATCTTGAGATGAGAGCTGTTTCCCTGCCTTAGGCTCAAGACGTATGCCAACTCTCCAGAAGCAACTCAGGAGGAGGCTTCTCTCAGCAATAGGTATGTGGGAGGGACCCCGAGGTTGCTGCCTCAAGGGGAATATACAACGAGAAGCCCTAACTTGAAAGGAGGCCGGATTTCTTTGCAGTGGCTAGAATACAGGCTCGTCTTTCATCTCACAACATGAAGGGATGTCTGAATCCCCTGTGGAGACCTTAGAGAAAGCCTTAGGTCCCTGCCTCATTTTGACGGAATGCCTCACATCCCGCTGACACCTCGAGAGGTATGTGGAGTTCATTGCTTCAAAAGGTGACGATGCCTGACTCCTCTTGTATACTGATAGGAATCCCAAAATCCCTGTGGCTACTGGAAAGGGTCCTTGGGTGCTCTGCTTCACCTCGAGAAGCGTCCCTTTTGCCCTGCCAAGCCTCGAAGAGATTCCTGAGGTGTCCCTCGTTACGAGACAGGAGTCCTGACGTCACTGAAAAAACTCGTGTTTTGAAGGGCCATCCCCGCCGTAAGTCGAGAACATACCCCAGGTCCCCACCGCAACTCGAGAAAAACCATGAGACTTCCCCCTAGGGGCGAGATGAGGCCCCATTCCCCTGCAGTGGATGCAGAGTTATTCCGTGATCCCATTCAAACAAGTCAGGAGCTTCGACTTGCTTAATGGATCTCGAGACAGTCCCCAAGAGCACTGTCACCAGTCTAGACGAAACCTGAGGTCACCGCAGCAACGCAAAGCGGCTCCATGTGCCCCAAATCAACTCGAGATGAGGCTCGTTTCCCCTGGATTGACTCCAGAGCCATTCCCCGTTCCCCATTCAACACGACCGGTGGCTCGACTTCCTTCAGGCAACTCCAGAGATGCCCCGAGAACACTATCCGAAGTCTACAGGAACACCAACTTCAGCACAGCAACTCGAGGAATGCTCCGTATACCCCAAAACGTCTCGAGATGAGAGCTGATTCCCTGGCTTAGGCTCAAGACGTATGCCAACTTTCCAGAAGCACCTCAGGAGGAGGCTTCTCTCAGCAATATGTATGTGGGTGGGACCCCGAGTATGCTGCCTCAAGGGGAATATACAGCGAGAAGCCCTAACTTGAAAGGAGGCCGGATTTCCTTGCAGTGGCTAGAATACAGGCTCGTCTTTGATCTCAAAACCTGAAGGGATGTCTGAATCCCCTGTGGAGACCTTAGAGAAAGCCCTAGGTCCCTGCCTCATTTTGACGGAATGCCTCACATCGCGCTGACACCTCGAGAGGCACACGGAGTTCATTGCTTCAAAAGGTGACGATGCCTGACTCCTCTTGAATACTGATAGGAATCCCAAAATCCCTGTGGCTACTGGAAAGGGTCCTTGGGTGCCCTGCCTCACCTATACAAGTGTCCCTTTTGCCCTGCCAAGCCTCGAAGATATTCCTGAGGTGTCCCTCATTACTAGACAGGAGTCCTGACGTCACTGAAGAAACTCGTGTTTTGAAGGGCCATCCCCGCCGTAAGTCGAGAACATACCCCAGGTCCCCGCCGCAACTCGAGAAAAACCATGAGACTTCCCCCTAGAGGCGAGATGAGGCCCCATTCACCTGCAGTGCATGCAGAGCTATTCCGTGATACCATTCAAACAAGTCAGGAGCTTCGACTTGCTTAATGGATCTCGAGACAGTCCCCAAGAACACTGTCACCAGTCTAGACGGACCCTGAGGTCACCGCAACAACGCAAAGCAGCTCCATGTGCCCTAAGTCAACTCCAGATGAGGCCTGATTCCCCTGCATTGACTCCAGAGCCATTCCCCGTTCCCATTTCAACCCGACCGGTGGCTCAACTTCCTTCAGGCAACTCCAGAGATGCCCCGAGAACACTGTCCCAAGTCTAGAGGAACTTCAACTTCAGCACAGCAACTCGAGGAATGCTCCGTGTACCCCAAATCGTCTCGAGATGAGAGCTGATTCCCTGGCTTAGACTGAAGACGTATGCCAACTTTCCAGAAGCTCCTCAGGAGGCTTCTCTCAGCCATAGGTATGTGGGAGGGACCCCGAGTTTGCTGGCTCAAGGGGAATATACAGCGAGAAGCCCTAACTAGAAAGGAGGCCGGATTTCCTTGCAGTGGATTGAATACAGGCTCGTCTTTCATCTCACAACATGAAGGGATGTCTGAATCCCCTGTGGAGACCTTAGAGAAAGCCCTAGGTCCCTGCCTCATTTTGACGGAATGCCTCACATCCTGCTGACACCTCGAGAGGCACGCGAAGTTCATTGCTTCAAAAGGTGACGATGCCTGACTCCTCTTGAATACTGATAGGAATCCCAAAATCCCTGTGGCTAATGGAAAGGGTCCTTGGGTGCCCTGCCTCACCTGTAGAAGCGTCCCTTTTGCCCTGCCAAGCCTCGAAGAGATTCCTGAGGTGTCCCTCGTTACGAGACAGGAGTCCTGACGTCACTGAAGAAACTCGTGTTTTGAAGGGCCATCCCCGCCGTAAGTCGAGAACATACCCCAGGTCCCCACCCCAACTCGAGAAAAACCATGAGACTTCCCCCTAGAGGCGAGATGAGGCCCCATTCCCCTGCAGTGCATGCAGAGCTATTCCGTGATCCCACTCAAACAAGTCAGGAGCTTCGACTTGCTTAATGGATCTCGAGACAGTCCCCAAGAACACTGTCACCAGTCTAGACGGACCCTGAGGTCACCCCAGCCACGCAAAGCAGCTCCATGTCCCCCAAATCAACTCGAGATGCGGCCCGATTCCCCTGCATTGACTCCAGAGCCATTCCCCGTTCCCCATTCAACACGACCGGTGGCTCGACTTCCTTCAGGCAACTCCAGAGATGCCCCGAGAACACTGTCCCAAGTCTAGAGGAACTCCAACTTCAGCACAGCAACTCGAGGAATGCTCCGTGTACCCCAAATCGTCTCGAGATGAGAGCTGATTACCTGGCTTAGGCTCAAGACGTATGCCAACTTTCCAGAAGCACCTCAGGAGGAGGCTTCTCTCAGCAATAGGTATGTGGGAGGGACCCCGAGTTTGCTGCCTCAAGGGGAATATACAGCGAGAAGCCCTAACTTGAAAGGAGGCCGGATTTCCTTGCAGTGGCTTGAATACAGGCTCGTCTTTCATCTCACAATATGAAGGGATGTCTGAATCCCCTGTGGAGACCTTAGACAAAGCCCTAGGTCCCTGCCTCATTTTGACGGAATGCCTCACATCCCGCTGACACCTCGAGAGGCACGCAGAGTTCATTGCTTCAAAAGGTGACGATGCCTGACTCCTCTTGAATACTGATAGGAATCCCAAAATAACTCTGGCTACTGGAAACGGTCCTTGGGTGCCCTGCCTCACCTCGAGAAGCGTCCCTTTTGCCCTGCCAAGCCTCGAAGAGATTCCTGAGGTGTCCCCCGTTACTAGACAGGAGTCCTGACGTCACTGAAGAAACTCGTGTTTTGAAGGGCCATCCCCGCCGTAAGTCGAGAACATAACCCAGGTCCCCGCCGCAACTCGAGAAAAACCATGAGACTTCCCCCTAGAGGCGAGATGAGGCCCCATTCCCCTGCAGTGCATGCAGAGCTATTCCGTGATCCCATTCAAACAAGTCAGGAGCTTCGACTTGCTTAATGGATCTCGAGACAGTCCCCAAGAACACTGTCACCAGTCTAGACGGACCCTGAGGTCACCGCAGCAACGCAAAGCAGCTCCATTTGCCCCAAGTCAACTCGAGATTAGGCCCCATTCCCCTGCATTGACTCCAGAGCCATTCCCCGTTCCCCATTCAACAAGACCGGTGGCTCAACTTCCTTCAGGCAACTCCAGAGATGCCCCGAGAACACTGTCCCAAGTCTAGAGGAATTCCAACTTCAGCACAGCAACTCGAGGAATGCTCCGTGTACCCCAAATCGTCTCGAGATGAGAGCTGATTCCCTGGCTTAGACTGAAGACGTATGCCAACTTTCCAGAAGCTCCGCAGGAGGCTTCTCTCAGCCATAGTTATGTGGGAGGGACCCCGAGTTTGCTGCCTCAAGGGGAATATACAGCGAGAAGCCCTAACTCGAAAGGAGGCCGGATTTCTTTGCAGTGGCTTGAATACAGGCTCGTCTTTCATCTCACAACATGAAGGGATGTCTGAATCCCCTCTGGAGACCTTAGAGAAAGCCCTAGGTCCCTGCCTCATTTTGACGAAATGCCTCACATCCCGCTGACACGTCGAGAGGCACACGGAGTTCATTGCTTCAAAAGGTGACGACGCCTGACTCCTCTTGAATACTGATAGGAATCCCAAAATCCCTGTGGCTACTGGAAAGGGTCCTTGGGTGCCCTGCCTCACCTATACAAGTGTCCCTTTTGCCCTGCCAAGCCTCGAAGTTATTCCTGAGGTGTCCCTCGTTACTAGACAGGAGTCCTGACGTCACTGAAGAAACTCGTGTTTTGAAGGGCCATCCCCGCCGTAAGTCGAGAACATACCCCAGGTCCCTGCCGCAACTCGAGAAAAACCATGAGACTTCCCCCTAGAGGCGAGATGAGGCCCCATTCCCCTGCAGTGCATGCTGAGCTATTCCGTGATCCCATTCAAACAAGTCAGGATCTTCGACTTGCTTAATGGATCTCGAGACAGTCCCCAAGAACACTGTCACCAGTCTAGACGGACCCTGAGGTCACCCCAGCAACGCAAAGCAGCTCCATGTCCCCCAAATCAACTCAAGATGAGGCCCGATTCCCCTGCATTGACTCCAGAGCCATTCCCCGTTCCCCATGCAACACGACCGGTGGCTCGACTTCCTTCAGGCAACTCCAGAGATGCCCCGAGAACACTGTCCCAAATCTAGAGGAACACCAACATCAGCACAGCAACTCGAGGAATGCTCCGTGTACCCCAAATCGTCTCGAGATGAGAGCTGATTCCCTGGCTTAGGCTCAAGACGTATGCCAACTTTCCAGAAGCACCTCAGAGGAGGCTTCTCTCAGCAATAGCTATGTGTGAGGGACCGCGAGTTTGCTGCCTCAAGGGGAATATACAGCGAGAAGCCCAAACTTGAAAGGAGGCCGGATTTCCTTGCAGTGGCTTGAATACAGGCTCGTCTTTCATCTCACAACATGAAGGGATGTCTGAATCCCCTGTGGAGACATTAGAGAAATCCCTAGGTCCCTGCCTCATTTTGACGGAATGCCTCACATCCCGCTGACACCTCGAGAGGCACGCGGAGTTCATTGCTTCAAAAGGTGACGATGCCTGACTCCTCTTGAATACTGATAGGAATCCCAAAATCCCTGTGGCTACTGGAAAGGGTCCTTGGATGCCCTGCCTCACCTCGAGAAGCGTCCCTTTTCCCCTGCCAAGCCTCGAAGAGATTCCTGAGGTGTCCCTCGTTACTAGACAGGAGTCCTGAAGTCACTGAAGAAACTCGTGTTTTGAAGGGCCATCCCCGCCGTAAGTCGAGAACATACCCCAGGTCCCCGCCGCAACTCGAGAAAAACCATGAGACTTCCCCCTAGAGGCGAGATGAGGCCCCATTCCCCTGCAGTGCATGCAGAGCTATTCCGTGATCCCATTCAAACAAGTCAGGAGCTTCGACTTGCTTAATGGATCTCGAGACAGTCCCCAAGAACACTGTCACCAGTCTAGACGGACCCTGAGGTCACCGCAGCAACGCAAAGCAGCTCCATGTGCCCCAAGTCAACTCCAGATGAGGCCCGATTCCCCTGCATTGACTCCAGAGCCATTCCCCTTTCCCCATTCAACACGACCGGTGGCTCAACTTCCTTCAGGCAACTCCAGAGATGCCCCGAGAACACTGTCCCAAGTCTAGAGGAAATTCAACTTCAGCACAGCAACTCGAGGAATGCTCCGTGTACCCCAAATCGTCTCGAGATGTGAGCTGATTCACTGGCTTAGACTGAAGACGTATGCGAACTTTCCAGAAGCTCCTCAGGAGGCTTCTCTCAGCCATAGGTATGTGGGAGGGACCCCGAGTTTGCTGGCTCAAGGGGAATATACAGCGAGAAGCCCTAACTAGAAAGGAGGCCGGATTTCCTTGCAGTGGATTGAATACAGGCTCGTCTTTCATCTCACAACATGAAGGGATGTCTGAATCCCCTGTGGAGACCTTAGAGAAAGCCCTAGGTCCCTGCCTCATTTTGACGGAATGCCTCACATCCCGCTAACACCTCGAGAGGCACGCGGAGTTCATTGCTTCAAAAGGTGACGATGCCTGACTCCTCTTGAATACTGATAGGAATCCCAAAATCCCTGTGGCTACTGGAAAGGGTCCTTGGGTGCCCTGCCTCACCTCGAGAAGCGTCCTTTTTGCCCTGCCAAGCCTCGAAGAGATTCCTGAGGTGTCCCTCGTTACGAGACAGGAGTCCTGACGTCACTGAAGAAACTCGTGTTTTGAAGGGCCATCCCCGCCGTAAGTCGAGAACATACCCCAGGTCCCCACCGCAACTCGAAAAAAACCATTAGACTTCCCCCTAGAGGCGAGATGAGGCCCCATTCCCCTGCAGTGCATGCAGAGCTATTCCGTGATCCCATTCAAACAAGTCAGGAGCTTCGACTTGCTTAATGGATCTCGAGACAGTCCCCAAGAACACTGTCACCAATCTAGACGGACCCTGAGGTCACCCCAGCCACGCAAAGCAGCTCCATGTCCCCCAAATCAACTCGAGATGCGGCCCGATTCCCCTGCATTGACTCCAGAGCCATTCCCCGTTCCCCATTCAACACGACCGGTGGCTCGACTTCCTTCAGGCAACTCCAGAGATGCCCCGAGAACACTGTCCAAGACTAGAGGAACTCCAACTTCAGCACAGCAACTCGAGGAATGCTCCGTGTACACCAAATCGTCTCGAGATGAGAGCTGATTCCCTGGCTTAGGCTCAAGACGTATGCCAACTTTCCAGAAGCACCTCAGGAGGAGGCTTCTCTCAGCAATAGGTATGTGGGAGGGACCCCGAGTTTGCTGCCTCAAGGGGAATATACAGCGAGAAGCCCTAACTTGAAAGGAGGCCGGATTTCCTTGCAGTGGCTAGAATACAGGCTCGTCTTTGATCTCAAAACCTGAAGGGATGTCTGAATCCCCTGTGGAGACCTTAGAGAAAGCCCTAGGTCCTGCCTCATTTTGACGGAATGCCTCACATCCCGCTGACATCTCCAGAGGCACAAGGAGTTCATTGCTTCAAAAGGTGACGATGCCTGACTCCTCTTGAATACTGATAGGAATCCCAAAATCCCTGTGGCTACTGGAAAGGGTCCTTGGGTGCCCTGCCTCACCTCGAGAAGCGTCCCTTTTGCCCTGCCAAGCCTCGAAGAGATTCCTGAGGTGTCCCTCGTTACTAGACAGGAGTCCTGACGTCACTGAAGAAACTCGTGTTTTGAAGGGCCATCCGCGCCTTAAGTCGAGAACATACCCCAGGTCCCCGCCGCAACTCGAGAAAAACCATGAGACTTCCCCCTAGAGGCGAGATGAGGCCCCATTCCCCTGCAGTGCATGCAGAGCTATTCCGTGATCCCATTCAAACAAGTCAGGAGCTTCGACTTGCTTAATGGATCTCGAGACAGTCCCCAAGAACACTGTCACCAGTCTATACGGACCCTGAGGTCACCCCAGCAACGCAAAGCAGCTCCATGTGCCCCAAATCAACTCGAGATGAGGCCCGATTCCCCTGCATTGACTCCAGAGCCTTTCCCCATTCCCCATTCAACACGACCGGTGGCTTGACTTCCTTCAGGCAACTCCAGAGATGCCCCGAGAACACTGTCCCAAGTCTAGAGGAACACGAACATCAGCACAGCAACTCGAGGAATGCTCCGTGTACCCCAAATCGTCTCGAGATGAGAGCTGATTCCCTGGCTTAGGCTCAAGACGTATGCCAACTTTCCAGAAGCACCTCGGAGGAGGCTTCTCTCAGCAATAGGTTTGTGGGAGGGACCCCGAGTATGCTGCCTCAAGGGGAATATACAGCGAGAAGCCCTAACTTGAAAGGAGGCCGGATTTCCTTGCAGTGGCTAGAATACAGGCTCGTCTTTGATCTCAAAACCTGAAGGGATGTCTGAATCCCCTGTGGAGACCTTAGAGAAAGCCCTAGGTCCCTGCCTCATTTTGACGGAATTCCTCACATCGCGCTGACACCTCGAGAGGCACGTGGAGTTCATTGCTTCAAAAGGTGACGATTCCTGACTCCTCTTGAATAATGATAGGAATCCCAAAATCCCTGTGGCTACTGGAAAGGGTCCTTGGGTGCCCTGCCTCACCTCGAGAAGCGTCCCTTTTGCCCTGCCAAGCCTCGAAGATATTCCTGAGGTGTCCCTCGTTACTAGACAGGAGTCCTGACGTCACTGAAGAAACTCGTGTTTTGAAGGGCCATCCCCGCCGTAAGTCGAGAACATACCCCAGGTCCCCAACGCAACTCGAGAAAAACAATGAGACTTCCCCCTAGAGGCGAGATGAGGCCCCATTCCCCTGCAGTGCATGCAGAGCTATTCCGTGATCCCATTCAAACAAGTCAGGAGCTTCGACTTGCTTAATGGATCTCGAGACAGTCCCCAAGAACACTGTCACCAGTCTAGACGGACCCTGAGGTCACCCCAGCAAGGCAAAGCAGCTCCATGTCCCCCAAATCAACTCGAGATGAGGCCGGATTCCCCTGCATTGACTCCAGAGCCATTCCCCGTTCCCCATTCAACACGACCGGTGGCTCCACTTCCTTCAGGCAACTCCAGAGATGCCCCGAGAACACTGTCCCAAGACTAGAGGAACTCCAAGTTCAGCACAGCAACTCGAGGAATGCTCCGTGTACCCCAAATCGTCTCGAGATGAGAGCTGATTCCCTGGCTTAGGCTCAAGACGTATGCCAACTTTCCAGAAGCACCTCAGGAGGAGGCTTCTCTCAGCAATAGGTATGTGGGAGGGACCCCGAGTTTGCTGCCTCAAGGGGAATATACAGCGAGAAGCCCTAACATGAAAGGAGGCCGGATTTCCTTGCAGTGGCTTGAATACAGGCTCGTCTTTCATGTCACAACATGAAGGGATGTCTGAATCCCCTGTGGAGACCTTAGAGAAAGCCCTAGGTCCCTGCCTCATTTTGACGGAATGCCTCACATCCCGCTGACACCTCGAGAGGCACGCGGAGTTCATTGCTTCAAAAGGTGACGATGCCTGACTCCTCTTGAATACTGATAGGAATCCCAAAATAACTCTGGCTACTGGAAAGGGTCCTTAGGTGCCCTGCCACACCTCGAGAAGCGTCCCTTTTGCCCTTCCAAGCCTCGAAGAGATTCCTGAGGTGTCCCTCGTTACTAGACAGGAGTCCTGACGTCACTGAAGAAACTCGTGTTTTGAAGGGCCATCCCCGCCGTAAGTCGAGAACATACCCCAGGTCCCCACCACAACTCGAGAAAAACCATGAGACTTCCCCCTAGAGGCGAGATGAGGCCCCATTCCCCTGCAGTGCATGCAGAGCTATTCCGTGATCCCATTCAAACAAGTCAGGAGCTTCGACTTGCTTAATGGATATCGAGACAGTCCCCAAGAACACTGTCACCAGTCTAGACGGACCCTGAGGTCACCCCAGCAACGCAAAGCACCTCCATGTGCCCCAAGTCAACTCGAGATGAGGCCCGATTCCCCTGCATTGACTCCAGGGCCATTCCCCGTTCCCCATTCAACACGACCGGTGGCTCGACTTCCTTCAGGCAACTCCAGAGATGCCCCGAGAACACTGTCCCAGGTCTAGAGGAACTCCACCTTCAGCAGAGCAACTCGAGGAATGCTCCGTGTACCACAAATCGTCTCGAGATGAGAGCTGATTCCATGGCTTAGGCTCAAGACGTATGGCCACTTTCCAGAATCACATCAGGAGGAGGCTTCTCTCAGCAACATGTATGTGGGAGGGACCCCGAGTTTGCTGCCTCAAGGGGAATATACAGCAAGAAGCCCTAACTTGAAAGGAGGCCGTATTTCCTTGCAGTGGCTTGAATACAGGCTCGTCTTTCATCTCACAACATGAAGGGATGTCTGAATCCCCTGTGGAGACCTTAGAGAAAGCCCTAGGTCCCTGCCTCATTTTGAAGGAATGCCTCACATCCCGCAGACACCTCGAGAGGCACGCGGAGTTCATTGCTTCAAAAGGTGACGATGCCTGACTCCTCTTGAATAGTGATAGGAATCCCAAAATCCCTGTGGCTACTGGAAAGGGACCTTCGCTGCCCTGCCTCACATCGAGAAGCGTCCCTTTTGCCCTGCCAAGCCTCGAAGAGATTCCTGAGGTGTCCCTCGTTACTAGACAGGAGTCCTGACGTCACTGAAGAAACTCGTCTTTTGAAGGGCCATCCATGCCGTAAGTCGAGAACATACCCCAGGTCCCCGCCGCAACTCGAGAAAAACCATGAGACTTCCCCCTAGAGGCGAGATGAGGCCCCATTCCCCTGCAGTGCATGCAGAGCTATTCCGTGATCCCATTCAAACAAGTCAGGAGCTTCGACTTGCTTAATGGATCTCGAGACAGTCCCCAAGAACACTGTCACCAGTCTAGACGGACCCTGAGGTCACCCTAGCAACGCAAAGCAGCACCATGTGCCCCAAATCAACTCGAGATGAGGCCCGATTCCCCTGCATTGACTCCAGGGCCATTCCCCTTTCCCCATTCAACACGACCGGTGGCTCGACTTCATTCAGGCAACTCCAGAGATGCCCCGAGAACACTGTCCCAAGTCTAGAGGAACTCCAACTACAGCACAGCAACTCGAGGAATGCTCCGTGTACCCCAAATCATCTCGAGATGAGAGCTGATTCCCTGGCTTAGGCTCAAGACGTATGCCAACTTTCCAGAAGCACCTCAGGAGGAGGCTTCTCTCAGCAATAGGTATGTGGGAGGGACCCCGTGGTTGCTGCCTCAAGGGGAATATACAGCGAGAAGCCCTAACTTGAAAGGAGGCCGGATTTCCTTGCAGTGGTTTGAATACAGGCTCGTCTTTCATCTCACAACATGAAGGGATGTCTGAATCCCCTGTGGAGACCTTAGAGAAAGCCCTAGGTACCTGCCTCATTTTGACGGAATTCCTCACATCCCGCAGACACCTCGAGAGGCACGCGGAGTTCATTGCTTCAAAAGGTGACGATGCCTGATTCCTCTTGAATACTGATAGGAATCGCAAAATAACTCTGGCTACTGGAAAGGTTCCTTGGGTGCCCTGCCTCACCTCGAGAAGCGTCCCTTTTGCCCTGCCAAGCCTCGAAGAGATTCCTGAGGTGTCCCTCGTTACTAGACAGGAGTCCTGACGTCACTGAAGAAACTCGTGTTTTGAAGGGCCATCCCCGCCGTAAGTCGAGAACATACCTCAGGTCCCCGCCGCAACTCGAGAAAAACCATGAGACTTCCCCTTAGAGGCGAGATGAGGCCCCATTCCCCTGCAGTGCATTCAGAGCTATTCCGTGATCCCATTCAAACAAGTCAGGAGCTTCGACTTGCTTAATGCATCTCGAGACAGTCCCCAAGAGCACTGTCACCAGTCTAGACGGAACCTGAGGTCACCCCAGCAACGCAAAACAGCTCCATGTGCCCCAAATCAACTCGAGATGAGGCCCGATTCCCCTGGATTGACTCCAGAGCCATTCATCGTTCCCCATTCAACACGACCGGTCGCTTGACTTCCTTCAGGCAACGGCAGAGATGCCCCGAGAACACTGTCCCAAGTCTAGAGGAACTCCAACTTCAGCACAGCAACACGAGGAATGCTCCGTGTACCCCAAAACATCTCGAGATGAGAGCTGATTCGTGGCTTAGGCTCAAGACATATGCCAACTTTCCAGAAGACATCAGGAGGAGGCTTCTCTCAGTAATAGGTATATGGGAGGTACCCCGAGTATGCTGCCTCAAGGGGAATATACAGCGAGAATCCCTAACTTGAGAGGAGGCCGGATTTCCTTGCAGGGGCTTGAATACAGGCTCGCCTTTCATCTCACAACATGAAGAAATGTCTGAATCACCTGTGGAGAACTTAGAGAAAGCCCTAGGTCCCTGACTCATTTTGACGGAATGCCTCACATCCCGGTGACATCTCGAGAGGCACGCGGAGTTCATTGCTTCAAAAGGTGACGATGCCTGAGTCCTCTTGAAAACTGATAGGAATCCCAAAATCCCTGTGGCTACTGGAAAGGGTCCTTGGGTGCCCTGCCTCACCTCAAGAAGCGTCCCTTTTGCCCTGCCAAGCCTCGAAGAGATTCATGAGGTGTCCCTCGTTACTAGACAGGAGTCCTGACGTCACTGAAGAAACTCGTGTTTTGAAGGGCCATCCCCGCCGTAAGTCGAGAACATACCTCAGGTCCCCGCCGCAACTCGAGAAAAAACCTGAGACTTCCCCTTAGAGGCGAGATGAGGCCCCATTCCCCTGCAGTGCATTCAGAGCTATTCCGTGATCCCATTCAAACAAGTCAGGAGCTTCGACTTGCTTAATGCATCTCGAGACAGTCCCCAAGAGCACTGTCACCAGTCTAGACGGAACCTGAGGTCACCCCAGCAACGCAAAACAGCTCCATGTGCCACAAGTCAACTCGAGATGAGGCCCGATTCCCCTGCATTGACTCCAGAGCCATTCATCGTTCCCCATTCAACACGACCGGTCGCTTGACTTCCTTCAGGCAACGGCAGAGATGCCCCGAGAACACTGTCCCAAGTCTAGAGGAACTCCAACTTCAGCACAGCAACTCGAGGAATGCTCCGTGTACCCCAAAACATCTCTAGATGAGAGCTGATTCCCTGGCTTAGGCTCAAGACGTATGCCAACTTTCCAGAAGCACCTCAGGAGGAGGCTTCTCTCAGCAATAGGTATGTGGGAGGGACCCCGAGTTTGCTGCCTCAAGGGGAATATACAGCGAGAAGCCCTAACATGAAAGGAGGCCGGATTTCCTTGCAGTGGCTTGAATACAGGCTCGTCTTTCATGTCACAACATGAAGGGATGTCTGAATCCCCTGTGGAGACCTTAGAGAAAGCCCTAGGTCCCTGCCTCATTTTGACGGAATGCCTCACATCCAGCTGACACCTCGAGAGGCACGCGGAGTTCATTGCTTCAAAAGGTGACGATGCCTGACTCCTCTTGAATACTGATAGGAATCCCAAAATAACTCTGGCTACTGGAAAGGGTCCTTAGGTGCCCTGCCACACCTCGAGAAGCGTCCCTTTTGCCCTTCCAAGCCTCGAAGAGATTCCTGAGGTGTCCCTCGTTACTAGACAGGAGTCCTGACGTCACTGAAGAAACTCGTGTTTTGAAGGGCCATCCCCGCCGTAAGTCGAGAACATACCCCAGGTCCCCACCACAACTCGAGAAAAACCATGAGACTTCCCCCTAGAGGCGAGATGAGGCCCCATTCCCCTGCAGTGCATGCAGAGCTATTCCGTGATCCCATTCAAACAAGTCAGGAGCTTCGACTTGCTTAATGGATATCGAGACAGTCCCCAAGAACACTGTCACCAGTCTAGACGGACCCTGAGGTCACCCCAGCAACGCAAAGCACCTCCATGTGCCCCAAGTCAACTCGAGATGAGGCCCGATTCCCCTGCATTGACTCCAGGGCCATTCCCCGTTCCCCATTCAACACGACCGGTGGCTCGACTTCCTTCAGGCAACTCCAGAGATGCCCCGAGAACACTGTCCCAGGTCTAGAGGAACTCCACCTTCAGCAGAGCAACTCGAGGAATGCTCCGTGTACCACAAATCGTCTCGAGATGAGAGCTGATTCCATGGCTTAGGCTCAAGACGTATGGCCACTTTCCAGAATCACATCAGGAGGAGGCTTCTCTCAGCAACAGGTATGTGGGAGGGACCCCGAGTTTGCTGCCTCAAGGGGAATATACAGCAAGAAGCCCTAACTTGAAAGGAGGCCGAATTTCCTTGCAGTGGCTTGAATACAGGCTCGTCTTTCATCTCACAACATGAAGGGATGTCTGAATCCCCTGTGGAGACCTTAGAGAAAGCCCTAGGTCCCTGCCTCATTTTGAAGGAATGCCTCACATCCCGCAGACACCTCGAGAGGCACGCGGAGTTCATTGCTTCAAAAGGTGACGATGCCTGACTCCTCTTGAATAGTGATAGGAATCCCAAAATCCCTGTGGCTACTGGAAAGGGACCTTCGCTGCCCTGCCTCACATCGAGAAGCGTCCCTTTTGCCCTGCCAAGCCTCGAAGAGATTCCTGAGGTGTCCCTCGTTACTAGACAGGAGTCCTGACGTCACTGAAGAAACTCGTCTTTTGAAGGGCCATCCATGCCGTAAGTCGAGAACATACCCCAGGTCCCCGCCGCAACTCGAGAAAAACCATGAGACTTCCCCCTAGAGGCGAGATGAGGCCCCATTCCCCTGCAGTGCATGCAGAGCTATTCCGTGATCCCATTCAAACAAGTCAGGAGCTTCGACTTGCTTAATGGATCTCGAGACAGTCCCCAAGAACACTGTCACCAGTCTAGACGGACCCTGAGGTCACCCTAGCAACGCAAAGCAGCACCATGTGCCCCAAATCAACTCGAGATGAGGCCCGATTCCCCTGCATTGACTCCAGGGCCATTCCCCTTTCCCCATTCAACACGACCGGTGGCTCGACTTCATTCAGGCAACTCCAGAGATGCCCCGAGAACACTGTCCCAAGTCTAGAGGAACTCCAACTACAGCACAGCAACTCGAGGAATGCTCCGTGTACCCCAAATCATCTCGAGATGAGAGCTGATTCCCTGGCTTAGGCTCAAGACGTATGCCAACTTTCCAGAAGCACCTCAGGAGGAGGCTTCTCTCAGCAATAGGTATGTGGGAGGGACCCCGTGGTTGCTGCCTCAAGGGGAATATACAGCGAGAAGCCCTAACTTGAAAGGAGGCCGGATTTCCTTGCAGTGGTTTGAATACAGGCTCGTCTTTCATCTCACAACATGAAGGGATGTCTGAATCCCCTGTGGAGACCTTAGAGAAAGCCCTAGGTACCTGCCTCATTTTGACGGAATTCCTCACATCCCGCAGACACCTCGAGAGGCACGCGGAGTTCATTGCTTCAAAAGGTGACGATGCCTGATTCCTCTTGAATACTGATAGGAATCGCAAAATAACTCTGGCTACTGGAAAGGTTCCTTGGGTGCCCTGCCTCACCTCGAGAAGCGTCCCTTTTGCCCTGCCAAGCCTCGAAGAGATTCCTGAGGTGTCCCTCGTTACTAGACAGGAGTCCTGACGTCACTGAAGAAACTCGTGTTTTGAAGGGCCATCCCCGCCGTAAGTCGAGAACATACCTCAGGTCCCCGCCGCAACTCGAGAAAAACCATGAGACTTCCCCTTAGAGGCGAGATGAGGCCCCATTCCCCTGCAGTGCATTCAGAGCTATTCCGTGATCCCATTCAAACAAGTCAGGAGCTTCGACTTGCTTAATGCATCTCGAGACAGTCCCCAAGAGCACTGTCACCAGTCTAGACGGAACCTGAGGTCACCCCAGCAACGCAAAACAGCTCCATGTGCCCCAAATCAACTCGAGATGAGGCCCGATTCCCCTGGATTGACTCCAGAGCCATTCATCGTTCCCCATTCAACACGACCGGTCGCTTGACTTCCTTCAGGCAACGGCAGAGATGCCCCGAGAACACTGTCCCAAGTCTAGAGGAACTCCAACTTCAGCACAGCAACACGAGGAATGCTCCGTGTACCCCAAAACATCTCGAGATGAGAGCTGATTCGTGGCTTAGGCTCAAGACATATGCCAACTTTCCAGAAGACATCAGGAGGAGGCTTCTCTCAGTAATAGGTATATGGGAGGTACCCCGAGTATGCTGCCTCAAGGGGAATATACAGCGAGAATCCCTAACTTGAGAGGAGGCCGGATTTCCTTGCAGGGGCTTGAATACAGGCTCGCCTTTCATCTCACAACATGAAGAAATGTCTGAATCACCTGTGGAGAACTTAGAGAAAGCCCTAGGTCCCTGACTCATTTTGACGGAATGCCTCACATCCCGGTGACATCTCGAGAGGCACGCGGAGTTCATTGCTTCAAAAGGTGACGATGCCTGAGTCCTCTTGAAAACTGATAGGAATCCCAAAATCCCTGTGGCTACTGGAAAGGGTCCTTGGGTGCCCTGCCTCACCTCGAGAAGCGTCCCTTTTGCCCTGCCAAGCCTCGAAGAGATTCATGAGGTGTCCCTCGTTACTAGACAGGAGTCCTGACGTCACTGAAGAAACTCGTGTTTTGAAGGGCCATCCCCGCCGTAAGTCGAGAACATACCTCAGGTCCCCGCCGCAACTCGAGAAAAACCATGAGACTTCCCCTTAGAGGCGAGATGAGGCCCCATTCCCCTGCAGTGCATTCAGAGCTATTCCGTGATCCCATTCAAACAAGTCAGGAGCTTCGACTTGCTTAATGCATCTCGAGACAGTCCCCAAGAGCACTGTCACCAGTCTAGACGGAACCTGAGGTCACCCCAGCAACGCAAAACAGCTCCATGTGCCACAAGTCAACTCGAGATGAGGCCCGATTCCCCTGCATTGACTCCAGAGCCATTCATCGTTCCCCATTCAACACGACCGGTCGCTTGACTTCCTTCAGGCAACGGCAGAGATGCCCCGAGAACACTGTCCCAAGTCTAGAGGAACTCCAACTTCAGCACAGCAACTCGAGGAATGCTCCGTGTACCCCAAAACATCTCGAGATGAGAGCTGATTCGTGGCTTAGGCTCAAGACCTATGCCAACTTTCCAGAAGACATCAGGAGGAGGCTTCTCTCAGTAATAGGTATATGGGAGGTACCCCGAGTATGCTGCCTCAAGGGGAATATACAGCGAGAATCCCTAACTTGAGAGGAGGCCGGATTTCCTTGCAGGGGCTTGAATACAGGCTCGCCTTTCATCTCACAACATGAAGAAATGTCTGAATCACCTGTGGAGAACTTAGAGAAAGCCCTAGGTCCCTGACTCATTTTGACGGAATGCCTCACATCCCGGTGACATCTCGAGAGGCACGCGGAGTTCATTGCTTCAAAAGGTGACGATGCCTGAGTCCTCTTGAAAACTGATAGGAATCCCAAAATCCCTGTGGCTACTGGAAAGGGTCCTTGGGTGCCCTGCCTCACCTCGAGAAGCGTCCCTTTTGCCCTGCCAAGCCTCGAAGAGATTCATGAGGTGTCCCTCGTTACTAGACAGGAGTCCTGACGTCACTGAAGAAACTCGTGTTTTGAAGGGCCATCCCCGCCGTAAGTCGAGAACATACCCCAGGTCCCAGCCGCAACTCAAGAAAAAAAATGAGACTCCCCCTAGAGGCCAGATGAGGCCCCATTCCCCTGCAGTGCATGCAGAGCTATTCCATGATCCCATTCAAACAAGTCAGGAGCTTCGACTTGCTTAATGGATCTCGAGACAGTCCCCAAGAACACTGTCACCAGTCTAGACGGACCCTGAGGTCACCCCAGCAACGCAAAGCAGCACCATGTGCCCCAAATCAACTCGAGATGAGGCCCGATTCCCCTGCATTGACTCCAGGGCCATTCCCCGTTCCCCATTCAACACGACTTGTGGCTCGATTTCCTTCAGGGAACTCCAGAGATGCCCCGAGAACACTGTCCCAAGTCTAGAAGAACTCCAACTTCAGCACAGCAACTCGAGGAATGCTCCGTGTACCCCAAATCATCTCGAGATGAGAGCTGATTCTCTGGCTTAGGCTCAAGATGTATGCCAACTTTCCAGAAGCACCTCAGGAGGAGGCTTCTCTCAGCAATCGGTATGTGGGAGGGACCCCGAGGTTGCTGCCTCAAGGGGAATATACAGCGAGAAGCCCTAACGTGAAAGGAGGCCGGATTTCCTTGCAGTGGTTAGAATACAGGCTCATCTTTGATCTCAAAACCTGAAGGAATGTCTGAATCCCCTGTGGAGACCTTAGAGAAAGCCCTATGTCCCTGCCTCATTTTGACGGAATGCCTCACATCGCGCTGACACCTTGAGAGGCACGTGGAGTTCATTGCTTCAAAAGGTGACGATGCCTGACTCCTCTTGAATACTGATAGGAATCCCAAAATAGCTGTGGCTACTGGAAAGGGTCCTTGGGTGCCCTGCCTCACCTCGAGAAGCGTCCCTTTTGCCCTGCCAAGCCTCGAAAAGATTCCTGAGGTGTCCCTCGTTACTAGACAGGAGTCCTGACCTCACTGAAGAAACTCGTGTTTTGAAGGGCCATCCCCGCCGTAAGTCGAGAACATACCCCAGGTCCCCGTCGCAACTCGAGAAAAACCATGAGACTTCCCCCTAGAGGCGAGATGAGGCCCCATTCCCATGCAGTGCATGCAGAGCTATTCCGTGATCCCATTCAAACAAGTCAGGAGCTTCGACTTGCTTAATGGATCTCGAGACAGTCCCCAAGAACTCTGTCACCAGTCTAGACGGACCTTGAGGTCACCCCAGCAACGCAAAGCACCTCCATGTGCCCCAAGTCAACTCGAGATGAGGCCCGATTCCCCTGCATTGACTCCAGAGCCATTCCCCATTCCCCATTCAACACGACCGGTTGCTCGACTTCCTTCAGGGAACTCCAAAGATGCCCCGAGAACACTGTCCCAGGTCTAGAGGAACACCACCTTCAGCACAGCAACTCGAGGAATGCTCCGTGTACCACAAATCGTCTCGAGATGAGAGCTGATTCCCTGGCTTAGGCTCAAGACGTATGCCAACTTTCCAGAGCACCTCAGGAGGAGGCTTCTCTCAGCAACAGGTATGTGAGAGGGACCCCGAGTTTGCTGCCTCAAGGGGAATATACCGCGAGAAGCCCTAACTTGAAAGGAGGCCGGATTTCCTTGCAGTGGCTTGAATACAGGCTCGTCTTTCATCTCACAACATGAAGGGATGTCTGAATCCCCTGTGGAGACCTTAGAGAAAGCCCTAGGTCCCTGCCTCATTTTGACGGAATGCCTCACATCCCGCTGACACCTCGAGAGGCACGCGGAGTTCATTGCTTCAAAAGGTGACGATGCCTGACTCCTCTTGAATACTGATAGGAGTCGCAAAATAACTCTGGCTACTGGAAAGGTTCCTTGGGTGCCCTGCCTCACCTCGAGAAGCGTCCCTTTTGCCCTGCCAAGCCTCGAAGAGATTCCTGAGGTGTCCCTCGTTACTAGACAGGAGTCCTGACGTCACTGAAGAAACTCGTGTTTTGAAGGGCCATCCCCGCCGTAAGTCGAGAACATACCTCAGGTCCCCGCCGCAACTCGAGAAAAACCATGAGACTTCCCCTTAGAGGCGAGATGAGGCCCCATTCCCCTGCAGTGCATTCAGAGCTATTCCGTGATCCCATTCAAACAAGTCAGGAGCTTCGACTTGCTTAATGCATCTCGAGACAGTCCCCAAGAGCACTGTCACCAGTCTAGACGGAACCAGAGGTCACCCCAGCAACGCAAAACAGCTCCATGTGCCACAAGTCAACTCGAGATGAGGCCCGATTCCCCTGCATTGACTCCAGAGCCATTCATCGTTCCCCATTCAACACGACCGGTCGCTTGACTTCCTTCAGGCAACGGCAGAGATGCCCCGAGAACACTGTCCCAAGTCTAGAGGAACTCCAACTTCAGCACAGCAACTCGAGGAATGCTCCGTGTACCCCAAAACATCTCGAGATGAGAGCTGATTCGTGGCTTAGGCTCAAGACCTATGCCAACTTTCCAGAAGACATCAGGAGGAGGCTTCTCTCAGTAATAGGTATATGGGAGGTACCCCGAGTATGCTGCCTCAAGGGGAATATACAGCGAGAATCCCTAACTTGAGAGGAGGCCGGATTTCCTTGCAGGGGCTTGAATACAGGCTCGCCTTTCATCTCACAACATGAAGAAATGTCTGAATCACCTGTGGAGAACTTAGAGAAAGCCCTAGGTCCCTGACTCATTTTGACGGAATGCCTCACATCCCGGTGACATCTCGAGAGGCACGCGGAGTTCATTGCTTCAAAAGGTGACGATGCCTGAGTCCTCTTGAAAACTGATAGGAATCCCAAAATCCCTGTGGCTACTGGAAAGGGTCCTTGGGTGCCCTGCCTCACGTCGAGAAGCGTACCTTTTGCCCTGCCAAACCTCGAAGAGATTCCTGATGTGTCCCTCGTTACTAGACAGGAGTCCTGACGTCACTGAAGAAACTCGTGTTTTGAAGGGCCATCCCCGCCGTAAGTCGAGAACATACCCCAGGTCCCCACCGCAACTCGAGAAAAACCATGAGACTTCCCCCTAGAGGCGAGATGAGGCCCCATTCCCCTGCAGTGCATGCAGAGCTATTCCGTGATCCCATTCAAACAAGTCAGGAGCTACGACTTGCTTAATGGATATCGAGACAGTCCCCAAGAACACTGTCACCAGTCTAGACGGACCCTGAGGTCACCCCAGCAACGCAAAGCACCTCCATGTGCCCCAAGTCAACTCGAGATGAGGCCCGATTCCCCTGCATTGACTCCAGAGCCATTCCCCGTTCCCCATTCAACACGACCGGTGGCTCGACTTCCTTCAGGCAACTCCAGAGATGCCCCGAGAACACTGTCCCAGGTCTAGAGGAACTCCACCTTCAGCACAGCAACTCGAGGAATGCTGCGTGTACCACAAATCGTCTCGAGATGAGAGCTGATTCCATGGCTTAGGCTCAAGACGTATGCCAACTTTCCAGAAGCACCTCAGGAGGAGGCTTCTCTCAGCAATAGGTATGTGGGAGGGACCCCGAGTTTGCTGCCTCAAGGGGAATATACAGCGAGAAGCCCTAACTTGAAAGGAGGCCGGATTTCCTTGCAGTGGCTTGAATACAGGCTCGTCTTTCATCTCACAACATGAAGGGATGTCTGAATCCCCTGTGGAGACCTTAGAGAAAGCCTTAGGTCCCTGCCTCATTTTGTCGGAATGCCTCACATCCCGCTGACACCTCGAGAGGTATGTGAAGTTCACTGCTTCAAAAGGTGACGATGCCTGACTCCTCTTGAATACTGATAGGAATCCCAAAATCCCTGTGGCTACTGGAAAGTTTCCTTGGGTGCCCTGCCTCACCTCGAGAAGCGTCCCTTTTGCCCTGCCAAGCCTCGAAGAGATTCCTTAGGTGTCCCTCATTACTAGAAAGGAGTCCTGACGTCACTGAAGAAACTCGTGTTTTGAAGGTCCATCCCCGCCGTAGGTCGAGAACATACCCCAGGTCCCCGCCGCAACTCGAGAAAAACCATGAGACTTCCCCCTAGAGGCGAGATGAGGCCCCATTCCCCTGCAGTGCATGCAGAGCTATTCCGTGATCCCATTCAAACAAGTCAGGAGCTTCGACTTGCTTAATGGATCTCGAGACAGTCCCCAAGAACACTGTCACCAGTCTAGACGGACCCTGAGGTCACCCCAGCAACGCAAAGCAGCTCCATGTGCCCCAAATCAACTCGAGATGAGGCCCGATTCCCCTGTATTGACTCCAGAGCCTTTCCCCGTTCCCCATTCAACACGACCGGTGGCTCGACTTCCTTCAGGCAACTCCAGAAATGCCCCGAGAACACTGTCCCAAGTCTAGAGGAACACCAACTTCAGCACAGCACCTCGAGGAATGCTCCGTGTACCCCAAATCGTCTCGAGATGAGAGCTGATTCCCTGCCTTAGGCTCAAGACGTATGCCAACTTTCCAGAAGCACCTCAGCAGGAGGCTTCTCTCAGCCATAGGATTGTGGGAGGGACCCCCAGTTTGCTGCCTCAAGGGGAATATACAGCGAGAAGCCCTAACTTGAAAGGAGGCCGGATTTCCTTGTAGTGGCTAGAATACAGGCTCGTTTTTGATATCAAAGCCTGAAGGGATGTCTGAATCACCTGTGGATTCATTAGAGAAAGCCCTAGTTCCCTGCCTCATTTTGACGTAATGCCTCACATCTCGCTGACACCTCGAGAGGCACGCGGAGTTCATTGCTTCAAAAGGTGACGATGCCTGACTCCTCTTGAATACTGATAGGAATCCCAAAATCCCTGTGGCTACTGGAAAGGGTCCTTGGGTGCCCTGCCTCACCTCGAGAAGCGTCCCTTTTGCCCTGCCAAGCCTCGAAGATATTCCTGAGGTGTCCCTCATTACTAGACAGGAGTCCTGACGTCACTGAAGAAACTCGTGTTTTGAAGGGCCATCCCCGCCGTAAGTCGAGAACATACCCCAGGTCCCCGCCGCAACTCGAGAAAAACCATGAGACTTCCCCCTAGAGGCGAGATGAGGCCCCATTCCCGTGCAGTGCATGCAGAGCTATTCCGTGATCCCATTCAAACAAGTCAGGAGCTTCCACTTGCTTAATGGATCTCGAGACAGTGCCCAAGAAAACTGTCACCTGTCTAGACGGACCCTGAGGTCACCCCAGCAACGCAAAGCAGCACCATGTGCCCCAAATCAACTCGAGATGAGGCCCGATTCCCCTGCATTGACTCCAGGGCCATTTCCCGTTCCCCATTCAACACGACCGGTGGCTCGACTTCCTTCAGGCAACTCCAGAGATGCCCCGAGAACACTGTCCCAAGTCTAGAGGAATTCCAACTTCAGCACAGCATCTCGAGGAATGCTCCGTGTACCCCAAATCATCTCGAGATGAGAGCTGATTCCCTGGCTTAGGCTCAAGACGTATGCCAACTTTCCAGAAGCACCTCAGCAGGAGGCTTCTCTCAGCCATAGGATTGTGGGAGGGACCCCCAGTTTGCTGCCTCAAGGGGAATATACAGCGAGAAGCCCTAACTTGAAAGGAGGCCGGATTTCCTTGTAGTGGCTAGAATACAGGCTCGTTTTTGATATCAAAGCCTGAAGGGATGTCTGAATCACCTGTGGATTCCTTAGAGAAAGCCCTAGTTCCCTGCCTCATTTTGACGTAATGCCTCACATCTCGCTGACACCTCGAGAGGCACGCGGAGTTCATTGCTTCAAAAGGTGACGATGCCTGACTCCTCTTGAATACTGATAGGAATCCCAAAATCCCTGTGGCTACTGGAAAGGGTCCTTGGGTGCCCTGCCTCACCTCGAGAAGCGTCCCTTTTGCCCTGCCAAGCCTCGAAGATATTCCTGAGGTGTCCCTCATTACTAGACAGGAGTCCTGACGTCACTGAAGAAACTCGTGTTTTGAAGGTCCATCCCCGCCGTAAGTCGAGAACATACCCCAGGTCCCCGCCGCAACTCGAGAAAAACCATGAGACTTCCCCCTAGAGGCGAGATGAGGCCCCATTCCCTGCAGTGCATGCAGAGCTATTCCGTGATCCCATTCAAACAAGTCAGGAGCTTCGACTTGCTTAATGGATCTCGAGACAGTCCCCAAGAACACTGTCACCAGTCTAGACGGACCCTGAGGTCACCCCAGCAACGCAAAGCAGCTCCATGTGCCCCAAATCAACTCGAGATGAGGCCCGATTCCCCTGTATTGACTCCAGAGCGTTTCCCCGTTCCCCATTCAACACGACCGGTGGCTCGACTTCCTTCAGGCAACTCCAGAAATGCCCCGAGAACACTGTCCCAAGTCTAGAGGAACACCAACTTCAGCACAGCACCTCGAGGAATGCTCCGTGTACCCCAAATCGTCTCGAGATGAGAGCTGATTCCCTGCCTTAGGCTCAAGACGTATGCCAACTTTCCAGAAGCACCTCAGAAGGAGGCTTCTCTCAGCCATAGGATTGTGGGAGGGACCCCAGTTTGCTGCCTCAAGGGGAATATACAGCGAGAAGCCCTAACTTGAAAGGAGGCCGGATTTCCTTGCAGTGGCTAGAATACAGGCTCGTCTTTGATATCAAAGCCTGAAGGGATGTCTGAATCACCTGTGGATTCATTAGAGAAAGCCCTAGTTCCCTGCCTCATTTTGACGTAATGCCTCACATCTCGCTGACACCTCGAGAGGCACGCGGAGTTCATTGCTTCAAAAGGTGACGATGCCTGACTCCTCTTGAATACTGATAGGAATCCCAAAATTCCTGTGGCTACTGGAAAGGGTCCTTGGGTGCCCTGCCTCACCTCGAGAAGCGTCCCTTTTGCCCTGCCAAGCCTCGAAGATATTCCTGAGGTGTCCCTCATTACTAGACAGGAGTCCTGACGTCACTGAAGAAACTCGTGTTTTGAAGGGCCATCCCCGCCGTAAGGCGAGAACATACCCCAGGTCCCCGCCGCAACTCGAGAAAAACCATGAGACTTCCCCCTAGAGGCGAGATGAGGCCCCTTTCCCCTGCAGTGCATGCAGAGCTATTCCATGATCCCATTCAAACAAGTCAGGAGCTTCGACTTGCATAAGGGAACTCGAGACAGTCCCCAAGAACACTGTCACCAGTCTAGACGGACCCTGAGGTCACCCCAGCAACGCAAAGCAGCTCCATGTGCCCCAAATCAACTCGAGATGAGTCCCGATTCCCCTGAATTGACTCCAGAGCCATTCCCCGTTCCCCATTCAACAGGACCGGTGGCTCGACTTCCTTCAGGCAACTCCAGAGATGCCCCGAGAACACTATCCGAAGTCTACAGGAACACCAACTTCAGCACAGCAACTCGAGGAATGCTCCGTATACCCCAAAACGTCTCGAGATGAGAGCTGATTCCCTGGCTTAGGCTCAAGACGTATGCCAACTTTCCAGAAGCACCTCAGGAGGAGGCTTCTCTCAGCAATATGTATGTGGGTGGGACCCCGAGTATGCTGCCTCAAGGGGAATATACAGCGAGAAGCCCTAACTTGAAAGGAGGCCGGATTTCCTTGCAGTGGCTAGAATACAGGCTCGTCTTTGATCTCAAAACCTGAAGGGATGTCTGAATCCCCTGTGGAGACCTTAGAGAAAGCCCTAGGTCCCTGCCTCATTTTGACGGAATGCCTCACATCGCGCTGACACCTCGAGAGGCACACGGAGTTCATTGCTTCAAAAGGTGACGATGCCTGACTCCTCTTGAATACTGATAGGAATCCCAAAATCCCTGTGGCTACTGGAAAGGGTCCTTGGGTGCCCTGCCTCACCTATACAAGTGTCCCTTTTGCCCTGCCAAGCCTCGAAGATATTCCTGAGGTGTCCCTCGTTACTAGACAGGAGTCCTGACGTCACTGAAGAAACTCGTGTTTTGAAGGGCCATCCCCGCCGTAAGTCGAGAACATACCCCAGGTCCCCGCCGCAACTCGAGAAAAACCATGAGACTTCCCCCTAGAGGCGAGATGAGGCCCCATTCACCTGCAGTGCATGCAGAGCTATTCCGTGATCCCATTCAAACAAGTCAGGAGCTTCGACTTGCTTAATGGATCTCGAGACAGTCCCCAAGAACACTGTCACCAGTCTAGACGGACCCTGAGGTCACCGCCCCAACGCAAAGCAGCTCCATGTGCCCTAAGTCAACTCCAGATGAGGCCTGATTCCCCTGCATTGACTCCAGAGCCATTCCCCGTTCCCCATTCAACCCGACCGGTGGCTCAACTTCCTTCAGGCAACTCCAGAGATGCCCCGAGAACACTGTCCCAAGTCTAGAGGAACTTCAACTTCAGCACAGCAACTCGAGGAATGCTCCGTGTACCCCAAATCGTCTCGAGATGAGAGCTGATTCCCTGGCTTAGACTGAAGACGTATGCCAACTTTCCAGAAGCTCCTCAGGAGGCTTCTCTCAGCCATAGGTATGTGGGAGGGACCCCGAGTTTGCTGGCTCAAGGGGAATATACAGCGAGAAGCCCTAACTAGAAAGGAGGCCGGATTTCCTTGCAGTGGATTGAATACAGGCTCGTCTTTCATCTCACAACATGAAGGGATGTCTGAATCCCCCGTGGAGACCTTAGAGAAAGCCCTAGGTCCCTGCCTCATTTTGACGGAATGCCTCACATCCTGCTGACACCTCGAGAGGCACGCGGAGTTCATTGCTTCAAAAGGTGACGATGCCTGACTCCTCTTGAATACTGATAGGAATCCCAAAATCCCTGTGGCTAATGGAAAGGGTCCTTGGGTGCCCTGCCTCACCTGTAGAAGCGTCCCTTTTGCCCTGCCAAGCCTCGAAGAGATTCCTGAGGTGTCCCTCGTTACGAGACAGGAGTCCTGACGTCACTGAAGAAACTCGTGTTTTGAAGGGCCATCCCCGCCGTAAGTCGAGAACATACCCCAGGTCCCCACCGCAACTCGAGAAAAACCATGAGACTTCCCCCTAGAGGCGAGATGAGGCCCCATTCCCCTGCAGTGCATGCAGAGCTATTCCGTGATCCCACTCAAACAAGTCAGGAGCTTCGACTTGCTTAATGGATCTCGAGACAGTCCCCAAGAACACTGTCACCAGTCTAGACGGACCCTGAGGTCACCCCAGCCACGCAAAGCAGCTCCATGTCCCCCAAATCAACTCGAGATGCGGCCCGATTCCCCTGCATTGACTCCAGAGCCATTCCCCGTTCCCCATTCAACACGACCGGTGGCTCGACTTCCTTCAGGCAACTCCAGAGATGCCCCGAGAACACTGTCCCAAGTCTAGAGGAACTCCAACTTCAGCACAGCAACTCGAGGAATGCTCCGTGTACCCCAAATCGTCTCGAGATGAGAGCTGATTACCTGGCTTAGGCTCAAGACGTATGCCAACTTTCCAGAAGCACCTCAGGAGGAGGCTTCTCTCAGCAATAGGTATGTGGGAGGGACCCCGAGTTTGCTGCCTCAAGGGGAATATACAGCGAGAAGCCCTAACTTGAAAGGAGGCCGGATTTCCTTGCAGTGGCTTGAATACAGGCTCGTCTTTCATCTCACAATATGAAGGGATGTCTGAATCCCCTGTGGAGACCTTAGACAAAGTCCTAGGTCCCTGCCTCATTTTGACGGAATGCCTCACATCCCGCTGACACCTCGAGAGGCACGCAGAGTTCATTGCTTCAAAAGGTGACGATGCCTGACTCCTCTTGAATACTGATAGGAATCCCAAAATAACTCTGGCTACTGGAAACGGTCCTTGGGTGCCCTGCCTCACCTCGAGAAGCGTCCCTTTTGCCCTGCCAAGCCTCGAAGAGATTCCTGAGGTGTCCCTCGTTACTAGACAGGAGTCCTGACGTCACTGAAGAAACTCGTGTTTTGAAGGGCCATCCCCGCCGTAAGTCGAGAACAAAACCCAGGTCCCCGCCGCAACTCGAGAAAAACCATGAGACTTCCCCCTAGAGGCGAGATGAGGCCCCATTCCCCTGCAGTGCATGCAGAGCTATTCCGTGATCCCATTCAAACAAGTCAGGAGCTTCGACTTGCTTAATGGATCTCGAGACAGTCCCCAAGAACACTGTCACCAGTCTAGACGGACCCTGAGGTCACCGCAGCAACGCAAAGCAGCTCCATTTGCCCCAAGTCAACTCGAGATTAGGCCCCATTCCCCTTCATTGACTCCAGAGCCATTCCCCGTTCCCCATTCAACACGACCGGTGGCTCAACTTCCTTCAGGCAACTCCAGAGATGCCCCGAGAACACTGTCCCAAGTCTAGAGGAATTCCAACTTCAGCACAGCAACTCGAGGAATGCTCCGTGTACCCCAAATCGTCTCGAGATGAGAGCTGATTCCCTGGCTTAGACTGAAGACGTATGCCAACTTTCCAGAAGCTCCGCAGGAGGCTTCTCTCAGCCATAGTTATGTGGGAGGGACCCCGAGTTTGCTGCCTCAAGGGGAATATACAGCGAGAAGCCCTAACTCGAAAGGAGGCCGGATTTCTTTGCAGTGGCTTGAATACAGGCTCGTCTTTCATCTCACAACATGAAGGGATGTCTGAATCCCCTCTGGAGACCTTAGAGAAAGCCATAGGTCCCTGCCTCATTTTGACGAAATGCCTCACATCCCGCTGACACGTCGAGAGGCACACGGAGTTCATTGCTTCAAAAGGTGACGACGCCTGACTCCTCTTGAATACTGATAGGAATCCCAAAATCCCTGTGGCTACTGGAAAGGGTCCTTGGGTGCCCTGCCTCACCTATACAAGTGTCCCTTTTGCCCTGCCAAGCCTCGAAGATATTCCTGAGGTGTCCCTCGTTACTAGACAGGAGTCCTGACGTCACTGAAGAAACTCGTGTTTTGAAGGGCCATCCCCGCCGTAAGTCGAGAACATACCCCAGGTCCCCGCCGCAACTCGAGAAAAACCATGAGACTTCCCCCTAGAGGCGAGATGAGGCCCCATTCCCCTGCAGTGCATGCTGAGCTATTCCGTGATCCCATTCAAACAAGTCAGGATCTTCGACTTGCTTAATGGATCTCGAGACAGTCCCCAAGAACACTGTCACCAGTCTAGACGGACCCTGAGGTCACCCCAGCAACGCAAAGCAGCTCCATGTCCCCCAAATCAACTCAAGATGAGGCCCGATTCCCCTGCATTGACTCCAGAGCCATTCCCCGTTCCCCATGCAACACGACCGGTGGCTCGACTTCCTTCAGGCAACTCCAGAGATGCCCCGAGAACACTGTCCCAAATCTAGAGGAACACCAACATCAGCACAGCAACTCGAGGAATGCTCCGTGTACCCCAAATCGTCTCGAGATGAGAGCTGATTCCCTGGCTTAGGCTCAAGACGTATGCCAACTTTCCAGAAGCACCTCAGAGGAGGCTTCTCTCAGCAATAGCTATGTGTGAGGGACCGCGAGTTTGCTGCCTCAAGGGGAATATACAGCGAGAAGCCCAAACTTGAAAGGAGGCCGGATTTTCTTGCAGTGGCTTGAATACAGGCTCGTCTTTCATCTCACAACATGAAGGGATGTCTGAATCCCCTGTGGAGACATTAGAGAAATCCCTAGGTCCCTGCCTCATTTTGACGGAATGCCTCACATCCCGCTGACACCTCGAGAGGCACGCGGAGTTCATTGCTTCAAAAGGTGACGATGCCTGACTCCTCTTGAATACTGATAGGAATCCCAAAATCCCTGTGGCTACTGGAAAGGGTCCTTGGGTGCCCTGCCTCACCTCGAGAAGCGTCCCTTTTCCCCTGCCAAGCCTCGAAGAGATTCCTGAGGTGTCCCTCGTTACTAGACAGGAGTCCTGAAGTCACTGAAGAAACTCGTGTTTTGAAGGGCCATCCCCGCCGTAAGTCGAGAACATACCCCAGGTCCCCGCCGCAACTCGAGAAAAACCATGAGACTTCCCCCTAGAGGCGAGATGAGGCCCCATTCCCCTGCAGTGCATGCAGAGCTATTCCGTGATCCCATTCAAACAAGTCAGGAGCTTCGACTTGCTTAATGGATCTCGAGACAGTCCCCAAGAACACTGTCACCAGTCTAGACGGACCCTGAGGTCACCGCAGCAACGCAAAGCAGCTCCATGTGCCCCAAGTCAACTCCAGATGAGGCCCGATTCCCCTGCATTGACTCCAGAGCCATTCCCCTTTCCCCATTCAACACGACCGGTGGCTCAACTTCCTTCAGGCAACTCCAGAGATGCCCCGAGAACACTGTCCCAAGTCTAGAGGAAATTCAACTTCAGCACAGCAACTCGAGGAATGCTCCGTGTACCCCAAATCGTCTCGAGATGTGAGCTGATTCACTGGCTTAGACTGAAGACGTATGCGAACTTTCCAGAAGCTCCTCAGGAGGCTTCTCTCAGCCATAGGTATGTGGGAGGGACCCCGAGTTTGCTGGCTCAAGGGGAATATACAGCGAGAAGCCCTAACTAGAAAGGAGGCCGGATTTCCTTGCAGTGGATTGAATACAGGCTCGTCTTTCATCTCACAACATGAAGGGATGTCTGAATCCCCTGTGGAGACCTTAGAGAAAGCCCTAGGTCCCTGCCTCATTTTGACGGAATGCCTCACATCCCGCTAACACCTCGAGAGGCACGCGGAGTTCATTGCTTCAAAAGGTGACGATGCCTGACTCCTCTTGAATACTGATAGGAATCCCAAAATCCCTGTGGCTACTGGAAAGGGTACTTGGGTGCCCTGCCTCACCTCGAGAAGCGTCCTTTTTGCCCTGCCAAGCCTCGAAGAGATTCCTGAGGTGTCCCTCGTTACGAGACAGGAGTCCTGACGTCACTGAAGAAACTCGTGTTTTGAAGGGCCAGCCCCGCCGTAAGTCGAGAACATACCCCAGGTCCCCACCGCAACTCGAGAAAAACCATGAGACTTCCCCCTAGAGGCGAGATGAGGCCCCATTCCCCTGCAGTGCATGCAGAGCTATTCCGTGATCCCATTCAAACAAGTCAGGAGCTTCGACTTGCTTAATGGATCTCGAGACAGTCCCCAAGAACACTGTCACCAATCTAGACGGACCCTGAGGTCACCCCAGCCACGCAAAGCAGCTCCATGTCCCCCAAATCAACTCGAAATGCGGCCCGATTCCCCTGCATTGACTCCAGAGCCATTCCCCGTTCCCCATTCAACACGACCGGTGGCTCGACTTCCTTCAGGCAACTCCAGAGATGCCCCGAGAACACTGTCCCAAGTCTAGAGGAACTCCAACTTCAGCACAGCAACTCGAGGAATGCTCCGTGTACACCAAATCGTCTCGAGATGAGAGCTGATTCCCTGGCTTAGGCTCAAGACGTATGCCAACTTTCCAGAAGCACCTCAGGAGGAGGCTTCTCTCAGCAATAGGTATGTGGGAGGGACCCCGAGTTTGCTGCCTCAAGGGGAATATACAGCGAGAAGCCCTAACTTGAAAGGAGGCCGGATTTCCTTGCAGTGGCTAGAATACAGGCTCGTCTTTGATCTCAAAACCTGAAGGGATGTCTGAATCCCCTGTGGAGACCTTAGAGAAAGCCCTAGGTCCTGCCTCATTTTGACGGAATGCCTCACATCCCGCTGACATCTCCAGAGGCACAAGGAGTTCATTGCTTCAAAAGGTGACGATGCCTGACTCCTCTTGAATACTGATAGGAATCCCAAAATCCCTGTGGCTACTGGAAAGGGTCCTTGGGTGCCCTGCCTCACCTCGAGAAGCGTCCCTTTTGCCCTGCCAAGCCTCGAAGAGATTCCTGAGGTGTCCCTCGTTACTAGACAGGAGTCCTGACGTCACTGAAGAAACTCGTGTTTTGAAGGGCCATCCGCGCCTTAAGTCGAGAACATACCCCAGGTCCCCGCCACAACTCGAGAAAAACCATGAGACTTCCCCCTAGAGGCGAGATGAGGCCCCATTCCCCTGCAGTGCATGCAGAGCTATTCCGTGATCCCATTCAAACAAGTCAGGAGCTTCGACTTGCTTAATGGATCTCGAGACAGTCCCCAAGAACACTGTCACCAGTCTAGACGGACCCTGAGGTCACCGCAGCAACGCAAAGCAGCTCCATGTGCCCCAAATCAACTCGAGATGAGGCCCGATTCCCCTGCATTGACTCCAGAGCCTTTCCCCATTCCCCATTCAACACGACCGGTGGCTTGACTTCCTTCAGGCAACTCCAGAGATGCCCCGAGAACACTGTCCCAAGTCTAGAGGAACACCAACATCAGCACAGCAACTCGAGGAATGCTCCGTGTACCCCAAATCGTCTCGAGATGAGAGCTGATTCCCTGGCTTAGGCTCAAGACGTATGCCAACTTTCCAGAAGCACCTCGGAGGAGGCTTCTCTCAGCAATAGGTTTGTGGGAGGGACCCCGAGTATGCTGCCTCAAGGGGAATATACAGCGAGAAGCCCTAACTTGAAAGGAGGCCGGATTTCCTTGCAGTGGCTAGAATACAGGCTCGTCTTTGATCTCAAAACCTGAAGGGATGTCTGAATCCCCTGTGGAGACCTTAGAGAAAGCCCTAGGTCCCTGCCTCATTTTGACGGAATGCCTCACATCGCGCTGACACCTCGAGAGGCACGTGGAGTTCATTGCTTCAAAAGGTGACGATTCCTGACTCCTCTTGAATAATGATAGGAATCCCAAAATCCCTGTGGCTACTGGAAAGGGTCCTTGGGTGCCCTGCCTCACCTCGAGAAGCGTCCCTTTTGCCCTGCCAAGCCTCGAAGATATTCCTGAGGTGTCCCTCGTTACTAGACAGGAGTCCTGACGTCACTGAAGAAACTCGTGTTTTGAAGGGCCATCCCCGCCGTAAGTCGAGAACATACCCCAGGTCCCCAACGCAACTCGAGAAAAACAATGAGACTTCCCCCTAGAGGCGAGATGAGGCCCCATTCCCCTGTAGTGCATGCAGAGCTATTCCGTGATCCCATTCAAACAAGTCAGGAGCTTCGACTTGCTTAATGGATCTCGAGACAGTCCCCAAGAACACTGTCACCAGTCTAGACGGACCCTGAGGTCACCCCAGCAAGGCAAAGCAGCTCCATGTCCCCCAAATCAACTCGAGATGAGGCCGGATTCCCCTGCATTGACTCCAGAGCCATTCCCCGTTCCCCATTCAACACGACCGGTGGCTCCACTTCCTTCAGGCAACTCCAGAGATGCCCCGAGAACACTGTCCCAAGACTAGAGGAACTCCAAGTTCAGCACAGCAACTCGAGGAATGCTCCGTGTACCCCAAATCGTCTCGAGATGAGAGCTGATTCCCTGGCTTAGGCTCAAGACGTATGCCAACTTTCCAGAAGCACCTCAGGAGGAGGCTTCTCTCAGCAATAGGTATGTGGGAGGGACCCCGAGTTTGCTGCCTCAAGGGGAATATACAGCGAGAAGCCCTAACATGAAAGGAGGCCGGATTTCCTTGCAGTGGCTTGAATACAGGCTCGTCTTTCATGTCACAACATGAAGGGATGTCTGAATCCCCTGTGGAGACCTTAGAGAAAGCCCTAGGTCCCTGCCTCATTTTGACGGAATGCCTCACATCCCGCTGACACCTCGAGAGGCACGCGGAGTTCATTGCTTCAAAAGGTGACGATGCCTGACTCCTCTTGAATACTGATAGGAATCCCAAAATAACTCTGGCTACTGGAAAGGGTCCTTAGGTGCCCTGCCACACCTCGAGAAGCGTCCCTTTTGCCCTTCCAAGCCTCGAAGAGATTCCTGAGGTGTCCCTCGTTACTAGACAGGAGTCCTTACGTCACTGAAGAAACTCGTGTTTTGAAGGGCCATCCCCGCCGTAAGTCGAGAACATACCCCAGGTCCCCACCACAACTCGAGAAAAACCATGAGACTTCCCCCTAGAGGCGAGATGAGGCCCCATTCCCCTGCAGTGCATGCAGAGCTATTCCGTGATCCCATTCAAAAAAGTCAGGAGCTTCTACTTGCTTAATGGATCTCAAGACAGTCCCGAAGAACACTGTCACCAGTCTAGACGGACCCTGAGGTCACCGCAACAACGCAAAGCAGCTCCATGTGCCCCAAATCAACACGAGATGAGGCCCAATTCCCCTGCATTGACTCCAGAGCCTTTCCCCGTTCCCCATTCAACACGACCGGTGGCTCGACTTCCTTCAGGCAACTCCAGAGATGCCCCGAGAACACTGTCCCAAGTCCAGAGGAACACCAACTTCAGCACAGCAACTCGAGGAATGCTCCGTGTACCCCAAATCGTCTCGAGATGAGAGCTGATTCCCTGGCTTAGGCTCAAGACGTATGCCAACTTTCCAGAAGCACCTCAGGAGGAGGCTTCTCTCAGCAATAGGTATGTGGGAGGGACCCCGAGTATGCTGCCTCAAGGGGAATATACAGCGAGAAGCCCTAACTTGAAAGGAGGCCGGATTTCCTTGCAGTGGCTTGAATACAGGCTCGTCTTTCATCTCACAACATGAAGGTATGTCTGAATCCCCTGTGGAGACCTTAGAGAAAGCCGTAGGTCCCTGCGTCTTTTTGACGGAATGCCTCATATCCCGCTGACACTTCGAGAGGCACGCGGAGTTCATTGCTTCAAAAGGTGACGATGCCTGACTCCTCTTGAATACTGATAGGAATCCCAAACTCCCTGTGGCTACTGGAAAGGGTCCTTGGGTGCCCTGCCTCACCTCAAGAAGCGTCCCTTTTGCCCTGCCAAGCCTCGAAGAGATTCCTGAGGTGTCCCTCGTTACTAGACAGGAGTCCTGACGTCACTGAAGAAACTCGTGTTTTGAAGGGCCATCCGCGCCTTAAGTCGAGAACATACCCCAGGTCCCCGCCGCAACTCGAGAAAAACCATGAGACTTCCCCCTAGAGGCGAGATGAGGCCCCATTCCCCTGCAGTGCATGCAGAGCTATTCCGTGATCCCATTCAAACAAGTCAGGAGCTTCGACTTGCTTAATGGATCTCGAGACAGTCCCCAAGAACACTGTCACCAGTCTAGACGGACCCTGAGGTCACCGCAGCAACGCAAAGCAGCTCCATGTGCCCCAAATCAACTCGAGATGAGGCCCGATTCCCCTGGATTGACTCCAGAGCCTTTCCCCGTTCCCCATTCAACACGACCGGTGGCTTGACTTCCTTCAGGCAACTCCAGAGATGCCCCGAGAACACTGTCCCAAGTCTAGAGGAACACCAACTTCAGCACAGCAACTCGAGGAATGCTCCGTGTACCCCAAATCGTCTCGAGATGAGAGCTGATTCCCTGGCTTAGGCTCAAGACGTATGCCAACTTTCCAGAAGCACCTCGGAGGAGGCTTCTCTCAGCAATAGGTTTGTGGGAGGGACCCCGAGTATGCTGCCTCAAGGGGAATATACAGCGAGAAGCCCTAACTTGAAAGGTGGCCGGATTTCCTTGCAGTGGCTAGAATACAGGCTCGTCTTTGATCTCAAAACCTGAAGGGATGTCTGAATCCCCTGTGGAGACCTTAGAGAAAGCCCTAGGTCCCTGCCTCATTTTGACGGAATGCCTCACATCGCGCTGACACCTCGAGAGGCACGTGGAGTTCATTGCTTCAAAAGGTGACGATTCCTGACTCCTCTTGAATAATGATAGGAATCCCAAAATCCCTGTGGCTACTGGAAAGGGTCCTTGGGTGCCCTGCCTCACCTCGAGAAGCGTCCCTTTTGCCCTGCCAAGCCTCGAAGAGATTCCTGAGGTGTCCCTCGTTACTAGACAGGAGTCCTGACGTCACTGAAGAAACTCGTGTTTTGAAGGGCCATCCCCGCCTTAAGTCGAGAACATACCCCAGGTCCCCGCCGCAACTCGAGAAAAACCATGAGACTTCCCCCTAGAGGCGAGATGAGGGCCCATTCCCCTGCAGTGCATGCAGAGCTATTCCGTGATCCCATTCAAACAAGTCAGGAGCTTCGACTTGCTTAATGGATCTCGAGACAGTCCCCAAGAACACTGTCACCAGTCTAGACGGACCCTGAGGTCACCCCAGCAACGCAAAGCAGCTCCATGTCCCCCAAATCAACTCGAGATGAGGCCGGATTCCCCTGCATTGACTCCAGAGCCATTCCCCGTTACCCATTCAACAAGACCGGTGGCTCGACTTCCTTCAGGCAACTCTAGAGATGCCCCGAGAACACTGCCCCAAGTCTAGAGGAACTCCAACTTCAGCACAGCAACTCGAGGAATGCTCCGTGTACCCCAAATCGTCTCGAGATGAGAGCTGATTCCCTGGCTTAGGCTCAAGACATATGCCAACTTTCCTGAAGCACCTCAGGAGGAGGCTTCTCTCAGCAATAGGTATGTGGGAGGGACCTCGAGTTTGCTGCCTCAAGGGGAATATACAGCAAGAAGCCCTAACTTGAATGGAGGCCGGATTTCCTTGCAGTGGCTTGAATACAGGCTCGTCTTTCATGTCACAACATGAAGGGATGTCTGAATCCCCTGTGGAGACCTTAGAGAAAGCCCTAGGTCCCTGCCTCATTTTGACGGAATGCCTCACATCCCGCTGACACCTCGAGAGGCAGGCGGAGTTCATTGCTTCAAAAGGTGACGATGCCTGACTCCTCTTGAATACTGATAGGAATCCCAAAATAACTCTGGCTACTGGAAAGGGTCCTTGGGTGCCCTGCCACACCTCGAGAAGCGTCCCTTTTGCCCTGCCAAGCCTCGAAGAGATTCCTGAGGTGTCCCTCGTTACTAGACAGGAGTCCTGACGTCACTGAAGAAACTCGTGTTTTGAAGGGCCATCCCCGCCGTAGGTCGAGAACATACCCCAGGTCCCCACCACAACTCGAGAAAAACCATGAGACTTCCCCCTAGAGGCGAGATGAGGCCCCATTCCCCTGCAGTGCATGCAGAGCTATTCCGTGATCCCATTCAAAAAAGTCAGGAGCTTCTACTTGCTTAATGGATCTCAAGACATTCCTGAAGAACACTGTCACCAGTCTAGACGGACCCTGAGGTCACCGCAACAAAGAAAAGCAGCTCCATGTGCCCCAAATCAACTCGAGATGAGGTCCAATTCCCCTGCATTGACGCCAGAGCCTTTCCCGGTTCCCCATTCAACACGACCGGTGGCTCGACTTCCTTCAGGCAACTCCAGAGATGCCCCGAGAACACTGTCCCAAGTCCAGAGGAACACCAACTTCAGCACAGCAACTCGAGGAATGCTCCGTGTACCCCAAATCGTCTCGAGATGAGAGCTGATTCCCTGGCTTAGGCTCAAGACGTATGCCAACTTTCCAGAAGCACCTCAGGAGGAGGCTTCTCTCAGCAATAGGTATGTGGGAGGGACCCCGAGTATGCTGCCTCAAGGGGAATATACAGCGAGAAGCCCTAACTTGAAAGGAGGCCGGATTTCCTTGCAGTGGCTTGAATACAGGCTCATCTTTCATCTCACAACATGAAGGTATGTCTGAATCCCCTGTGGAGACCTTAGAGAAAGCCCTAGGTCCCTGCGTCTTTTTGACGGAATGCCTCATATCCCGCTGACACCTTGAGAGGCACGCGGAGTTCATTGCTTCAAAAGGTGACGATGCCTGACTCCTCTTGAATACTGATAGGAATCCCAAAATCCCTGTGGCTACTGGAAAGGGTCCTTTGGTGCCCTGCGTCACCTCGAGAAGCGTCCCTTTTGCCCTGCCAAGCCTCGAAGGGATTCCTGAGGTGTCCCTCGTTACTAGACAGGAGTCCTGACGTCACTGAAGAAACTCGTGTTTTGAAGGGCCATCCGCGCCTTAAGTCGAGAACATACCCCAGGTCCCCGCCGCAACTCGAGAAAAACCATGAGACTTCCCCCTAGAGGCGAGATGAGGCCCCATTCCCCTGCAGTGCATGCAGAGCTATTCCGTGATCCCATTCAAACAAGTCAGGAGCTTCGACTTGCTTAATGGATCTCGAGACAGTCCCCAAGAACACTGTCACCAGTCTAGACGGACCCTGAGGTCACCGCAGCAACGCAAAGCAGCTCCATGTGCCCCAAATCAACTCGAGATGAGGCCCGATTCCCCTGCATTGACTCCAGAGCCTTTCCCCGTTCCCCATTCAACACGGCCGGTGGCTCAACTTCCTTCAGGCAACTCCAGAGATGCCCCGAGAACACTGTCCCAAGTCTAGAGGAACACCAACTTCAGCACAGCAATTCGAGGAATGCTCCGTGCACCCCAAATCGTCTCGAGATGAGAGCTGATTACCTGGCTTAGGCTCAAGACGTATGCCAACTTTCCAGAAGCACCTCGGAGGAGGCTTCTCTCAGCAATAGGTTTGTGGGAGGGACCCCGAGTATGCTGCCTCAAGGGGAATATACAGCGAGAAGCCCTAACTTGAAAGGAGGCCGGATTTCCTTGCAGTGGCTAGAATACAGGCTCGTCTTTGATCTCAAAACCTGAAGGGATGTCTGAATCCCCTGTGGAGACCTTAGAGAAAGCCCTAGGTCCCTGCCTCATTTTGACGGAAAGCCTCACATCGCGCTGACACCTCGAGAGGCACGTGGAGTTCATTGCTTCAAAAGGTGACGATGCGTGACTCCTCTTGAATACTGATAGGAATCCCAAAATCCCTGTGGCTACTGGAAAGGGTCCTTGGGTGCCCTGCCTCACCTCGAGAAGCGTCCCTTTTGCCCTGCCAAGCCTCGAAGAGATTCCTGACGTGGCCCTCGTTACTAGACAGGAGTCCTGACGTCACTGAAGAAACTCGTGTTTTGAAGGGCCATCCCCGCCGTAAGTCGAGAACATACTCCAGGTCCCCACCGCAACTCGAGAAAAACCATGAGACTTCCCCGTAGAGGCGAGATGAGGCCCCATTCCCATGCAGTGCATGCAGAGCTATTCCGTGATCCCATTCAAACAAGTCAGGAGCTTCTACTTGCTTAATGGATCTCGAGACAGTCCCCAAGAACACTGTCACCAGTCTAGACTTAAGTTGAGGTCACCCCAGCAACGGAAAGCAGCTCCATGTGCCCCAAGTCAACTCGAGATGAGGCCCGATTCCCCTGCATTGACTCCAGAGCCATTCCCCGTTCCCCATTCAACACGACCGGTGGCTCGACTTCCTTCAGGCAACTCCAGAGATGCCCCGAGAACACTGTCCCAAGTCTAGAGGAACTCCAAGTTCAGCAGAGCAACTCGAGGAATGCTCCGTGTACCCCATATCGTCTCGAGATGAGAGCTGATTCCCTGGCTTAGGCTCAAGACGTATGCCAACTTTCCAGAAGCACCTCAGGAGGAGGCTTCTCTCAGCAATAGGTATGTGGGAGGGACCCCGAGTTTGCTGCCTCAAGGGGAATATACAGCGAGAAGCCCTAACTTGAAAGGAGGCCGGATTTCCTTGCAGTGGCTTGAATACAGGCTCGTCTTTCATGTCACAACATGAAGGGATGTCTGAATCCCCTGTGGAGACCTTAGAGAAAGCCCTAGGTCCCTGCCTCATTTTGACGGAATGCCTCACATCCCGCTGACACCTCGAGAGGCACGCGGAGTTCATTGCTTCAAAAGGTGACGATGCCTGACTCCTCTTGAATACTGATAGGAATCCCAAAATAACTCTGGCTACTGGAAAGGGTCCTTGGGTGCCCTGTCACACCTCGAGAAGCGTCCCTTTTGCCCTTCCAAGCCTCGAAGAGATTCCTGAGGTGTCCCTCGTTACTAGACAGGAGTCCTGACGTCACTGAAGAAACTCGTGTTTTGAAGGGCCATCCCCGCCGTAAGTCGAGAACATACCCCAGGTCCCCACCACAACTCGAGAAAAACCATGAGACTTCCCCCTAGAGGCGAGATGAGGCCCCATTCCCCTGCAGTGCATGCAGAGCTATTCCGTGATCCCATTCAAAAAAGTCAGGAGCTTCTACTTGCTTAATGGATCTCAAGACAGTCCCGAAGAACACTGTCACCAGTTTAGACGGACCCTGAGGTCACCGCAACAACGCAAAGCAGCTCCATGTGCCCCAAATCAACTCGAGATGAGGCCCAATTCCCCTGCATTGACTCCAGAGCCTTTCCCCGTTCCCCATTCAACACGACCGGTGGCTCGACTTCCTTCAGGCAACTCCAGAGATGCCCCGAGAACACTGTCCCAAGTCCAGAGGAACACCAACTTCAGCACAGCAACTCGAGGAATGCTCCGTGTACCCCAAATCGTCTCGAGATGAGAGCTGATTCCCTGGCTTAGGCTCAAGACGTATGCCAACTTTCCAGAAGCACCTCAGGAGGAGGTTTCTCTCAGCAATAGGTATGTGGGAGGGACCCCGAGTATGCTGCCTCAAGGGGAATATACAGCGAGAAGCAATAACTTGAAAGGAGGCCGGATTTCCTTGCAGTGGCTTGAATACAGGCTCGTCTTTCATCTCACAACATGAAGGTAGGTCTGAATCCCCTGTGGAGACCTTAGAGAAAGCCGTAGGTCCCTGCGTCTTTTTGACGGAATGCCTCATATCCCGCTGACACTTCGATAGGCACGCGGAGTTCATTGCTTCAAAAGGTGACGATGCCTGACTCCTCTTGAATACTGATAGGAATCCCAAAATCCCTGTGGCTACTGGAAAGGGTCCTTGGGTGCCCTGCCTCACCTCGAGAAGCGTCCCTTTTGCTCTGCCAAGCCTCGAAGAGATTCCTGAGGTGTCCCTCGTTACTAGACAGGAGTCCTGACGTCACTGAAGAAACTCGTGTTTTGAAGGGCCATCCGCGCCTTAAGTCGAGAACATACCCCAGGTCCCCGCCGCAACTCGAGAAAAACCATGAGACTTCCCCCTAGAGGCGAGATGAGGCCCCATTCCCCTGCAGTGCATGCAGAGCTATTCCGTGATCCCATTCAAACAAGTCAGGAGCTTCGACTTGCTTAATGGATCTCGAGACAGTCCCCAAGAACACTGTCACCAGTCTAGACGGACCCTGAGGTCACCGCAGCAACGCAAAGCAGGTCCATGTGCCCCAAATCAACTCGAGATGAGGCCCGATTCCCCTGGATTGACTCCAGAGCCTTTCCCCGTTCCCCATTCAACACGACCGGTGGCTTGACTTCCTTCAGGCAACTCCAGAGATGCCCCGAGAACACTGTCCCAAGTCTAGAGGAACACCAACTTCAGCACAGCAACTCGAGGAATGCTCCGTGTACCACAAATCGTCTCGAGATGAGAGCTGATTCCCTGGCTTAGGCTCAAGACGTATGCCAACTTTCCAGAAGCACCTCGGAGGAGGCTTCTCTCAGCAATAGGTTTGTGGGAGGGACCCCGAGTATGCTGCCTCAAGGGGAATATACAGCGAGAAGCCCTAACTTGAAAGGTGGCCGGATTTCCTTGCAGTGGCTAGAATACAGGCTCGTCTTTGATCTCAAAACCTGAAGGGATGTCTGAATCCCCTGTGGAGACCTTAGAGAAAGCCCTAGGTCCCTGCCTCATTTTGACGGAATGCCTCACATCGCGCTGACACCTCGAGAGGCACGTGGAGTTCATTGCTTCAAAAGGTGACGATTCCTGACTCCTCTTGAATAATGATAGGAATCCCAAAATCCCTGTGGCTACTGGAAAGGGTCCTTGGGTGCCCTGCCTCACCTCGAGAAGCGTCCCTTTTGCCCTGCCAAGCCTCGAAGAGATTCCTGAGGTGTCCCTCGTTACTAGACAGGAGTCCTGACGTCACTGAAGAAACTCGTGTTTTGAAGGGCCATCCCCGCCTTAAGTCGAGAACATACCCCAGGTCCCCGCCGCAACTCGAGAAAAACCATGAGACTTCCCCCTAGAGGCGAGATGAGGACCCATTCCCCTGCAGTGCATGCAGAGCTATTCCGTGATCCCATTCAAACAAGTCAGGAGCTTCGACTTGCTTAATGGATCTCGAGACAGTCCCCAAGAACACTGTCACCAGTCTAGACGGACCCTGAGGTCACCCCAGCAACGCAAAGCAGCTCCATGTGCCCCAAATCAACTCGAGATGAGGCCGGATTCCCCTGCATTGACTCCAGAGCCATTCCCCGTTACCCATTCAACAAGACCGGTGGCTCGACTTCCTTCAGGCAACTCTAGAGATGCCCCGAGAACACTGCCCCAAGTCTAGAGGAACTCCAACTTCAGCACAGCAACTCGAGGAATGCTCCGTGTACCCCAAATCGTCTCGAGATGAGAGCTGATTCCCTGGCTTAGGCTCAAGACGTATGCCAACTTTCCAGAAGCACCTCAGGAGGAGGTTTCTCTCAGCAATAGGTATGTGGGAGGGACCCCGAGTATGCTGCCTCAAGGGGAATATACAGCGAGAAGCAATAACTTGAAAGGAGGCCGGATTTCCTTGCAGTGGCTTGAATACAGGCTCGTCTTTCATCTCACAACATGAAGGTAGGTCTGAATCCCCTGTGGAGACCTTAGAGAAAGCCGTAGGTCCCTGCGTCTTTTTGACGGAATGCCTCATATCCCGCTGACACTTCGATAGGCACGCGGAGTTCATTGCTTCAAAAGGTGACGATGCCTGACTCCTCTTGAATACTGATAGGAATCCCAAAATCCCTGTGGCTACTGGAAAGGGTCCTTGGGTGCCCTGCCTCACCTCGAGAAGCGTCCCTTTTGCTCTGCCAAGCCTCGAAGAGATTCCTGAGGTGTCCCTCGTTACTAGACAGGAGTCCTGACGTCACTGAAGAAACTCGTGTTTTGAAGGGCCATCCGCGCCTTAAGTCGAGAACATACCCCAGGTCCCCGCCGCAACTCGAGAAAAACCATGAGACTTCCCCCTAGAGGCGAGATGAGGCCCCATTCCCCTGCAGTGCATGCAGAGCTATTCCGTGATCCCATTCAAACAAGTCAGGAGCTTCGACTTGCTTAATGGATCTCGAGACAGTCCCCAAGAACACTGTCACCAGTCTAGACGGACCCTGAGGTCACCGCAGCAACGCAAAGCAGCTCCATGTGCCCCAAATCAACTCGAGATGAGGCCCGATTCCCCTGGATTGACTCCAGAGCCTTTCCCCGTTCCCCATTCAACACGACCGGTGGCTTGACTTCCTTCAGGCAACTCCAGAGATGCCCCGAGAACACTGTCCCAAGTCTAGAGGAACACCAACTTCAGCACAGCAACTCGAGGAATGCTCCGTGTACCCCAAATCGTCTCGAGATGAGAGCTGATTCCCTGGCTTAGGCTCAAGACGTATGCCAACTTTCCAGAAGCACCTCGGAGGAGGCTTCTCTCAGCAATAGGTTTGTGGGAGGGACCCCGAGTATGCTGCCTCAAGGGGAATATACAGCGAGAAGCCCTAACTTGAAAGGTGGCCGGATTTCCTTGCAGTGGCTAGAATACAGGCTCGTCTTTGATCTCAAAACCTGAAGGGATGTCTGAATCCCCTGTGGAGACCTTAGAGAAAGCCCTAGGTCCCTGCCTCATTTTGACGGAATGCCTCACATCGCGCTGACACCTCGAGAGGCACGTGGAGTTCATTGCTTCAAAAGGTGACGATTCCTGACTCCTCTTGAATAATGATAGGAATCCCAAAATCCCTGTGGCTACTGGAAAGGGTCCTTGGGTGCCCTGCCTCACCTCGAGAAGCGTCCCTTTTGCCCTGCCAAGCCTCGAAGAGATTCCTGAGGTGTCCCTCGTTACTAGACAGGAGTCCTGACGTCACTGAAGAAACTCGTGTTTTGAAGGGCCATCCCCGCCTTAAGTCGAGAACATACCCCAGGTCCCCGCCGCAACTCGAGAAAAACCATGAGACTTCCCCCTAGAGGCGAGATGAGGGCCCATTCCCCTGCAGTGCATGCAGAGCTATTCCGTGATCCCATTCAAACAAGTCAGGAGCTTCGACTTGCTTAATGGATCTCGAGACAGTCCCCAAGAACACTGTCACCAGTCTAGACGGACCCTGAGGTCACCCCAGCAACGCAAAGCAGCTCCATGTCCCCCAAATCAACTCGAGATGAGGCCGGATTCCCCTGCATTGACTCCAGAGCCATTCCCCGTTACCCATTCAACAAGACCGGTGGCTCGACTTCCTTCAGGCAACTCTAGAGATGCCCCGAGAACACTGCCCCAAGTCTAGAGGAACTCCAACTTCAGCACAGCAACTCGAGGAATGCTCCGTGTACCCCAAATCGTCTCGAGATGAGAGCTGATTCCCTGGCTTAGGCTCAAGACATATGCCAACTTTCCTGAAGCACCTCAGGAGGAGGCTTCTCTCAGCAATAGGTATGTGGGAGGGACCTCGAGTTTGCTGCCTCAAGGGGAATATACAGCAAGAAGCCCTAACTTGAATGGAGGCCGGATTTCCTTGCAGTGGCTTGAATACAGGCTCGTCTTTCATGTCACAACATGAAGGGATGTCTGAATCCCCTGTGGAGACCTTAGAGAAAGCCCTAGGTCCCTGCCTCATTTTGACGGAATGCCTCACATCCCGCTGACACCTCGAGAGGCAGGCGGAGTTCATTGCTTCAAAAGGTGACGATGCCTGACTCCTCTTGAATACTGATAGGAATCCCAAAATAACTCTGGCTACTGGAAAGGGTCCTTGGGTGCCCTGCCACACCTCGAGAAGCGTCCCTTTTGCCCTGCCAAGCCTCGAAGAGATTCCTGAGGTGTCCCTCGTTACTAGACAGGAGTCCTGACGTCACTGAAGAAACTCGTGTTTTGAAGGGCCATCCCCGCCGTAGGTCGAGAACATACCCCAGGTCCCCACCACAACTCGAGAAAAACCATGAGACTTCCCCCTAGAGGCGAGATGAGGCCCCATTCCCCTGCAGTGCATGCAGAGCTATTCCGTGATCCCATTCAAAAAAGTCAGGAGCTTCTACTTGCTTAATGGATCTCAAGACATTCCTGAAGAACACTGTCACCAGTCTAGACGGACCCTGAGGTCACCGCAACAAAGAAAAGCAGCTCCATGTGCCCCAAATCAACTCGAGATGAGGTCCAATTCCCCTGCATTGACGCCAGAGCCTTTCCCGGTTCCCCATTCAACACGACCGGTGGCTCGACTTCCTTCAGGCAACTCCAGAGATGCCCCGAGAACACTGTCCCAAGTCCAGAGGAACACCAACTTCAGCACAGCAACTCGAGGAATGCTCCGTGTACCCCAAATCGTCTCGAGATGAGAGCTGATTCCCTGGCTTAGGCTCAAGACGTATGCCAACTTCCCAGAAGCACCTCAGGAGGAGGCTTCTCTCAGCAATAGGTATGTGGGAGGGACCCCGAGTATGCTGCCTCAAGGGGAATATACAGCGAGAAGCCCTAACTTGAAAGGAGGCCGGATTTCCTTGCAGTGGCTTGAATACAGGCTCATCTTTCATCTCACAACATGAAGGTATGTCTGAATCCCCTGTGGAGACCTTAGAGAAAGCCCTAGGTCCCTGCGTCTTTTTGACGGAATGCCTCATATCCCGCTGACACCTTGAGAGGCACGCGGAGTTCATTGCTTCAAAAGGTGACGATGCCTGACTCCTCTTGAATACTGATAGGAATCCCAAAATCCCTGTGGCTACTGGAAAGGGTCCTTTGGTGCCCTGCGTCACCTCGAGAAGCGTCCCTTTTGCCCTGCCAAGCCTCGAAGGGATTCCTGAGGTGTCCCTCGTTACTAGACAGGAGTCCTGACGTCACTGAAGAAACTCGTGTTTTGAAGGGCCATCCGCGCCTTAAGTCGAGAACATACCCCAGGTCCCCGCCGCAACTCGAGAAAAACCATGAGACTTCCCCCTAGAGGCGAGATGAGGCCCCATTCCCCTGCAGTGCATGCAGAGCTATTCCGTGATCCCATTCAAACAAGTCAGGAGCTTCGACTTGCTTAATGGATCTCGAGACAGTCCCCAAGAACACTGTCACCAGTCTAGACGGACCCTGAGGTCACCGCAGCAACGCAAAGCAGCTCCATGTGCCCCAAATCAACTCGAGATGAGGCCCGATTCCCCTGCATTGACTCCAGAGCCTTTCCCCGTTCCCCATTCAACACGGCCGGTGGCTCAACTTCCTTCAGGCAACTCCAGAGATGCCCCGAGAACACTGTCCCAAGTCTAGAGGAACACCAACTTCAGCACAGCAATTCGAGGAATGCTCCGTGCACCCCAAATCGTCTCGAGATGAGAGCTGATTACCTGGCTTAGGCTCAAGACGTATGCCAACTTTCCAGAAGCACCTCGGAGGAGGCTTCTCTCAGCAATAGGTTTGTGGGAGGGACCCCGAGTATGCTGCCTCAAGGGGAATATACAGCGAGAAGCCCTAACTTGAAAGGAGGCCGGATTTCCTTGCAGTGGCTAGAATACAGGCTCGTCTTTGATCTCAAAACCTGAAGGGATGTCTGAATCCCCTGTGGAGACCTTAGAGAAAGCCCTAGGTCCCTGCCTCATTTTGACGGAAAGCCTCACATCGCGCTGACACCTCGAGAGGCACGTGGAGTTCATTGCTTCAAAAGGTGACGATGCGTGACTCCTCTTGAATACTGATAGGAATCCCAAAATCCCTGTGGCTACTGGAAAGGGTCCTTGGGTGCCCTGCCTCACCTCGAGAAGCGTCCCTTTTGCCCTGCCAAGCCTCGAAGAGATTCCTGACGTGGCCCTCGTTACTAGACAGGAGTCCTGACGTCACTGAAGAAACTCGTGTTTTGAAGGGCCATCCCCGCCGTAAGTCGAGAACATACTCCAGGTCCCCACCGCAACTCGAGAAAAACCATGAGACTTCCCCGTAGAGGCGAGATGAGGCCCCATTCCCATGCAGTGCATGCAGAGCTATTCCGTGATCCCATTCAAACAAGTCAGGAGCTTCTACTTGCTTAATGGATCTCGAGACAGTCCCCAAGAACACTGTCACCAGTCTAGACTTAAGTTGAGGTCACCCCAGCAACGGAAAGCAGCTCCATGTGCCCCAAGTCAACTCGAGATGAGGCCCGATTCCCCTGCATTGACTCCAGAGCCATTCCCCGTTCCCCATTCAACACGACCGGTGGCTCGACTTCCTTCAGGCAACTCCAGAGATGCCCCGAGAACACTGTCCCAAGTCTAGAGGAACTCCAAGTTCAGCAGAGCAACTCGAGGAATGCTCTGTGTACCCCATATCGTCTCGAGATGAGAGCTGATTCCCTGGCTTAGGCTCAAGACGTATGCCAACTTTCCAGAAGCACCTCAGGAGGAGGCTTCTCTCAGCAATAGGTATGTGGGAGGGACCCCGAGTTTGCTGCCTCAAGGGGAATATACAGCGAGAAGCCCTAACTTGAAAGGAGGCCGGATTTCCTTGCAGTGGCTTGAATACAGGCTCGTCTTTCATGTCACAACATGAAGGGATGTCTGAATCCCCTGTGGAGACCTTAGAGAAAGCCCTAGGTCCCTGCCTCATTTTGACGGAATGCCTCACATCCCGCTGACACCTCGAGAGGCACGCGGAGTTCATTGCTTCAAAAGGTGACGATGCCTGACTCCTCTTGAATACTGATAGGAATCCCAAAATAACTCTGGCTACTGGAAAGGGTCCTTGGGTGCCCTGTCACACCTCGAGAAGCGTCCCTTTTGCCCTTCCAAGCCTCGAAGAGATTCCTGAGGTGTCCCTCGTTACTAGACAGGAGTCCTGACGTCACTGAAGAAACTCGTGTTTTGAAGGGCCATCCCCGCCGTAAGTCGAGAACATACCCCAGGTCCCCACCACAACTCGAGAAAAACCATGAGACTTCCCCCTAGAGGCGAGATGAGGCCCCATTCCCCTGCAGTGCATGCAGAGCTATTCCGTGATCCCATTCAAAAAAGTCAGGAGCTTCTACTTGCTTAATGGATCTCAAGACAGTCCCGAAGAACACTGTCACCAGTTTAGACGGACCCTGAGGTCACCGCAACAACGCAAAGCAGCTCCATGTGCCCCAAATCAACTCGAGATGAGGCCCAATTCCCCTGCATTGACTCCAGAGCCTTTCCCCGTTCCCCATTCAACACGACCGGTGGCTCGACTTCCTTCAGGCAACTCCAGAGATGCCCCGAGAACACTGTCCCAAGTCCAGAGGAACACCAACTTCAGCACAGCAACTCGAGGAATGCTCCGTGTACCCCAAATCGTCTCGAGATGAGAGCTGATTCCCTGGCTTAGGCTCAAGACGTATGCCAACTTTCCAGAAGCACCTCAGGAGGAGGTTTCTCTCAGCAATAGGTATGTGGGAGGGACCCCGAGTATGCTGCCTCAAGGGGAATATACAGCGAGAAGCAATAACTTGAAAGGAGGCCGGATTTCCTTGCAGTGGCTTGAATACAGGCTCGTCTTTCATCTCACAACATGAAGGTAGGTCTGAATCCCCTGTGGAGACCTTAGAGAAAGCCGTAGGTCCCTGCGTCTTTTTGACGGAATGCCTCATATCCCGCTGACACTTCGATAGGCACGCGGAGTTCATTGCTTCAAAAGGTGACGATGCCTGACTCCTCTTGAATACTGATAGGAATCCCAAAATCCCTGTGGCTACTGGAAAGGGTCCTTGGGTGCCCTGCCTCACCTCGAGAAGCGTCCCTTTTGCTCTGCCAAGCCTCGAAGAGATTCCTGAGGTGTCCCTCGTTACTAGACAGGAGTCCTGACGTCACTGAAGAAACTCGTGTTTTGAAGGGCCATCCGCGCCTTAAGTCGAGAACATACCCCAGGTCCCCGCCGCAACTCGAGAAAAACCATGAGACTTCCCCCTAGAGGCGAGATGAGGCCCCATTCCCCTGCAGTGCATGCAGAGCTATTCCGTGATCCCATTCAAACAAGTCAGGAGCTTCGACTTGCTTAATGGATCTCGAGACAGTCCCCAAGAACACTGTCACCAGTCTAGACGGACCCTGAGGTCACCGCAGCAACGCAAAGCAGGTCCATGTGCCCCAAATCAACTCGAGATGAGGCCCGATTCCCCTGGATTGACTCCAGAGCCTTTCCCCGTTCCCCATTCAACACGACCGGTGGCTTGACTTCCTTCAGGCAACTCCAGAGATGCCCCGAGAACACTGTCCCAAGTCTAGAGGAACACCAACTTCAGCACAGCAACTCGAGGAATGCTCCGTGTACCCCAAATCGTCTCGAGATGAGAGCTGATTCCCTGGCTTAGGCTCAAGACGTATGCCAACTTTCCAGAAGCACCTCGGAGGAGGCTTCTCTCAGCAATAGGTTTGTGGGAGGGACCCCGAGTATGCTGCCTCAAGGGGAATATACAGCGAGAAGCCCTAACTTGAAAGGTGGCCGGATTTCCTTGCAGTGGCTAGAATACAGGCTCGTCTTTGATCTCAAAACCTGAAGGGATGTCTGAATCCCCTGTGGAGACCTTAGAGAAAGCCCTAGGTCCCTGCCTCATTTTGACGGAATGCCTCACATCGCGCTGACACCTCGAGAGGCACGTGGAGTTCATTGCTTCAAAAGGTGACGATTCCTGACTCCTCTTGAATAATGATAGGAATCCCAAAATCCCTGTGGCTACTGGAAAGGGTCCTTGGGTGCCCTGCCTCACCTCGAGAAGCGTCCCTTTTGCCCTGCCAAGCCTCGAAGAGATTCCTGAGGTGTCCCTCGTTACTAGACAGGAGTCCTGACGTCACTGAAGAAACTCGTGTTTTGAAGGGCCATCCCCGCCTTAAGTCGAGAACATACCCCAGGTCCCCGCCGCAACTCGAGAAAAACCATGAGACTTCCCCCTAGAGGCGAGATGAGGACCCATTCCCCTGCAGTGCATGCAGAGCTATTCCGTGATCCCATTCAAACAAGTCAGGAGCTTCGACTTGCTTAATGGATCTCGAGACAGTCCCCAAGAACACTGTCACCAGTCTAGACGGACCCTGAGGTCACCCCAGCAACGCAAAGCAGCTCCATGTCCCCCAAATCAACTCGAGATGAGGCCGGATTCCCCTGCATTGACTCCAGAGCCATTCCCCGTTACCCATTCAACAAGACCGGTGGCTCGACTTCCTTCAGGCAACTCTAGAGATGCCCCGAGAACACTGCCCCAAGTCTAGAGGAACTCCAACTTCAGCACAGCAACTCGAGGAATGCTCCGTGTACCCCAAATCGTCTCGAGATGAGAGCTGATTCCCTGGCTTAGGCTCAAGACGTATGCCAACTTTCCAGAAGCACCTCAGGAGGAGGTTTCTCTCAGCAATAGGTATGTGGGAGGGACCCCGAGTATGCTGCCTCAAGGGGAATATACAGCGAGAAGCAATAACTTGAAAGGAGGCCGGATTTCCTTGCAGTGGCTTGAATACAGGCTCGTCTTTCATCTCACAACATGAAGGTAGGTCTGAATCCCCTGTGGAGACCTTAGAGAAAGCCGTAGGTCCCTGCGTCTTTTTGACGGAATGCCTCATATCCCGCTGACACTTCGATAGGCACGCGGAGTTCATTGCTTCAAAAGGTGACGATGCCTGACTCCTCTTGAATACTGATAGGAATCCCAAAATCCCTGTGGCTACTGGAAAGGGTCCTTGGGTGCCCTGCCTCACCTCGAGAAGCGTCCCTTTTGCTCTGCCAAGCCTCGAAGAGATTCCTGAGGTGTCCCTCGTTACTAGACAGGAGTCCTGACGTCACTGAAGAAACTCGTGTTTTGAAGGGCCATCCGCGCCTTAAGTCGAGAACATACCCCAGGTCCCCGCCGCAACTCGAGAAAAACCATGAGACTTCCCCCTAGAGGCGAGATGAGGCCCCATTCCCCTGCAGTGCATGCAGAGCTATTCCGTGATCCCATTCAAACAAGTCAGGAGCTTCGACTTGCTTAATGGATCTCGAGACAGTCCCCAAGAACACTGTCACCAGTCTAGACGGACCCTGAGGTCACCGCAGCAACGCAAAGCAGCTCCATGTGCCCCAAATCAACTCGAGATGAGGCCCGATTCCCCTGGATTGACTCCAGAGCCTTTCCCCGTTCCCCATTCAACACGACCGGTGGCTTGACTTCCTTCAGGCAACTCCAGAGATGCCCCGAGAACACTGTCCCAAGTCTAGAGGAACACCAACTTCAGCACAGCAACTCGAGGAATGCTCTGTGTACCCCAAATCGTCTCGAGATGAGAGCTGATTCCCTGGCTTAGGCTCAAGACGTATGCCAACTTTCCAGAAGCACCTCGGAGGAGGCTTCTCTCAGCAATAGGTTTGTGGGAGGGACCCCGAGTATGCTGCCTCAAGGGGAATATACAGCGAGAAGCCCTAACTTGAAAGGTGGCCGGATTTCCTTGCAGTGGCTAGAATACAGGCTCGTCTTTGATCTCAAAACCTGAAGGGATGTCTGAATCCCCTGTGGAGACCTTAGAGAAAGCCCTAGGTCCCTGCCTCATTTTGACGGAATGCCTCACATCGCGCTGACACCTCGAGAGGCACGTGGAGTTCAGTGCTTCAAAAGGTGACGATTCCTGACTCCTCTTGAATAATGATAGGAATCCCAAAATCCCTGTGGCTACTGGAAAGGGTCCTTGGGTGCCCTGCCTCACCTCGAGAAGCGTCCCTTTTGCCCTGCCAAGCCTCGAAGAGATTCCTGAGGTGTCCCTCGTTACTAGACAGGAGTCCTGACGTCACTGAAGAAACTCGTGTTTTGAAGGGCCATCCCCGCCTTAAGTCGAGAACATACCCCAGGTCCCCGCCGCAACTCGAGAAAAACCATGAGACTTCCCCCTAGAGGCGAGATGAGGGCCCATTCCCCTGCAGTGCATGCAGAGCTATTCCGTGATCCCATTCAAACAAGTCAGGAGCTTCGACTTGCTTAATGGATCTCGAGACAGTCCCCAAGAACACTGTCACCAGTCTAGACGGACCCTGAGGTCACCCCAGCAACGCAAAGCAGCTCCATGTCCCCCAAATCAACTCGAGATGAGGCCGGATTCCCCTGCATTGACTCCAGAGCCATTCCCCGTTACCCATTCAACAAGACCGGTGGCTCGACTTCCTTCAGGCAACTCTAGAGATGCCCCGAGAACACTGCCCCAAGTCTAGAGGAACTCCAACTTCAGCACAGCAACTCGAGGAATGCTCCGTGTACCCCAAATCGTCTCGAGATGAGAGCTGATTCCCTGGCTTAGGCTCAAGACATATGCCAACTTTCCTGAAGCACCTCAGGAGGAGGCTTCTCTCAGCAATAGGTATGTGGGAGGGACCTCGAGTTTGTTGCCTCAAGGGGAATATACAGCAAGAAGCCCTAACTTGAATGGAGGCCGGATTTCCTTGCAGTGGCTTGAATACAGGCTCGTCTTTCATGTCACAACATGAAGGGATGTCTGAATCCCCTGTGGAGACCTTAGAGAAAGCCCTAGGTCCCTGCCTCATTTTGACGGAATGCCTCACATCCCGCTGACACCTCGAGAGTCAGGCGGAGTTCATTGCTTCAAAAGGTGACGATGCCTGACTCCTCTTGAATACTGATAGGAATCCCAAAATAACTCTGGCTACTGGAAAGGGTCCTTGGGTGCCCTGCCACACCTCGAGAAGCGTCCCTTTTGCCCTGCCAAGCCTCGAAGAGATTCCTGAGGTGTCCCTCGTTACTAGACAGGAGTCCTGACGTCACTGAAGAAACTCGTGTTTTGAAGGGCCATCCCCGCCGTAGGTCGAGAACATACCCCAGGTCCCCACCACAACTCGAGAAAAACCATGAGACTTCCCCCTAGAGGCGAGATGAGGCCCCATTCCCCTGCAGTGCATGCAGAGCTATTCCGTGATCCCATTCAAAAAAGTCAGGAGCTTCTACTTGCTTAATGGATCTCAAGACATTCCTGAAGAACACTGTCACCAGTCTAGACGGACCCTGAGGTCACCGCAACAAAGAAAAGCAGCTCCATGTGCCCCAAATCAACTCGAGATGAGGTCCAATTCCCCTGCATTGACGCCAGAGCCTTTCCCGGTTCCCCATTCAACACGACCGGTGGCTCGACTTCCTTCAGGCAACTCCAGAGATGCCCCGAGAACACTGTCCCAAGTCCAGAGGAACACCAACTTCAGCACAGCAACTCGAGGAATGCTCCGTGTACCCCAAATCGTCTCGAGATGAGAGCTGATTCCCTGGCTTAGGCTCAAGACGTATGCCAACTTTCCAGAAGCACCTCAGGAGGAGGCTTCTCTCAGCAATAGGTATGTGGGAGGGACCCCGAGTATGCTGCCTCAAGGGGAATATACAGCGAGAAGCCCTAACTTGAAAGGAGGCCGGATTTCCTTGCAGTGGCTTGAATACAGGCTCATCTTTCATCTCACAACATGAAGGTATGTCTGAATCCCCTGTGGAGACCTTAGAGAAAGCCCTAGGTCCCTGCGTCTTTTTGACGGAATGCCTCATATCCCGCTGACACCTTGAGAGGCACGCGGAGTTCATTGCTTCAAAAGGTGACGATGCCTGACTCCTCTTGAATACTGATAGGAATCCCAAAATCCCTGTGGCTACTGGAAAGGGTCCTTTGGTGCCCTGCGTCACCTCGAGAAGCGTCCCTTTTGCCCTGCCAAGCCTCGAAGGGATTCCTGAGGTGTCCCTCGTTACTAGACAGGAGTCCTGACGTCACTGAAGAAACTCGTGTTTTGAAGGGCCATCCGCGCCTTAAGTCGAGAACATACCCCAGGTCCCCGCCGCAACTCGAGGAAAACCATGAGACTTCCCCCTAGAGGCGAGATGAGGCCCCATTCCCCTGCAGTGCATGCAGAGCTATTCCGTGATCCCATTCAAACAAGTCAGGAGCTTCGACTTGCTTAATGGATCTCGAGACAGTCCCCAAGAACACTGTCACCAGTCTAGACGGACCCTGAGGTCACCGCAGCAACGCAAAGCAGCTCCATGTGCCCCAAATCAACTCGAGATGAGGCCCGATTCCCCTGCATTGACTCCAGAGCCTTTCCCCGTTCCCCATTCAACACGGCCGGTGGCTCAACTTCCTTCAGGCAACTCCAGAGATGCCCCGAGAACACTGTCCCAAGTCTAGAGGAACACCAACTTCAGCACAGCAATTCGAGGAATGCTCCGTGCACCCCAAATCGTCTCGAGATGAGAGCTGATTACCTGGCTTAGGCTCAAGACGTATGCCAACTTTCCAGAAGCACCTCGGAGGAGGCTTCTCTCAGCAATAGGTTTGTGGGAGGGACCCCGAGTATGCTGCCTCAAGGGGAATATACAGCGAGAAGCCCTAACTTGAAAGGAGGCCGGATTTCCTTGCAGTGGCTAGAATACAGGCTCGTCTTTGATCTCAAAACCTGAAGGGATGTCTGAATCCCCTGTGGAGACCTTAGAGAAAGCCCTAGGTCCCTGCCTCATTTTGACGGAAAGCCTCACATCGCGCTGACACCTCGAGAGGCACGTGGAGTTCATTGCTTCAAAAGGTGACGATGCGTGACTCCTCTTGAATACTGATAGGAATCCCAAAATCCCTGTGGCTACTGGAAAGGGTCCTTGGGTGCCCTGCCTCACCTCGAGAAGCGTCCCTTTTGCCCTGCCAAGCCTCGAAGAGATTCCTGACGTGGCCCTCGTTACTAGACAGGAGTCCTGACGTCACTGAAGAAACTCGTGTTTTGAAGGGCCATCCCCGCCGTAAGTCGAGAACATACTCCAGGTCCCCACCGCAACTCGAGAAAAACCATGAGACTTCCCCGTAGAGGCGAGATGAGGCCCCATTCCCATGCAGTGCATGCAGAGCTATTCCGTGATCCCATTCAAACAAGTCAGGAGCTTCTACTTGCTTAATGGATCTCGAGACAGTCCCCAAGAACACTGTCACCAGTCTAGACTTAAGTTGAGGTCACCCCAGCAACGGAAAGCAGCTCCATGTGCCCCAAGTCAACTCGAGATGAGGCCCGATTCCCCTGCATTGACTCCAGAGCCATTCCCCGTTCCCCATTCAACACGACCGGTGGCTCGACTTCCTTCAGGCAACTCCAGAGATGCCCCGAGAACACTGTCCCAAGTCTAGAGGAACTCCAAGTTCAGCAGAGCAACTCGAGGAATGCTCCGTGTACCCCATATCGTCTCGAGATGAGAGCTGATTCCCTGGCTTAGGCTCAAGACGTATGCCAACTTTCCAGAAGCACCTCAGGAGGAGGCTTCTCTCAGCAATAGGTATGTGGGAGGGACCCCGAGTTTGCTGCCTCAAGGGGAATATACAGCGAGAAGCCCTAACTTGAAAGGAGGCCGGATTTCCTTGCAGTGGCTTGAATACAGGCTCGTCTTTCATGTCACAACATGAAGGGATGTCTGAATCCCCTGTGGAGACCTTAGAGAAAGCCCTAGGTCCCTGCCTCATTTTGACGGAATGCCTCACATCCCGCTGACACCTCGAGAGGCACACGGAGTTCATTGCTTCAAAAGGTGACGATGCCTGACTCCTCTTGAATACTGATAGGAATCCCAAAATAACTCTGGCTACTGGAAAGGGTCCTTGGGTGCCCTGTCACACCTCGAGAAGCGTCCCTTTTGCCCTTCCAAGCCTCGAAGAGATTCCTGAGGTGTCCCTCGTTACTAGACAGGAGTCCTGACGTCACTGAAGAAACTCGTGTTTTGAAGGGCCATCCCCGCCGTAAGTCGAGAACATACCCCAGGTCCCCACCACAACTCGAGAAAAACCATGAGACTTCCCCCTAGAGGCGAGATGAGGCCCCATTCCCCTGCAGTGCATGCAGAGCTATTCCGTGATCCCATTCAAAAAAGTCAGGAGCTTCTACTTGCTTAATGGATCTCAAGACAGTCCCGAAGAACACTGTCACCAGTTTAGACGGACCCTGAGGTCACCGCAACAACGCAAAGCAGCTCCATGTGCCCCAAATCAACTCGAGATGAGGCCCAATTCCCCTGCATTGACTCCAGAGCCTTTCCCCGTTCCCCATTCAACACGACCGGTGGCTCGACTTCCTTCAGGCAACTCCAGAGATGCCCCGAGAACACTGTCCCAAGTCCAGAGGAACACCAACTTCAGCACAGCAACTCGAGGAATGCTCCGTGTACCCCAAATCGTCTCGAGATGAGAGCTGATTCCCTGGCTTAGGCTCAAGACGTATGCCAACTTTCCAGAAGCACCTCAGGAGGAGGTTTCTCTCAGCAATAGGTATGTGGGAGGGACCCCGAGTATGCTGCCTCAAGGGGAATATACAGCGAGAAGCAATAACTTGAAAGGAGGCCGGATTTCCTTGCAGTGGCTTGAATACAGGCTCGTCTTTCATCTCACAACATGAAGGTAGGTCTGAATCCCCTGTGGAGACCTTAGAGAAAGCCGTAGGTCCCTGCGTCTTTTTGACGGAATGCCTCATATCCCGCTGACACTTCGATAGGCACGCGGAGTTCATTGCTTCAAAAGGTGACGATGCCTGACTCCTCTTGAATACTGATAGGAATCCCAAAATCCCTGTGGCTACTGGAAAGGGTCCTTGGGTGCCCTGCCTCACCTCGAGAAGCGTCCCTTTTGCTCTGCCAAGCCTCGAAGAGATTCCTGAGGTGTCCCTCGTTACTAGACAGGAGTCCTGACGTCACTGAAGAAACTCGTGTTTTGAAGGGCCATCCGCGCCTTAAGTCGAGAACATACCCCAGGTCCCCGCCGCAACTCGAGAAAAACCATGAGACTTCCCCCTAGAGGCGAGATGAGGCCCCATTCCCCTGCAGTGCATGCAGAGCTATTCCGTGATCCCATTCAAACAAGTCAGGAGCTTCGACTTGCTTAATGGATCTCGAGACAGTCCCCAAGAACACTGTCACCAGTCTAGACGGACCCTGAGGTCACCGCAGCAACGCAAAGCAGCTCCATGTGCCCCAAATCAACTCGAGATGAGGCCCGATTCCCCTGGATTGACTCCAGAGCCTTTCCCCGTTCCCCATTCAACATGACCGGTGGCTTGACTTCCTTCAGGCAACTCCAGAGATGCCCCGAGAACACTGTCCCAAGTCTAGAGGAACACCAACTTCAGCACAGCAACTCGAGGAATGCTCCGTGTACCACAAATCGTCTCGAGATGAGAGCTGATTCCCTGGCTTAGGCTCAAGACATATGCCAACTTTCCTGAAGCACCTCAGGAGGAGGCTTCTCTCAGCAATAGGTATGTGGGAGGGACCTCGAGTTTGCTGCCTCAAGGGGAATATACAGCGACAAGCCCTAACTTGAAAGGAGGCCGGATTTCCTTGCAATGGCTTGAATACAGGCTCGTCTTTCATCTCACAACATGAAGGGATGTCTGAATCCCCTGTGGAGACATTAGAGAAAGACGTAGGTCTCTGCCTCATTTTGACGGAATGCCTCACATCCCGCTGACACCTCGAGAGGAATGCGGAGTTCATTGCTTCAAAAGATGACGATGCTGGACTCCTCTTGAATACTGATAGGAATCCCAAACTCCCTGTGGCTACTGGAAAGGGTCCTTGGGTGCCCTGCCTCACCTCGAGAAGCGTCCCTTTTGCCCTGCCAAGTCTCGAGGAGATTCCTGAGGTGTCCCTCGTTACTAGACAGGAGTCCTGACGTCACTGAAGAAACTCGTGTTTTGAAGGTCCATCCCCGCCGTAAGTCGAGAACATACCCCAGGTCCCCGCCGCAACTGGAAAAAAACCATGAGACTTCCCCCTAGAGGCCAGATGAGGCCCCATTCCCCTGCAGTGCATGCAGAGCTATTCCGTGATCCCATTCAAACAAGTCAGGAGCTTCGACTTGCTTAATGGATCTCGAGACAGTCCCCAAGAACACTGTCACCAGTCTAGACGGACCTTGAGGTCACCCCAGCAACGGAAAGCAGCTCCATGTGCCCCAAGTCAACTCGAGATGAGGCCCGATTCCCCTGCATTGACTCCAGAGCCATTCCCCGTTCCCCATTCAACACGACCGGTGGCTCGACTTCCTTCAGGCAACTCCAGAGATGCCCCGAGAACACTGTCCCAAGTCTAGAGGAACTCCAACCTCAGCAGAGCAACTCGAGGAATGCTCCGTGTACCCCAAATCGTCTCGAGATGAGAGCTGATTCCCTGGCTTAGGCTCAAGACGTATGCCAACTTTCCAGAAGCACCTAAGGAGGAGGCTTCTCTCAGCAATAGGTATGTGGGAGGGACCCCGAGTTTGCTGCCTCAAGGGGAATATACAGCGAGAAGCCCTAACTTGAAAGGAGGCCGGATTTCCTTGCAGTGGCTTGAATACAGGCTCGTCCTTCATGTCACAACATGAAGGGATGTCTGAATCCCCTGTGGAGACCTTAGAGAAAGCCCTAGGTCCCTGCCTCATTTTGACGGAATGCCTCACATCCCGCTGACACCTCGAGAGGCACGCGGAGTTCATTGCTTCAAAAGGTGACGATGCCTGACTCCTCTTGAATACTGATAGGAATCCCAAAATAACTCTGGCTACTGGAAACGGTCCTTGGGTGCCCTGCCTCACCTCGAGAAGCGTCCCTTTTGCCCTGCCAAGCCTCGAAGATATTCCTGAGGTGTCCCCCGTTACTAGACAGGAGTCCTGACGTCACTGAAGAAACTCGTGTTTTGAAGGACCATCCCTGCCGTAAGTCGAGAACATAACCCAGGTCCCCGCCGCAACTCGAGAAAAACCATGAGACTTCCCCCTAGAGGCGAGATGAGGCCCCATTCCCCTGCAGTGCATGCAGAGCTATTCCGTGATCCCATTCAAACAAGTCAGGAGCTTCGACTTGCATAATGGATCTCGAGACAGTCCCCAAGAACACTGTCACCAGTCTAGACGGACCCTGAGGTCACCGCAGCAACGCAAAGCAGCTCCATTTGCCCCAAGTCAACTCGAGATGAGGCCCCATTCCCCTGCATTGACTCCAGAGCCATTCCCCATTCCCCATTCAACACGACCGGTGGCTCAACTTCCTTCAGGCAACTCCAGAGATGCCCCGAGAACACTGTCCCAAGTCTAGAGGAATTCCAACTTCAGCACAGCAACTCGAGGAATGCTCCGTGTACCCCAAATCATCTCGAGATGAGAGCTGATTCCCTGGCTTAGGCTCAAGACGTATGCCAACTTTCCAGAACCACCTCAGGAGGAGGATTCTCTCAGCAATATGTATGTGGGAAGGACCCCTAGGTTGCTGCCTCAAGGGGAATATACAGCGAGAAGCCCTAACTTGAAAGGAGGCCGGATTTCTTTGCAGGGGCTTGAATACAGGCTCGTCTTTCATCTCACAACATGAAGGGATGTCTGAATCCCTTGTGGAGACCTTAGAGAAAGCCTTAGGTCCCTGCCTCATTTTGACAGAATGCCTCACATCCCGCTGACACCACGAGAGGTATGTGGAGTTCATTGCTTCAAAAGGTGACGATGCCTGACTCCTCTTGAATACTGATAGGAATCCCAAAATCCCTGTGGCTACTGGAAAGGGTCCTTGGGTGCCCTGCCTCACCTCGAGAAGCGTCCCTTTTGCCCTGCCAAGCCTCGAAGAGATTCCTGAGGTGTCCCTCGTTACTAGACAGGAGTCCTGACGTCACTGAAGAAACTCGTGTTTTGAAGGGCCATCCCCGCCGTAAGTCGAGAACATACCCCAGGTCCCCGCCGCAACTCGAGAAAAACCATTAGATTTCCCCCTAGAGGCGAGATGAGGCCCCATTCGCCTGCAGTGCATGCAGAGCTATTCCGTGATCCCATTCAAACAAGTCAGGAGCTTCGACTTGCTTAATGGATCTCGAGACAGTCCCCAAGAACACTGTCACCAGTCTAGACGGATCCTGAGGTCACCCCAGCAACGCAAAGCAGCTCCATGTGCCCCACATCAACTCGAGATGAGGCCCGATTCCCCTGGATTGACTCCAGAGCCATTCCCCGTTCCCCATTCAACACGACCGGTGGCTCGACTTCCTTCAGGCAACTCCAGAGATGCCCCGAGAACACTGTCCAAAGTCTAGAGGAACACTAACTTCAGCACAGCAACTCGAGGAATGCTCCCTGGACCCCAAATCGACTCGAGATGAGAGCTGATTCCCTGGCTTATGCTCAAGACGTATGCCAACTTTCCAGAAGCACCTCAGGAGGAGGCTTCTCTCAGCAATAGGTATGTGGGATGGACCCCGAGTTGATGCCAAAAGGGGAATATACAGCGAGAAGCCCTAACTTGAAAGGAGGCCGGATTTCCTTTCAGTGGCTAGAATACAGGTTCGTCTTTGATCTCAAAACCTGAAGGGATGTCTGAATCCCCTGTGGAGACCATAGACAAAGCCCTAGGTCCCTGCCTCATTTTGACCGAATGCCTCACATCCCGCTGACACCTCGAGAGGTACGTGGAGTTCATTGCTTCAAAAGGTGACGATGCCTGACTCCTCTTGAATACTGATAGGAATCCCAAAATCCCTGTGGCTACTGGAAAGGGTCCTTGGGTGCCCTGCCTCACCTCGAGAAGCGTCCCGTTTGCCCTGCCAAGCCTCGAAGAGATTCCTGAGGTGTCCCTCGTTACTAGACAGGAGTCCTGACGTCACTGAAGAAACTCGTGTTTTGAAGGGCCATCCCCGCCGTAAGTCGAGAACATACCCCAGGTCCCCGCCGCAACTCGAGAAAAACCATGAGATTTCCCCCTAGAGGCGAGATGAGGCCCCATTCCCCTGCAGTGCATGCAGAGCTATTCTGTGATCCCATTCAAACAAGTCAGGAGCTTCGACTTGCTTATTGGATCTCGAGACAGTCCCCAAGGACACTGTCACCAGTCTAGACGGACCCTGAGGTCACCGCAGCAACGCAAAGCAGCTCCATGTGCCCCAAATCAACTCGAGATGAGGCTCGATTCCCCTGGCTTGACTCCAGAGCCTTTCCCCGTTCCCCATTCAACACGACCGGTGGCTCGACTTCCTTCAGGCAACTCCAGAGATGCCCCGAGAACACTGTCCGAAGTCTACAGGAACACCAACTTCAGCACAGCAACTCGAGGAATGCTCCGTGTACCCCAAATCGTCTCGAGATGAGAGCTGATTCCCTGGCTTAGGCTCAAGACGTATGCCAAATTTCCAGAAGCACCTCAGGAGGAGGCTTCTCTCAGCAATAGGTATGTGGGTGGGGCCCCGAGTATGCTGCCTCAAGGGGAATATACAGCGAGAAGCCCTAACTTGAAAGGAGGCCGGATTTCCTTGCAGTGGCTAGAATACAGGCTCGTCTTTGATCTCAAAACCTGAAGGGATGTCTGAATCCCCTGTTGAGACCTTAGAGAAAGCCCTAGGTCCCTGCCTCATTTTGACGGAATGCCTCACATCGCGCTGACACCTCGAGAGGCACGCAGAGTTCATTGCTTCAAAAGGTGAAGATGCCTGACTCCTCTTGAATACTGATAGGAATCCCAAAATAACTCTGGCTACTGGAAACGGTCCTTGGGTGCCCTGCCTCACCTCGAGAAGCGTCCCTTTTACCCTGCCAAGCCTCGAAGAGATTCCTGAGGTGTCCCCCGTTACTAGACAGGAGTCCTGACGTCACTGAAGAATCTCGTGTTTTGAAGGGCCATCCCCGCCGTAAGTCTAGAACATAACCCAGGTCCCCGCCGCAACTCGAGAAAAACCATGAGACTTCCCCCTAGAGGCGAGATGAGGCCCCATTCCCCTGCAGTGCATGCAGAGCTATTCCGTGATCCCATTCAAACAAGTCAGGAGCTTCGACTTGCTTAATGGATCTCGAGACAGTCCCCAAGAACACTGTCACCAGTCTAGACGGACCCTGAGGTCACCGCAGCAACGCAAAGCAGCTCCATTTGCCCCAAGTCAACTCGAGATGAGGCCCCATTCCCCTGCATTGACTCCAGAGCCATTCCCCGTTCCCCATTCAACACGACCGGTGGCTCAACTTCCTTCAGGCAACTCCAGAGATGCCCCGAGAACACTGTCCCAAGTCTAGAGGAATTCCAACTTCAGCACAGCAACTCGAGGAATGCTCCGTGTACCCCAAATCGTCTCGAGATGAGAGGTGATTCCCTGGCTTAGATGAAGACGTATGCCAACTTTCCAGAAGCTCCTCAGGAGGCTTCTCTCAGCCATAGTTATGTGGGAGGGACCCCGAGTTTGCTGCCTCAAGGGGAATATACAGCGAGAAGCCCTAACTCGAAAGGAGGCCGGATTTCTTTGCAGTGGCTTGAATACAGGCTCGTCTTTCATCTCACAACATGAAGGGATGTCTGATCCCCTGTGGAGACCTTAGAGAAAGCCCTAGTTCCCTGCCTCATTTTGACGGAATGCCTCACATCCCGCTGACACGTCGAGAGGCACACGGAGTTCATTGCTTCAAAAGGTGACGATGCCTGACTCCTCTTGAATACTGATAGGAATCCCAAAATCCCTGTGGCTACTGGAAAGTGTCCTTGGTGCCCTGCCTCACCTATACAAGTGTCCCTTTTGCCCTGCCAAGCCTCGAAGATATTCCTGAGGTGTCCCTCGTTACTAGACAGGAGTCCTGACGTCACTGAAGAAACTCGTGTTTTGAAGGGCCATCCCCGCCGTAAGTCGAGAACATACCCCAGGTCCCCGCCGCAACTCGAGAAAAACCATGAGACTTCCCCCTAGAGGCGAGATGAGGCCCCATTCCCCTGCAGTGCATGCAGAGCTATTCCGTGATCCCATTCAAACAAGTCAGGATCTTCGACTTGCTTAATGGATCTCGAGACAGTCCCCAAGAACACTGTCACCAGTCTAGACGGACCCTGAGGTCACCCCAGCAACGCAAAGCAGCTCCATGTCCCCCAAATCAACTCGAGATGAGGCCCGATTCCCCTGCATTGACTCCAGAGCCATTCCCCGTTCCCCATGCAACACGACCGGTGGCTCGACTTCCTTCAGGCAACTCCAGAGATGCCCCGAGAACACTGTTCCAAATCTAGAGGAACACCAACTTCAGCACAGCAACTCGAGGAATGCTCCGTGTACCCCAAATCGTCTCGAGATGAGAGCTGATTCCCTGGCTTAGGCTCAAGACGTATGCCAACTTTCCAGAAGCACCTCAGAGGAGGCTTCTCTCAGCAATAGCTATGTGGGAGGGACCGCGAGTTTGCTGCCTCAAGGGGAATATACAGCGAGAAGCCCAAACTTGAAAGGAGGCCGGATTTCCTTGCAGTGGCTTGAATACAGGCTCGTCTTTCATCTCACAACATGAAGGGATGTCTGAATCCCCTGTGGAGACCTTAGAGAAATCCCTAGGTCCCTGCCTCATTTTGACGGAATGCCTCACATCCCGCTGACAACTCGAGAGGCACGCGGAGTTCATTGCTTCAAAAGGTGACGATGCCTGACTCCTCCTGAATACTGATAGGAATCCCCAAATCCCTGTGGCTACTGGAAAGGGTCCTTGGGTGCCCTGCCTCACCTGTAGAAGCGTCCCTTTTGCCCTGCCAAGCCTCGAAGAGATTCCTGAGATGTCCCTCGTTACTAGACAGGAGTCCTGACGTCACTGAAGAAACTCGTGTTTTGAAGGGCCATCACCGCCGTAAGTCGAGAACATACCCCAGGTCCCCACGGCAACTCGAGAAAAACCATGAGACTTCCCCCTAGGGGCGAGATGAGGCCCCATTCCCCTGCAGTGGATGCAGAGCTTTTCCGTGATCCCATTCAAACAAGTCAGGAGCTTCGACTTGCTTAATGGATCTCGAGACAGTCCCCAAGAACACTGTCACCAGTCTAGACGAAACCTGAGGTCACCGCAGCAACGCAAAGCAGCTCCATGTGCCCCAAATCAACTCGAGATGATTCTCGATTCCCCTGGATTGACTCCAGAGCCATTCCCCGTTCCCCATTCAACACGACCGGTGGCTCGACTTCCTTCAGGCAACTCCAGAGATGCCCCGAGAACACTATCCGAAGTCTACAGGAACACCAACTTCAGCACAGCAACTCGAGGAATGCTACGTATACCCCAAAACGTCTCGAGATGAGAGCTGATTCCCTGGCTTAGGCTCAAGACGTATGCCAACTTTCCAGAAGCACCTCAGGAGGAGGCTTCTCTCAGCAATATGTATGTGGGTGGGACCCCGAGTATGCTGCCTCAAGGGGAATATACAGCGAGAAGCCCTAACTTGAAAGGAGGCCGGATTTCCTTGCAGTGGCTAGAATACAGGCTCGTCTTTGATCTCAAAACCTGAAGGGATGTCTGAATCCCCTGTTGAGACCTTAGAGAAAGCCCTAGGTCCCTGCCTCATTTTGACGGAATGCCTCACATCGCGCTGACACCTCAAGAGGCACACGGAGTTCATTGCTTCAAAAGGTGACGATGCCTGACTCCTCTTGAATACTGATAGGAATCCCAAAATCCCTGTGGCTACTGGAAAGGGTCCTTGGGTGCCCTGCCTCACCTATACAAGTGTCCCTTTTGCCCTGCCAAGCCTCGAAGATATTCCTGAGGTGTCCCTCGTTACTAGACAGGAGTCCTGACGTCACTGAAGAAACTCGTGTTTTGAAGGGCCATCCCCGCCGTAAGTCGAGAACATACCCCAGGTCCCCGCCGCAACTCGAGAAAAACCATGAGACTTCCCCCTAGAGGCGAGATGAGGCCCCATTCCCCTGCAGTGCATGCAGAGCTATTCCGTGATCCCATTCAAACAAGTCAGGAGCTTCGACTTGCTTAATGGATCTCGAGACAGTCCCCAAGAACACTGTCACCAGTCTAGACGGACCCTGAGGTAACCGCCCCAACGCAAAGCAGCTCCATGTGCCCCAAGTCAACTCCAGATGAGGCCTGATTCCCCTGCATTGACTCCAGAGCCAATCCCCGTTCCCCATTCAACACGACCGGTGGCTCAACTTCCTTCAGGCAACTCCAGAGATGCCCCGAGAACACTGTCCCAAATCTAGAGGAACTTCAACTTCAGCACAGCAACTCGAGGAATGCTCCGTGTACCCCAAATCGTCTCGAGATGAGAGCTGATTCCCTGGCTTAGACTGAAGACGTATGCCAACTTTCCAGAAGCTCCTCAGGAGGCTTCTCTCAGCCATAGGTATGTGGGAGGGACCCCGAGTTTCCTGGCTCAAGGGGAATATACAGCGAGAAGCCCTAATTAGAAAGGAGGCCGGATTTCCTTGCAGTGGATTGAATACAGGCTCGTCTTTCATCTCACAACATGAAGGGATGTCTGAATCCCCTGTGGAGACCTTAGAGAAAGCACTAGGTCCCTGCCTAATTTTGACGGAATGCCTCACATCCCGCTGACACCTCGAGAGGCACGCGGAGTTCATTGCTTCAAAAGGTGACGATGCCTGACTCCTCTTGAATACTGATAGGAATCCCAAAATCCCTGTGGCTAATGGAAAGGGTCCTTGGGTGCCCTGCCTCACCTGTAGAAGCGTCCCTTTTGCCCTGCCAAGCCTCGAAGAGATTACTGAGGTGTCCCTCGTTACGAGACAGGAGTCCTGACGTCACTGAAGAAACTCGTGTTTTGAAGGGCCATCCCCGCCGTAAGTCGAGAACATACCCCAGGTCCCCACCGCAACTCGAGAAAAACCATGAGACTTCCCCCTAGAGGCGAGATGAGGCCCTATTCCCCTGCAGTGCATGCAGAGCTATTCCGTGATCCCACTCAAACAAGTCAGGAGCTTCGACTTGCTTAATGGATCTCGAGACAGTCCCCAAGAACACTGTCACCAGTCTAGACGGACCCTGAGGTCACCCCAGCCATGCAAAGCAGCTCCATGTCCCCCAAATCAACTCGAGATGCGGCCCGATTCCCCTGCATTGACTCCAGAGCCATTCCCCGTTCCCCATTCAACACGACCGGTGGCTCGACTTCCTTCAGGCAACTCCAGAGATGCCCCGAGAACACTGTCCCAAGTCTAGAGGAACTCCAACTTCAGCACAGCAACTCGAGGAATGCTCCGTGTACCCCAAATCGTCTCGAGATGAGAGCTGATTAGCTGGCTTAGGCTCAAGACGTATGCCAACTTTCCAGAAGCACCTCAGGAGGAGGCTTCTCTCAGCAATAGGTATGTGGGAGGGACCCCGAGTTTGCTGCCTCAAGGGGAATATACAGCGAGAAGCCCTAACTTGAAAGGAGGCCGGATTTCCTTGCAGTGGCTTGAATAC